CATGCTTTGTATGTTGATGCTGACTTTAGTGCTGATGGATCTGTGTGCTCGCGTGTTCGTAGTTTAGCCTGCTTGCCTCCTGCTAGTGTAGCCTTGTGCCTGTCTAGCTTAGGTGCTTGTGTTGCTGCTCTAGGTGCTTGTGTAGCGACTGGGTCAGGTGACCCTCCGGCTGAGGCCTCTCTGTCGTTCACGCTGGACTCGGGCGCGTCTCAGTGCTTCTTCCGCGACCACACGACCCTTACGCCACTCCTCACACCTGTGTCGGTGGCTCTGGCTGATTCTACCTCTGGACCAGCCGTTGCGCGTAGCTCCACCACCCTCCCGTGCCCTGTGGTCCCCTCTGGTGTCCTGCGCGGCCTCCACATCCCCTCGTTCACTCGGAACTTGGTGGGTGTTGGATACCTCCAGGACAGGGGGATCACGGTTACCTTCGTGGGGGGTGGGCGGACTGCAGTCTGTACTGACGCTACCACGGGTGCTGTTCTGGCCACGTTCACCAGGGAGCCCCGCTCCGGTCTCTACGTTCTCCACACCGAGTGCTCCCCGATCGCGTCCTCCCCTCAGGTCGTTGCGTCCCCTCCGGCCCAGGTCCCCAGTCCAGTTGCTGTGTCTAGCCAGGTAGTCGTGTCCAGTCCGGTCGCTGTGTCCAGTCCAGTCGCTGCGTCTTGCTCCTGTCGCTCTCTCGCCCACCGCACCGTCCTGTGGCACCACCGTCTTGGCCACCCGTCGATCCCTCGCCTTCGTGGCATGCTCAGTCAGGGACTAGTCACAGGTCTCCAACGCACCTTCCCGTCGCTCCCTCTCTCGCTTGCCCCTCCTTGCTCTCCGTGCGTCGCCGGTCGCTTACGCGCCACTCCCCACTCCTCCTCCCTTCGTCCGGCCACCGCTCCCTTCGAGACTCTCCACTTGGACGTCTGGGGCCCTGCCCCGACGCAGGGGTCTAGGAGGGAGCGTTACTTTCTGGTGGTCGTCGACGACTTCTCCAGGTACACCACAGTGTTCCCTCTTGCGAAGAAGTCCGAGGTGACTGCTACGCTGATCAGGTGGCTTCTAGCCACTGAGGGCACTCGTGGTCGTCGAGTCAGTTGTCTCCACTCCGACCGTGGGGGCGAGTTTCGCTCCGGCATTCTCGGCGGATTCTGCGGCGAACAGGGCATCACCCAGTCCTGGACGCTGCCAGAGTCCCCACAGCAGAATGGGGTTGCTGAGCGCCGCATAGGCTTGGTCATGGACATCGCCCGCACGTCCATGATCCATGCCCGTGCGCCCCATTTTCTGTGGCCCCACGCGGTTCGCTAAGCCGCACACCAGCTGAACCTCCAGCCGCGTGTCTCGCGGCCCGAGGCTTCACCGACCAGTCTTTGGACTGGTTCCCCTGGTGTCGGGTCGGCCTTTCGAGTCTGGGGCTGCCTTGCGCTTGTTCGCGACACCTCCGCGGACAAGCTCTCGGCACGCGCCGTCCCCTGTGTCTTCCTTGGTTTCCCAGTGGACTCTGCCGACTGGTCCTTTTACCACCCTCCCCTCCACCAGTTTGACGAGTCCGTGTCCTACTACACCCGGTACCCCTGTCGAGGTCTCCCGGTACCCCCTCCCCCTCTTTTCCTCGCACCCTCTCCTCCTCCTGCTCCCGCTCCTCCGGTACCCCCGCCCCCCCCTGGTCCTGCCCCGTCTGGTGTGTCCCACGCTACCCCTCTACCCTCGGTCGCGCGTCAGGTAGCGTCTCCCTCCCCGCAGTCCTCCTCACAGTCCCCTCAGCAGCCTTCGGCACTTCCGCGACAGGTTACTGTGGACCCGGTTGGTGTTGGAGCTGGAGGTGCAGCCGCTGGCGGTGCTCGGTCTGGGGGTGCTCGGTCGCGGGGTGCTGGAGCTGGAGGTGCTGGCGCAGGTGGCACTAGCTCTGGGGGTGCTGGAGCTGGAGGTGCTGGCACTGGAGGTGCTAGTTCTGGGGGTGCTGGAGTTGGAGGTGCTGGCACTGGCGGTGCTAGCTCTGGGGGTGCTGTAGTTGGAGGTCCTGGCACTGGAGGTGCTGGTTCTGGGGGTGCTGAGTTTGAGGAGACTGACCCTGGAGACCCTGGTTCTGCGGAGTCCACTCCGCCTCCCCACCGCCACGACACGCGTCTCCAGGCTGCCCATCGGCGTGAGCGTGAGGAGCAGGAGCGGTTGGAGAGGGAGCGGCAGGAGCTGCGGGTGCTGGACCTTCTGGAGCAGCAGCGGCAGCAGCAGCAGCAGCAGCAGCAGCAGCAGCCGCAGCCGCAGCCGCAGCAGCAGCAGCCGCAGCCGCAGCAGCAGCAGCCGCAGCCGCCACCGCAGCTTCCTCTGGAGCGGCGGTTGTTCCCACCTGTGAGTGGCCTGCGGGCCCTTGGCCTTCCCTCCTCTCCTCCTGTCCGCTCCCAGTCTCCTCCTGTGTTTGTCCCTCCGTTGCCTCCTCCTGACGACCGTCCGGCGGTCTGGTCTTCTCCTCCTCGTCAGTCTCCTCCTCCTTCTGTCCGTCACGACTTGATCACTCGTTGTCCTCCACATGCCCGTCACTCGTCCCCTGTTACTGACCTTCACACATCTCTCCTTTGTTCGTCTCGTCGTCGTTCTCCTGTGTCCGTTCTCCCGTCTCCTCCTCCGTCCTCTCTCCCAGCCCTCCCCACTCCTATCTCTGACTACTACCGCGCGGTTCGTCCTGTTGCCGCACGTGTCCTCGCCACTCTTGTCACCGACTCTCGTTTCCCTCCGTCGTCTGTCTCGGCTCTTACTGCCGCTGTCGCTGAGTTTGCTGCCGCCAGCCGCCTTGACTACGCCACCCGTGTGGTGCCAGCTCCTCCCTACCGTCCTCTGTCCGTCGGGGGTGGGTTTGCCCTTGGCTGTGACGTCCTAGAGGACAGAGAGTCTGAGCTGGAGTACTGGGCAGCCGCTTCTCCCTCTGTGTGTGCCATGCTGCTCTCCCCTGAGGGAGACCCCGACGCCCTTGACATACCGACTCCTCGCACTTACCGCGAGGCAGTGTCAGGGGCGTGGGCCTCTCAGTGGAAAGCGGCTATGGACTCAGAGTTGGCGTCTTGGAGATCCACAGGCACCTACGTCGACGCAGTTCCCCCTCCCAGGGCGAACGTAGTCGATGGCATGTGGCTCTTCAAGGTGAAGCGGCCGCCTGGAGCACCGCCGGTGTTCAAGGCGCGCTACGTGGCTAGGGGCTTCAGTCAGCGTGAGAAAGTTGACTTCTTCCAGACCTTCGCCCCGACCCCGAAGATGACTACTCTTCGGGTGTTACTCCACATAGCAGCGCAGCGAGACTACGAGCTGCACTCCCTCGACTTCTCCACTGCGTTCCTCCAGGGCCGACTGCACGAGGAGATCTGGCTGCGCCGTCCTCCTGGCTTCACTGACACCTTCCCACCTGGGACCCAGTGGAGCCTGAGGCGACCAGTCTACGGTCTCCGCCAGTCGCCCCGTGAGTGGCACGACACTCTTCGCTCCACGCTTCGTGACCTTGGGTTCAGCCCGTCCTCCGCCGACCCGTCGCTGTTTGTTCGAGCGGGTTCTACTCCTTTCTTTATCCTTGTCTACGTCGACGACTTGGTATTTGCTACAGCAGACAAGGCAGCCCTGGCTCAGGTGAAGTCCGAACTGCAGAAGAGACACAAGTGCACTGACCTGGGTGAGCTGCAGCGTTACCTTGGCTTGCAGATCACCCGGGACAGAGCCGCTCGCACCATCACACTGACGCAGTCACACATGGTGCAGCAGGTCCTTCGGCGGTTCGACTTCCAGTTCTCCACCACTCAGCCCACTCCTCTTGCTGTTGACCACAGACTCACGGGCCCCTTTCCTGACGAGCCCTTTGAGTCCAGTGGACCCTACGCAGAGCTGGTGGGCTGCCTCATGTACCTGATGACTTGTACTCGTCCGGACCTCGCCTTTCCCCTCAGCATCCTTTCTCGCTTTGTTGCGACTGGGAGACACCGCCCTGTCCACTGGACAGCTGCTGTGAGGGTGGCGAAGTACCTGGCGACTACATCAGGCATGGGGCTTGTGCTTGGAGGGACTCAGCCAGTGGCGTTGACTGGTCACTGTGACTCTTCCTACGCTGACGACGTGGAGACTCAGCGCTCGACTCAGGGTTACTGCTTCAGTCTGGGAGCTGGTGCTGTGTCGTGGAGGTCTACACGGTCGTCGTCTGTGGCTACTTCCAGTGCAGAGGCAGAGATCTACGCGGGTGCCATGGCGGCACAGGAGCTTCGCTGGTTGACCTTCTTGCTCGCCGACCTTGGTGAGCGGCCTCGCTCTGCACCGACCTTGTACGCTGACAACAAGGCCATGATCCTCCTGTGTCGAGAGCCTCGACTGGAGAGCAGAGTGAAGCATATTGACGTGAGGTACTTCCTCCTGCGAGAGCTGCAGCGACGCGGTCAGGCACGCCTGGACTTTGTGGCCTCAGAGGCCAACACTGCAGACGTCTTCACCAAGGCCTTGGCGCTTGGTGACCACCACAGGTTCTGTGTGCAGTTGGGGCTTGTTGAGGTAGGCCCTCGGTTGCTGTAGTCCTATTGCTTGCTCTGCTTGTTGTGCTTTGTATTTATATCCTAGTGAACTCTTGAACTGGCCTTGTGGCCGCTTGCTTGCGCTCGGAATTTGTGTGGTGTCCTTGAGATCCACCCTGAGCTTGCCTTGGTTCTTGCTTTGACTGGTCTTGTGACCGTTTGTTCACATTGCTTGCTTTGATGCCCCTATGGGGGTGTGTCAAATGTTGAACATTGATATGATAGGCTGTAGTGAGTTGCACTCTAGGGGGTACAGCTTCTAGGGTTGCTTATTTGTACCCCATTCGTTCCTATTCCAATCATTCCGTTGCGTTCACTGTTTGAGATCAAGCAACTGTACTAAGGTTGTAAAGTTGGCTCTACCGTAAACGTTATCCAGCTGTCTCATGGATCCGTATGAACGGTTTGCTATTGTAGCGCTCATCCCACCTCCCACCACCCACCCACCCACCCCCCATCAGCCATCAGACATCAGCCATCACGCCCCACTGCAGGTCGCTCCCACTCGCCCTCTGCCTCGCCCCCATGCCGCACTGCAGTGCCGCCCGCAAGCGGCAGGTCTTGTCTGAAAGAATCAAATCCCAAGCCGCCCAGCACCGGCACCCCTCCGCTCCTCCCCGCTGCAAATCGCTGCCTCTTCTCTTTCATACTCACAACGCTCCCTCCCTCATCCCCACTCTTACTCCCACCCTCTGTGCCTGTGCCTGTAATAGTGCTATCACCTGACTCTGCACCACTGTCGCCCCTTCTCTCCCCACCCTCCCCTCCTTCAAAACGTCCCACTGCCCCCACTGCTTTAACATCAGCCCCCCCAGCAGCACCACCCACCACCTCAGGTCGCTCGTCCTTTTCCGGCAGTGACGAATGGCCGGCGCTGCTGTCGGGCGGCGGGAACTGGGCGGCAACACCACAGAGCTGTGCGAGGTGGCGGACGGCGGAGAAGATGGAGGGGTGGCAGGGGAGGGTTGTGGGCGGCAGGGGTGGGTGGCAGTGGGGATGGAAGGCCGGGCGGCCGGCGTAGGAGACGTGCAGTGAGAGCACTGCGCGCGCAAAGATGAACCTGAGAGCGGGAGCGTGATGGGGAGGAGAGATGGGATAGAGAGAAGAAAAAAAAGTTAGAAAGAGAGTGAGTGGGGGAGGGACAGTTTGGAGCAGTGAGGGTGATGCGATGGCAGGCATGTGAAAGTAGGGTGTGATGGCAGAGCATGGCGGGGTGAGGTGAGGGCATGGCAGGGGGGAGTGGCAGGGGGGAGTAGCAGGGACCTGAGGAGGAAGAGGCGCAGGAAGGGGTCGAGCAGCAGGCGCGCCCAGGCCAGGGGCAGTGTGGGGCAGGCAGCGAGTGATGAGCCCCACTGCGACAGCAGCATGGCCAGCTGCCGCTCCCACCCCATGTACTGCTCCTGATGGGGTCGGGTGGTGCACGCATGCAGAGGGGGACAGGGAGGACGGGAAACAGGGAGGGGGATGAGACAAGGGGGTTTGGTTGGAAGTTAAAGTGGGCACATGCAGTGGCTTGGGAGTACCAGCAGCAGTACCTCGGGAATACCGGCAGCAGGAGTACCTTGGGAATGTCGGGCAGGGGCACGGCAGTGAGGCGGCAGAAGGCCTGCAGAGGGGCGGTGAGGAAGAGCGTGAAGAGATTGCCGCCCGCCAGGTGCGTGGCCGTGGCGAGGGAGACGGCGGGCGGTGCAGCGGAGGTGGAGGAGGAGGAGGGGGGTTCAGACGTGGGGGCAGCAGAGGGTGCAGTGGAGGGGATAGAAGCAGTGGCAGTATTGACAGCAGCCGGAGGCTCAGCAACAGCCGAGGCGGACTGAGAGGAGGGAGGGACGGTGCCATCAGCATTGGTTGCGGCAGGAGTGGTGGCAGTGGTGGAGGAAGGTTGAGAGGGGCGGGGAGCGGTGCTGATGTCGGGCTGCAGGCGGGGCGAGAGCAGCATGGCACACGGCTCTCCTCGCTCCCTGCCACCCAGCCACTGGCAGTGAAGAGGAAAGAGAGGACGGGGACGGGGAGTGGAGATGAGGGGGGGGTAGTAAGGACAGGTACAAACGCAGGGAGCAGTGAGGCGATGGAGGCATGGAGGCACTGGGTCAAGCATGGCTCTCACATCATGAAGAGGGGCAGAATGGAGTGAGTAAAGCAGGCAAGCGCGGTACACAGCACAACGTGTGGATGAAGGAGTGTCAGTGACCTGGAGGATTGTCACACCCACCTGGAAGGCAGCGCTATTGTCACACCTACCTGGAAGGCAGCGCTATTGTCACACCCACCTGGAAGGCAGCGCTATTGTCACTGTCGACAATGAGCACGAGAGGGCGGCGGGTGAAGGGCAGGATGTCAGCCGGTAGCAGACAGCACATGCTCGCCGCCTCGCCCTCCCCCCTCATCCTCACCCACACCCCCCCTCCCGCCACACCCCCATCCCCCTCGCGCCCGTGTGCCTGCTCCCCCTCATGCGCCCCACCTCCCCCTTCAGAATCAACGGCCCCACTGCAGGCACTGCTGCCCGCCCTGCCGTCTGCTCTGCTGCCAGCGCCACCCTCTGCTGCCTCTGCCGTCGCTGCTGCTGCAGCAGGGGCGCCAGCTGGGGCGCCAGCTGCCTCTGGCGCCACGACAGCACTGCTGGCAGCAGCAGCGGGTGCAGCAGGAGGTTGGGAGGCGGCAGGATGTGAGGCAGGAGGTGTGGCAGTGGGGGCGAGGGAGCCGGCAGCGGAGAGGTAGAGCAGCAGGGCGGCATCAGCAGGTAACTCCTCCACTGCCGTTGCCAGCACCATGAGCAGGTGCGGCACGGACGGACGGTGCAGCACGTACTTATGTGGGTTGGGCGGCAGACTCGGATCCACCACGTTCTCCTCCGCGCCGCCCACCAGCCGCGGCCCCTCGCCGCCCCCGCCGCCCGCGCCGCCCGTGGCAGTGAAGCCGTGCGTGGCGACGCCGCCTTGCTTGGAGGGGAGGAAGAAGCCCGAGGGCAGCCACTCGACGGCCTGTAGCATGCGGAATGCATCCAGTGTCACCTCGCTCAGCTTCACCTGCACACATGGGGGGTGGAGCGGTGAGGGAGGGAGGGTGAGAAGCCCGAGGGCAGCCACTCGACGGCCTGCAGCATGTGGAAGGCGTCCAGTGTGACCTCGCTCAGCTTCACCTGCCGTGGGGGTGATGGGGGTGATGGGGGTGATGGGGTTGATGGGGTTGATGGGGGTGATGGGGGTGATGGGGGTGATGGGGGTGATGGGGGTGATGGGGGTGATGGGGGTGATGGGGGTGATGGGGGTGATGGGGTTGATGGGGTTGATGGGGGTGATGGGGGTGATGGGGGTGATGGGGGTGATGGGGGCGATGGGGGTGATGGGGGTGATGGGGGTGATGGGGGTGATGGGGGTGATGGGGGTGATGGGGGTGATGGGGGTGATGGGCTGGGAGCAGTGGGGGGCGAGTGAGGTGAGGGCGAGGAGCGGCAGTGAGGTATGGGTGCAGAGGAGGAGGAGGAGAAGAGCCCAGCAGCAACACCCCGCCCCACATGGCGGGTCGCCTGCACACTTTGCTGCAACCCCCCTTCCTTCCCCTCCACCTCCCTGCTGCACTGTGCTGTCCCTCCTCTCCCCTCTCCCCTTTCTCCCCTCCCCCCTCTCCTCTCCCTTTTCTCCTCTCCTCCCTTTTGTCTCCCACTCTCCTCTCCCCCACCCCTCTCCCCCCTCCCCCCAGCGCACCTCCAGGGGGTAGAAGCTGGTGAGCATGACCTCCTGCAGGGAGAGGGCGCACTGTGGTGCCCTCCCCCTTCTTTCCCCCCGCTCCCCTCCTCCCCCACCCCCCCCCCAGGGCGCACCTCGAGCGGGTAGAAGCTGGTGAGCACGACCTCCTGCAGGGCGAGGGCGCGCGGGGCGGCGGGCAGCATGAGAGCCGCGACGGGGGGGAGGGCGCCGGGGGGCGGGTCGAGCAGCACGCTGTAGCGCAGCGGTCGCGGGCAGTCGGACGGCCAGTCCGCGCGCAGGAAGCGCACCGCCTCGTGCACCACGCCCTTCCACTCCGCCGCGTCCGCTGCCTGGGAGGGGGGAGTGGGAGGGGCGGGTGCGAGGAAAGGGGGCAAGGTAGTGACGGGACGGCAATAGTCAGTGCGTGGCGTGGCAGGGAGGCAGAGGGAGGGTAAATGCGTGCAGCGCAGAGGGAGGCGAGGGGGCAGGGGCACCTGAAAGGAGCGGGAGTAGTCATCGACGGCCATGCGCAGCTGCCACAGCAGGTGGCGCAGCATGTCCCGCCGCCCCAGCAGCACACACACCACTGTGAACCGCGCCAGCCACCGCAGCTGCTTGTGCGCCACCGCTGCCTCACTGCACGCCGCCTCGCGGAAATACTCGCGCCTGATGGGAGAGCGGGGAGAGAGGTTGGCGGGGAAGAGGCAGGGGTGGGGGAGCGGAGGAGACAGGCGGGGAGGGTGGAGGGGAAGACAAGGTTGGGATGATGGGCACGCGATGGGGGAAGCAGTGGGAGAGGATAGACGTATGCATGCAGTAAATGAGGCAGACAAGGTAGTGATACGGAGCACGGGGAGAGGAGATGAAGAATATATGGGATTTGGGAAGGAGGAGGGTGGTCAATGCATAACTGCAATGGCATTGTTATAGTCACACCTGTGAATGGCGTCGCCATAGTCACACCTGTGAATGGCATCGCCATAGTCACACCTGAGAATGGCATCGCCATAGTCACACCTGCGAATGGCATCGCCATAGTCACACCTGCGAATGGCATCGCCATAGTCACACCTGTGAATGGCATCGCCATAGTCACACCTGTGAATGGCATCGCCATAGTCACACCTGCGAATGGCATCGCCATAGTCACACCTGTGAATGGCATCGCCATAGTCACACCTGTGAATGGCATCGCCATAGTCACACCTGTGAATGGCATCGCCATAGTCACACCTGTGAATGGCATCGCCATAGTCACACCTGCGAATGGCATCGCCATAGTCACACCTGTGAATGGCATCGCCATAGTCACACCTGTGAATGGCATCGCCATAGTCACACCTGTGAATGGCATCGCCATAGTCACACCTGTGAATGGCATCGCCATAGTCACACCTGTGAATGGCATCGCCATAGTCACACCTGTGAATGGCGTCGTAGAATATGAACGCCTCGAGCAGGTAGCTCGCGTCGCCCGTGCGCAGATAGTAGTTGTAGTACAGCTGCCCTATGCGCGACGCGATCTCGCCGATCTCCCACCGCCTGTGCGCCGATTACGGCGCAATACAAGGCAGAGCGGAAAATGCAGACGAGAGGGCGGGGTTTTGACGCGGACACGGGTGGAATCGACTATTGTCGCGAGCATGGAGGGAAGGCGGATTCGCTATGGCGGGCGGCGAGGTGCGGCACGTACTTGAGGCCCATCTCGACGAGGCGCGCGCGGTGCTCCTGCTGGAAGCGCCAGAGGCGCGAGTAGACGCTGAAGGCCTTGTGGAAGTGCGCCTCCCACCGCTGCCGCCCGTACAGCGGCAGCTCGCGCAGCCGCGCGAACTTCCCGTACGCCTTCTCCAGCAGCGCGCGGTACTGCTCCGCCACCGCCGCGCTCGATGTCGATGCACCCGCGCTCGTTGCAGGCGCACTCGTTGCAGGCGCGCTCGGTGCAGGCGCGCTTGTTGCAGGGGCAGTGGCGACGGCGGAAGAGGAATGCGGCATGGCGGCGGCGGGAGCGGGCGCAGAAGGAGCTTCTAAGGGAGCGGGGCGCGCGGGGGGGTCGGTGCTTGGAGCGGAAGGGGATTCGGTGGAGTCTGGGGCATGTGCGGTTTGGGCATCGTCGTCAGGCTTCGCCGGATGTGGCGGCGACGAATGCGGCATGGCAGCAAAAGGGTTGATTGTTCGCGTGGGTGTGAATTCAGGGAGCTCTGGTGGAAGGATGCTGGGGCGTGTGCCCAACAGATGTGTTTTTCAAGGAGTCTTGAGATTAGTTATATCGAATACGGTAACATAAAATAGTGATAATTATGATACATATCATGGTATGTCAAAAACATCTCCCAAGTTAAACTTCCCATTCAATCCGAGGGTAATAATTGCTGGAGCACCATCGGGGGCAAAATGAGCTATGAATCCCCACACACGCCGCAGACATTGTCAGTAATGGGCAAGGCAATAAAGAGACTGCTGGCACTGGGCATCCCGAGTGAGAGAGGGCTCGGAAGGAAGGCAGATATGTAGTGCGGTGGAGTGGAGGGCACGTGAGGGAGAGAAAGCAGGTAAAGATGCAATGGGGGGTTGCCATGGCGGCCAGATCAAACGAAACGAAACAATGGAGGCAGCAGCGGAAATTCCCGCTGAGGCTGTATGAGAGTGTCAGCTGCATTTCAGGCGGCACCACCGGTCCTGTCTACTCCAGGTGCCACCTATCCCAGGCCAACTATTTAACACTACACTCTATCGCGCATCATGCAGGACTGTGCCTCCGATCTGGACGGTCGACGGCACAACCTTTCCCGACTCCACCCGCTGCAGAGTGCCCACCCCCGCGCCCGCGCTCAAGCTCCCGCGCACGGCGCAATGTCCGCGGGGCATCCGGGGGCTACCGCGTTCGCCCAAGTACGCCCTCCCCCAGGCCGAACCCGCCCATTTCGACTCCGCCGTGCGCGGCTGGTACCCGTCGAAACTCAGGCACCGCGGCACGCCAGTCGGCCCAGGCTGACGGATCGCCGGCTCCGCTGCCGCGTTGCCGTTAAAAGGGTCGCGGAGGAAGTCGGCTGACGGCCACGGAGACTGTGAGTCGTCGGGGGACCGCTGCTCTGCCGCATTTCCCGCATCCAGCGGCAGGACTGACGGCAGTGAGTCCATCGTCGCTGCGCGCTCTGTCGAAGCTCGGCGCAAACCGCGTCCGCTGGAGGCGCGGGCTCCTTGCGGTCGCTCCGCGTCGTCCTCCATTGCGCTGCGTCGCGGGGCCGCCCATGGCGGTGTCTGCCGTGGGAAACGGCATGGAAGGCGGGGCGAGCGAGTGTGGCGTAAAGAGATGAGACGGGTGACATACGGTAATCCCGACAATGGAGGAGAGACGCGACGCGACGCGATGCGACGCGACGAGACGAGACAAGACGAGGCGAGACGGGGCGAGACGAGATGACATGAGGCGAGACAAGAGGCGACGGAGCATACCTGGAGTGGAGTTGGAGGTTTGTGTGAGAGTGGACCCGCCATAATGCCGATTCGCGTCACGGTGCACAACGAGGGCGGCGGCTAGAGAGGTACAGGTTACTGAAGATAACAGAGAACCCTAGAAAGCCAGTGAATGGGGTATGCTGGTTGTGAGCGGGCGGGCTGGAAGGGTAGCGTAGCGTGGTGGTGGGTGGTGTGGTGTAAAAGGGACGAGGTGAGAGGAGTCAAGGCGATGGAAGCGAAAGGAAGAGAAAGGAGGCGGTATGGCCGCGCCTCACTGAATGCCGCGTGAATCCGATTGCTTGCGACGTCTCGCCTCGACGACACGCCACGCCAGTCCTGATTCCTCAGCAAGCAGCAGCAATTGCATCTGGCTGGATTCCTCCACCCACTCCACACCCAACCACATAAATTGTAAAAATGCCCGCGAAATCGCCTTGAATGGCATGGTTTCACTTGTCATATGCTTGCCCTAGCGACACTTTTTGGGTCTGGGGCAGATTTTCATGGGGGGCGAGGACGAATGTACAGTAACGGAACGGACCTTGAGCGCACTCTTTGACCCCTGGCCAGAGGTGGTGGTGGAGCCTGGGCAGCTGGAGGCACAAGTTTCGCATCGGCGCTACCTTTTGTCGCACGGTCGCAGACCCAGGCAGCGACGGAGAAAAGGTCTCTCAGCGACCCACCAAAGCACGAATGAAAGGCAGATCCACCATATTTTCCCTCTGCAAGCTGTACTCCTTTGTCGTTTTCCACAACACGCACTACAGATAGGACCCCAGGCAACCGGCTGTAATCAAGATTTTACTACACGTAGATGATGCATCTTACGTAGGAAAAAAAAGTATTTCAAATGTTGTTTCGGAACACAGAGAGATGCTGCTCTCTACTTTCCTTACACCTCAGTGAACACTAAAATCCCAGCAGCGCTGCTTGCACCTCAGCAGCTTCCAGACGCCCCATCCAAATGCTATTCAGTTTGACTCTTCTGGTTGGTTGTCAGCTACCAGTAACTTGCAGAGATACTAACTAAAGAGAAGCTTTTGGCATGACATCAACCACAAATTTTTGTACAGATTACCTTTGCAGGGCAAGCAACTTTGAGACATTTATTCGAACGTCAAGTTCTGCGCATTGACCAGTGTGGCATAAGCACCCCCTTGTGCCACCAGCTGGGCGTGTGTCCCCCTCTCTACAAGCCTGCCAGCCGCCATCACCACAATCTGATCTGCTGCCTGCACTGTGCTCAGCCGATGCGCTATCACCAGCGTTGTGCGACCCTGGAAAAAGGGGTGAAAGGGGAGAAGGGGAGAGAGACGCATGGTTACAGGGCTTGCACAAGAGGTGGCACATCCAGGCCATCCAGGGAAAAAGCACATGCCTCATCGTTATCAGATTCCCTACATCCCCTCCCCAACCATCACCTGCTATTCCCTCCCCTCACCTGCATGAGCCCCTCCAGTGCCTGCTGCATGAGTCGCTCTGACACGCTGTCAAGCGCGCTGGTGGCCTCGTCCAGAATCAGAATCGGCGCATCCTTCAGTATGGCCCGCGCTATTGCCAGGCGCTGCCAGGGGACAGGAAAAAGGGGTTGGAACAGGGAGAGAGGAGGGGTGGGGTGTGGGGGGGGGGGGGGGGTTCAGATGAGCACGAGTCAAGGGTATCAATGCGCACAGGAGCACATAGGCGCACATGCGCACATGCGCAGAGGCATAAGGCACGCAACACAAGTCTCCCAGGAGCGCAAGCACAAGGCAAGGAAGCGAAACATGCCCCTGCTGCAAGGCGGGGGGTGCGCGCAGCGAGGGCGCCTCACCTGCCTCTGCCCGCCACTGAGCAGCCCGCCCCTCTCCCCCACCATCGTGTCATAGCCCTGCCGTGCACACATGAAGGGCGGACGAGGGGAGGGGGAAGCAGGAAGATCAAGGGAGCGAGGAAGGAGAGAGGGGGGTGGTAGTGAGGGGGAGTGGAGTAGCCCAAGGGGCAGGGCTGGGCGCCGATTGATAGGGCGAATGCTTGAGAGGAATGAATTGAAACAGCAAAGCATGTGCACGGCGGAGCATGGCATGGCATGGGATGGCAATGAATGGGCATGGGAAGGTACAGTATGGCATGGCATGGCATGGGAAGGCACAGGATGGGCATGTGGTATGGGCTGGCATGGTTGCGCTTGGCATGGCAAGGGCATGCACCTGGGGCAGCTTCACAATGAACTCATGCGCGTTCGCAGCCTTGGCAGCCCTGATGACGTCAGCCTCTGACACGTCAGCGTCGGGGAGGCCATAGGCTATGTTGTCGCGCACCGACATGGCGAATAGCACCGGCTCCTGCAGCCACACGCATGGCACATGCACATACACGCCGGACAAGAGATGGGCAGGGGAAGGTGGAACAGGTGGGATGCAGAGGGAATGCAGAAGGAGACGGGTGGGGAAGAGTATGTAAGGACGAGAGGGAGCAAGGAGGGCATAAGCCTATTGCTGCACACAGACTAAAGCTAAGAGGTTGCTCTTTGAATGGCACAGGGGTGCTTTCATGCATGGCTCCTACTGGCATGTCCCCATCACCCCTTTCACACCAAGAATGCCGTGGCAGCTCACCTGCTGGCAGCTCACCTGGCTGACGAGAGAAATAGCGCGCGTCCACTGTGTGCGGTCGAACGATGCGATGTCCATGCCCGCCAGTGATATCGTGCCCGCTACCGGCTGGTGGCACAGCCATGCACACACACACACACACACACACACACACACACACACACACACACACACACACAGGGGGGGGGAGAACGGGGGAGAGTTGAGCAGGGCGCGTGGAAAGACGACGAAATGTAAGGGAACAGAATGGGTTTATGCACGATGCAGGCAGCACAGGACGTTCAATACCACCAGAGCACCCTCTGCGAACCACCTGTGCAACGAGGGACCATGGCCCATGGCACCGCACCGCACCACACCGCAGCGCACCTCATAGAACTGGGAGAGCAGCTGCACGACCGTGGACTTGCCCGCGCCACTGCCGCCCACGAGTGCTGTGACACTGCCACGTGGCAGCACGAGATTGATGCCCTTTATCACCTCCACCGCCGCCCGCTGCGGATACGCAAAGCGCACGTCTGCGGACAAGGGAAGAGGGGGGAAGGGGGAAGACGTGGTTGAGAGAGGAGAGGGATTGGACAGGAGGAAGGAGGGTCGGAGGGGTGTGTGGCACATGGAGTGGGGTGAGATGGAGGGTGGGAGGGAGGGGCACACACGCATGCATGCACGAGGCCAAGGGAGGGGCACACACGCATGCATGCACGAGGCCAAGGGAGGGGCACACACGCATGCATGCACGAGGCCAAGGGAGGGGCACACACGCATGCATGCACGAGGCCAAGGGAGGGGCACACACGCATGCATGCACGAGGCCAAGGGAGGGGCACACACGCATGCATGCACGAGGCCAAGGGAGGGGCACACACGCATGCATGCACGAGGCCAAGGGAGGGGCACACACGCATGCATGCACGAGGCCAAGGGAGGGGCACACACGCATGCATGCACGAGGCCAAGGGAGGGGCACACACGCATGCATGCACGAGGCCAAGGGAGGGGCACACACGCATGCATGCACGAGGCCAAGGGAGGGGCACACACGCATGCATGCACGAGGCCAAGGGAGGGGCACACACGCATGCATGCACGAGGCCAAGGGAGGGGCACACACGCATGCATGCACGAGGCCAAGGGAGGGGCACACACGCATGCATGCACGAGGCCAAGGGAGGGGCACACACGCATGCATGCACGAGGCCAAGGGAGGGCCACACACGCATGCATGCACGAGGCCAAGGGAGGGGCACACACGCATGCATGCACGAGGCCAAGGGAGCGGCACACACGCATGCATGCACGAGGCCAAGGGAGGGGCACACACGCATGCATGCACGAGGCCAAGGGAGGGGCACACACGCATGCATGCACGAGGCCAAGGGAGGGGCACACACGCATGCATGCACGAGGCCAAGGGAGGGGCACACACGCATGCATGCACGAGGCCAAGGGAGCGGCACACACGCATGCATGCACGAGGCCAAGGGAGGGGCACACACGCATGCATGCACGAGGCCAAGGGAGGGGCACACACGCATGCATGCACGAGGCCAAGGGAGGGGCACACACGCATGCATGCACGAGGCCAAGGGAGCGGCACACACGCATGCATGCACGAGGCCAAGGGAGGGGCACACACGCATGCATGCACGAGGCCAAGGGAGGGGCACACACGCATGCATGCACGAGGCCAAGGGAGGGGCACACACGCATGCATGCACAAGGCCAAGGGAGGGGCACACACGCATGCATGCACGAGGCCAAGGGAGGGGCACACACGCATGCATGCACGAGGCCAAGGGAGGGGCACACACGCATGCATGCACGAGGCCAAGGGAGGGGCACACACGCATGCATGCACGAGGCCAAGGGAGGGGCACACACGCATGCATGCACGAGGCCAAGGGAGGGGCACACACGCATGCATGCACGAGGCCAAGGGAGGGGCACACACGCATGCATGCACGAGGCCAAGGGAGGGGGCGGTGGAGGGAGGGGGTGTGGAGGGAGGGGGTGTGGAGGGAGGGGGTGTGGTGCAGTGCTTTGTAGAACAGTGGGGGACAGGCAGTGCAACGACCTTGCGGCACACACACGAGACAGCTTGCAACGCGGATGAGGGGCGGGGAGGAGGGAGGGGAGCAGAGGGGAGAGGAGGGGAGGGGGGAGAGGTGGGGGAGAGGAGCGGAGGGGCTTACAGCGAAGGTGAGGAGGAAGGTGTAGCCCACGAACGCCAGCACCGTGCCCGCTGGCATCACGCCCTGTGCCGCATGGGATGGGTGGGGTGGGATGGGATGGGATGGGATGGGATGGGATGGGGTGGGGTGGGATGGGGTGGGATGGGGTGGGATGGGGTGGGATGGGACGGGATGGGATGGGATGGGATGGGATGGGATGGGTTGGGATGGGATGGGATGGGATGGGATGGGGTGGGATGGGACGGGATGGGATGGGATGGGATGGGATGGGATGGGATGGGATAGGGTGGGATGGGGTGGGATGGGGTGGGATGGGGTGGGATGGGGTGGGATGGGTTGGGATGGGGTGGGATGGGGTGGGATGGGACGGGATGGGATGGGATGGGATGGGATGGGATGGGATGGGATGGGGTGGGATGGGGTGGGATGGGGTGGGATGGGTTGGGATGGGGTGGGATGGGGTGGGATGGGTTGGGATGGGGTGGGGTGGGATGGGATGGGGTGGGATGGGTGCAGGGGAGGGGAACGGACGCATGGGATGGGTGGGTTGGGTTGATGGGATGGCATGGGGTGCTGGGGTGGGATGGGAGCATGGCATTGAAGGTGGTGCATGGGATGGTGCATGGGATGGTGCATGGGATGGTGCATGGGATGGTGCAATGGGATGGTGCATGGGATGGTGCATGGGATGGTGCATGGGATGGTGCATGGGAAGAAGGAACGACCCAGTATAATTCGATCAGAATGGATCAAGAGGCCAAGCTCGGCGGTGCAGAGCAACAATCAGCACACACGCTTCAACTCGCCCTCACTCACCCACTGCTGCTGCTCCACCCCGCACCCTCTCTCCGCTCTCCCCCCCCCCACTGTCTCCAGCTCCCCAATCCCCAGAGTCCCTCATCATCCCCAAAATGCACCCCCCTGCTTCCCCCCTTCCCCCCTTCCCACCTCCCATTTTCCCCCCTTTGCCTCTTCCCCCCCTGTGGCATGAGCAGTACGCACCATTTGGACTTTGTGGCCGCCCAGGATGTAGACACACATGAGGGAGATGTATATACAGCCACGTGTCAGCGCCTCGTTGGTCGACTTGAGCACACTCAGCCGCGTGCCCGTCTCCCGCGCATCTGCCTCGTGGCCTGCAAACCGCCCCAGCTGCCGCGCCTCGCCTCCAAACGACCGCACCTGGGGGAGAAAGAGAAGAGAAGGGTGAGGGTACAGGGTTTTTGGGGGTGTGGAGGAGGGGGCGGGGGGGAAAAGAAAGAGGGGAAGGGAAGAGAGGGAAGGAGTTGGCATGCATAAAACCAAGCATGTAAATAGCGCCTGCTCGGTTGTGTGAACTAGCGCCATACCTAATTGAACCCCACCTGTCTCGACGCACTCACCACCTCAATAATCGGCTCGAGAGGCAGGCAGGGGGGGCGAGTGGGTGGCGGAGCTCACGGTGCGGATGGCTTGGAAGGTCTCGGTGGCGGAGTCGGTGATGCGCGCCTGGGTGGCGGTGCTGCGCGCGAACACGGGCAGCGTGCCGCGCTTGTAGATGCCCGCGATGAGCGAGATGCCCACCGCCAGCAGCGAGAACACGGGCGCTAGGTCTGGAGCGATGACGAACAGGATCGCCAGTGTCGACACCACCTGCCGGGTATGGGGCGGGGGGGGAGGGGCGGTGTGTGGAGGGGCGGGGAGGGGGGGGAGGGGCGATGTGTGGAGGGGCGAGCAGAGAGAACACGGGCGCCAGGTCTGGCGCGGTGACGAACAGGATCGCCAGCGTCGACACCACTGCCGGGTGCCGCGTATGGGGAGGGCCGCGGAGGGGTGGTGTGCGGGGGGGAAGAGCAGGGGGTTGGTGAAAGCATGGACGTGGAGGGGGAGCATGGGGGTGCGCGTGGTGACAGAATGGGGAGTATGGGGGTGCGCGTGGTGACGGAAGGCTGGGGGAAGGCATTGCCGTCTCCGCTTCGCTGTAAATTCTCTTTGCGCCTCGTTTCTCTGCGCTCTCGTTTCTCTGCGCTCTCGTTTCTCCGCGCTCTCGTTTTTCCGCGTTCTCGCTTCTTTGCGCTCTCCCCTGTACGCGCGCGCCAGTGGCGCACCTCGCAGATGGAGCGGAGGCCGCGGTCGCGCGTGACGTTGTCGGTGACGGCCTTGTCCATGAACCCCAGCTCCGACGACAGCACGCCGCTCAGCGCCGCCACCTTGTGCGCGTCGTAAAACGCCACCTGCCGGGGGAAGGAAGGGGGGGACGCGGCGGAGAAGGGGGGGGACGAAAGGATGCGGGGAGGAGGGCAGCAGCGGGAGAAATTGATAAGGATGACGCGACAATGAAAGAAAGAAAAGAAAGTTCTAAAGTTCCAGTTTTCTGGAGGTGCTCTCGTGGCGATCTCCCACCGCCATGAGCGCGAAGCGCACCTTCTGCAGCAGCAGGCGGCGGAAGACGCGGACCCTGACGGCGGCCATGACGGCCTCCCACACGGCCGACAGCGACGACACGAACAGCAGCGTGGCCGCCGGCTCCAGCACGTAGATCGCGGCAATCGGCAGCAGCAGCTGCGCCAGCGGCACGGGCACGGGCGCCACGAGCGCCTGCACGAAGTTACCGTTGATGCGCGGCAGCACGACGTTGCACGTCGTCCCCGCGATGAGACCCACGGCAAGCCCGACTAGCCGCAGTTTGTGCCGCAGCACCAGGCCAACCACGAGCTGCCACGTAATCACTGGGGACGCCGCCTGTTGTTCTTTCCGCGGCTCCTCTGCGCGCGAATCGCGCAAATCGTCCACCGCGGGCTCTTTCACTTCGCTGCTAAACTCCTGCGCGCTACAGTACCCGTCCTCCGCCTCCCCTTCGCACTCCTCTTCCTCCGCCACGACTACAGACGCGGCTCCATTTCCTTCGACAGCGGCTTGAGAAGCAAGCCGCCCTGGTCTTAATTTGGCACGGAATTGTGTAATATAAGGGAATCGAGAGCTCGAATCTCGGCCTAAACAGGCACGTTGACGTGGCCTCGCTGAAAACGCGTGCCTTTGACTCTGCGTTGCATAAGTACCCGTTACGGGGTTGTCCGTTACTAAGCTGTGGCGTACACATGCTCGTCTGGACTCAGCGCTACGACAGGAGCTCAGCGCAGATGCAAGAGCCGGCCGAGCAACAGCGCTGGTGACTGCCATGGCCCGAATCGTCCCAGTTTCACGAAGGTTGGTACTCTACTGCAGCGTCAAGCCAAGAAAAGGACCGGCTTTCCTGTGACCTGGCTCAAGACTACACCTGGCGCGAATAAACGAGTATTTCCCTCGTAATAATCTATACTCCTGCGTCAGTGGCCGCGAGGAAGAGCCACTCGGGTGAAATGCGGCGGCGAAACTCAGTTCGGCTGGACGAAAACGACCATGTGGCGGAAAAGGTTTTCTACTTGCGTGCTTGAAGCAGAGGCTTGATGTAACTCTGCCGTGGTGCGTGCACGGTGCAGAATGGACGAAAGAACTAGAGCTTCTCTTCCTAATAAGTGTTTATGTCAGTGGTCCCTCTCCCAAGTTCGCAATGGTCTGGCGCGGGAGAGGGCCTGGAGGTTTGCGGGCGGAGCAGGTGCGGTACAGGTTGGGCACTGCTTCCTGAATTCTGATTCGCCCTTCAGCGCCTCTTCGCCAGGGAGCGGACGCGAAGCAAACAGCGGTTGCTTCGAATTGGTGGCAGATTTGCAATTTGGTGCATGCAGCGGAAAGGGGATGGCCATGGTGGGGCAGACAGAGAGCATGGAGAAGTGACGTGGGCGATCCGAGGTCGACAGCACGGTGCAGCCAGAAACATTGTGGGGCTGGTATGGGCTTGGTGGCATGTGACGTGGCGCACTAGCACCTGCTCATCCACTCATGGTACGCGAATTCAACAGATCGGGATGGCGACCGTGACGAGTTCGACGAGTTTGCCGAGTTTGCGAAACCACTTAGCGAAAGCACACGGTTTGGAAAAAATGGCAGCGAAATAGCTGAAAAGCGTCAATGTTACGACAGCCCCCTGCCATCTCAAAAGCCAGCAGACATTCCCAAGGTCAGACATACAGCAACCAACCATCCCCGAGTAAGTGCCAGCATTTTGTGAGAAAGTAATACCTTCTCTCTTCTCGGATGATAGGTATGAGACAATTGATCTCGTCGCCGCTACGCTTATTGCCACGCGACGTCGCCATATCCTCGCATTGCTTGTCGTCAGTCGTCTTCATGCCAGTTCAGACGCGATCGTCTTTTCGCCGAACCTCGCCTCCGGAGTCTTCGCAACCGCCATGCATCCCACCGCAAAAACCGCTCGCTGCCACGCGTCCAGCCACCAGCATCGACACCCCACTTTCTCGGCGTGCTTCTCTCGATGCCTATCGTCTCACGTCGCCTCCGGTTTCCCGTAAATCGCGCTCCTCGATACGACAGCCAACTCGCTCCGTTCGCAGCGCCTCCAGCAGTGCACGCACGAGCTCTGCCGGACCGCTGACTCCGATTAGCGACATTGAGGATCTCGGGGGGGAGGTGCCACGTGGCGTGATGGGAGAAACACGTGACAGAGGGGGTGGGGAACCGGAGGCCCAAGAGTCGGAGCAGGCGAGTAGCGAGGAGGGGGAGTCTGATGAGTGCGAGGAGGGCGTGAATGACAAGGCAGCGACGCGACGGCGGAGAATAGCCGCGGGTACCGCGTCCAGGAGGAGCGGGGCCGCGAAGAGATTAAAGGCGGAGGTAGGAAGGGGGAGCGGGCGAAAGGCATCCAAAGAGGAGTTGGAGATTAAGTACGGGTTCAGCGACGAGGAGGTCGTCGCGGCACGATCCGCATTGATGGAATGGTACGACGCGAATAAGCGTGACCTGCCGTGGCGAGCGGCCGCAGGGAGCGAGAAAGCGGAGCGGATGGAGGAGGGGCGCAACGATAGCAAGGAGGCGCGGGAGGCAGGGGGGAACGAGCGCGGGGAGCAGGAGGCGCAGGAGGCGCGGGAGGAGCGGGAGGAGCGGGAGGAGCGGAGGGCGTACGGGGTGTGGGTGAGCGAGGTGATGCTGCAGCAGACGCGCGTGGCCGTGGTGGAGCCCTACTTCCGCCGCTGGCTGGCGCGCTGGCCCTCCCTCCCCCTCCTCGCCTCCGCCTCCCTCGAGGTCCCTCCCCCTCCGCCCGCCGCCCCCCTCCCTTCTCTTCATCCATCTCCTTCTCGGCCTTGTGTCCCTGTGCTGTGCCATCTGCTGTCTCCCCATGCGCCTCGCTCGCTCGATGCCGCCTGGCATGCCAGATTTGCTGCACTCGCTGACTCCCGTGTGCGCTCCATTGTTGGCCTTCTCGTCTCGCCTCCCCTTTCGCGGCCCCATCCCCGCAGGAGGTGAACAGCATGTGGGCCGGGTTGGGCTACTACCGCCGCGCCAAGTACCTGCTCCAGGTGCACTCAAGCGCAGCCATTCGCCCATTTCGTTTCACTTTGCTTGATTTGATGGGATGAAGTACACTACCAAGATAATGCATGCATTCACATCCAGCGGCAGCAACATGCAGGAGCCCATACCCCTGTGACTCTCTCTCTCCTCCCACTCGTCCTCCCACCCCCTCCGCCCCCTGGCAGGGAGCGCAGCACATACAGCAGCAGCACGGGGGGCGCATGCCGCGCACAGCCAGGGAGCTGCAGGCAGTGCCGGGCATCGGCCCTTACACCGCCGCTGCTGTCGCCTCCATCGCCTTCCGCCAGGTCTGCATGCATGCCAGCGGGCAGGGGCCAGGGGGCAAAGGGACAGGGGGGGAGGAGGAGGGTGAGGGGGAGAGGGAGGGGGAGAAGGTTGAGATGGGAAGGGGGAAGGGGGCGAAGAGGGAAAAGGGAGGGGAGAGGGGTATGCAGGGAGAAGGGGGTTGGGGACATTTGGGCTGCAGCATGGCTACCATTGCGTTCTAACAGGTTGGGTGGACGCCAAGGGGACGGGATGTTGAAACATGTGTGAGGCTCGGTGGAGGTTATGGTTCCAGGGGCGGTGAGAGCAGTCACCTCTCATCTCCGCACCACCATCCCGTGCACCCTCTCCTCACACCGCCTCTCCGCCACCACGCCCCTTGCATGCCTGCATGCAACCACCCCTCATTCCCAACCCCCTCTTCCCCCACCAGCCAGTGGCAGCGGTGGACGGGAATGTGATGCGCATCATGGCGCGCCTGAGAGCCGTGCCACTGCCCATGCATGAGAGCGCCGCCACCTCCCTCTTCTCCCACCTCGCCTCCCAACTGCTGCACCCCGCACGCCCCGGGGACTTCAACCAGGTGAGCGCACTGGGTGGGCTGGTTGGGCCGCTGTTGAAGCATGCAGGCAGGAGTGGCTATGTGTGCCTCGCCATGTCAACCCTGTCCCTTGCTGCACGTCACAACTTATTTTTTGCCCGTCCTGCACCCATCCTTTCCTCACTCAACCAATCGACCAATTGTCGCCTTCCCACTTCTCCTCCTCTTGAGCTGCCACTATGGGTTCTCCTTACTCCTTCGCTTGTACGTGATCCACTCCTTCTGAACATGACCCTGCCCCCTCTCGACCGGAGCTGCGTCCCCGCGCCTCGGCCGAGATCCAGGCGCCTTAGCCACATTTGACTCATGATCCCGAATCAGCTTGCCTGATTCATCTTGGAGCAGCAAAACCCCTGACTCCCGTCTCTCTGTCACCCGCCACCTCTTCTGGCTAAGCCCACACTCCAGCGTGTCTCGTCTCGGCTCCCGTAGGTAAACGTCGTCACCCGGCTTCAGTGGCGAACCCCCTTTTGTCTGTGATGTACCATCCTGCTTTCGCTGCCGGTAGCGGCGGGCATCCCGAAGTTGCGCCACCTCCAAGTTCTCCAATGCGGCAGGCAGGGCCACCCGTAAGTACGCGGCTCTCGCCGCCGCCACCACGGCCCACTGGGTTGGGTCCTCGGCCTCCATGGAGGCTGTCATGAATCGTGGTGCGTCCACCGGCAGCACGGGCTCTCGTCCGAACAGCAGAAAGTACGGTGAGTAGTTCTTCAAAGACTGCTGCTTGCTGAAGCGGTATCCCGCCACCACCCAGTGTAGTTTCACGTCCCAATCGCGTCGTTCTTCTACCTCACAGTATTTCCGCAGCCCCCTCTTGAGAGTTTGCACCATCCGTTCTGTCAAGCCATCCGCCTGCGGGTGGTAGCGGGAGGTTCTGCGATGCGTGATGCCGACCTCTCGTAACATGGCGTCAAAAGCCCCCGCGAACTCGCTCCCCTGGTCAGTGAGCACCTCCCCACAAGCCCCAAACCTCGTCAAGACTTGCTGCACAAACGCATCCGTCACTGCTACCGCTGTTTTCCGGGACAGCGCCGCCACCTCCACCCATTTGCTGGTGTGCTCGATCATAACCAAGATATAGTGCTTCCCGCTGCGTGAGAGCGGGAGTTCTCCTGTGATGTCAAGTGACCAACGGTACCCCACTGCCCCAATGGGTAGTGACTGCAACTCTGCCTTACTCCTCTCCAGGATCGCTTTGTTCCGGTTGCATGGCTCACATGTCGCCACTGCGGCCTTGACTTCTCGCCTCAACCCCTCCCACCAGTACGTCGTTTGCAGGAGCTGCACCGTTCTCTCCACTCCGAAATGGCCTAATTTGGTGTGCACCTTCTGAATTAACTCGCTCCTCTCCTCTGGCTTAGGGACAATGCGCCAGCCATCCCCGGTGACCAGCTGCAGCTGCTCGTCTTGCCACCGATAGTGCACTCCCCTAGCTCGGACCCGCTCCGTCGCTTCCTGTCCTTCTGGGCCCCTCCCTTGTACCCATGCAAGGACTGGCTCATCCTCCCACACCTCTCTGCTCCCCTTCTCTTTTGCCGTCTTCCGCCTCCATCCCTCCTTGTCCACTGACACCGCCAATCCGGCCAGTACCGTCTCGGCTGCGGCTTCCCTTGTCCCTGAGCGTCCTGCCCCCTGCCGCGAGAGCCCATCCACATGCTGCAGCGTCTTCCCTGGTCGGTGCTTCACTTCGAAGTCGAATTCCTGCAGGCGCATCGCCCATCTAGCGTTTCTACCCCTCAGCGTCTGGTTACTCATGAGCCAGAGCAATGGTTGATGGTCCGTGACCAGTGTAAACCGTCGCCCCTGCAGGTAAGGACGAAACAGCTCCACCGCCCAAACCGCGGCCAACCCCTCCCCTTCGTAAGAACTATAGTTACTTTCTGCCCCGTTGCAAGATCTGCTGGCGTATGCGACCACTCTCTCTACCCCCTTTTCCTCTTCACACAACACCGCACCCATGCCGCTGCTACTCCAATCCGTGTAGGCGGTAAATGGCGTCTCTGGATCCGGCAGCTTCAGCATGGGAGCTGTTTTAACCGCCTCTTTCAGGCTACTCCACGCTTCTTCCTGTTCCTGTTTCCACTCCCATGCCTGGTCTTCTCTCAGCAGTCCGTTCAATGGCTTCACTGTCTTGCTGAAGTTAGGGATGAAACGTCGGTAGTAACTCAGGAAACCGAGTTGCGCTCTCAAGGTGCTGCGATCTGTGGGCTGTCTGAGCCTGTCCACCACTTCGACCTTGGCCTGCTGCACTGACAGGCCGCCAGCTCCCACTTGGAACCCCAGGTAGGCAATCGTTTGCACCCCAAAGGTACACTTATCCGGATGGCATGTCAATCCTGCGTCTTGTATCGCCGCCAGCGTCCTCTCCACGTCTCTCACATGCTGCTCCCCGCTCTCACTGTAGATGACCACGTCATCTATATAGCAGAGCGCCCAGAGCTGATCTTGTAAAACCTGGTCCATGACTCGCTGGAACTTAGCCGACGCGTTCGCAATCCAAATGGCATATAGTTCCATTCGTAAAGACGATCCGGGCCATGGAATGCCGTCTTGGCCTTGTCTTCTTCCTTAATCGGTATCTGGTTAAACCCCTGTCTCAAATCTAGCGTAGAGTAGACCCGTCCCTAGGCTAGTCGGTCAAAAATCTCTTCCACCATCGGCATCGGGTAGCGGTCACATTTGGTGATTTTATTCAACCCTCGGTAGTCCCCGCACATGCGGCGTGCCAGCATTTCTCCGGTTAGGTCTTTCCTGGCAGCCACTACCGTGGCTGCTGCATATTCTGATGTGGACTCACGGATGAGCCCTGCCGCCAGTAGCTCCTTACACTTGGCTGATGCTATGTCCCGATCTCTCGAGCTCATTCGTCTTCGTCTCTGGTACACCGGCACGTCGCTCTGTAACTCGATCTCCATCGTGGCCCTATTACACTTGCCCAGCTCCTCCAGTGAGTATGCGAATGCTGCTTTCCGTTTGCCTAACACCGCCTTTAGTTGCTCCTGCTGCTCTGCAGTTAACCCATCTCCGATCGCCCACTGCCTTTCCTTTTTCGTCCCCTCAGCCGGTACCAGCACCAGCCTCCCTATCGCCCCCTCTCTCTCCAGGTCTGCCTCATCGACAAGGTCGGGCACGTCCCCCTCCTCCTCCTCCTCCTCCTCCTCCTCCTCCTCCTCCTCCTCCTCCTCCTCCTCCTCCTCCTCCTCCTCCTCCTCCTCCTCCTCCTCCTCCTCCTCCTCCTCCTCCCGGTTTACGCGGGCCATCAGGTGGATGCCTCTGCTGTTCAGCACTCCCTCCAACCTTGCTCCCATCTCTGTCTGGTCCTTGCACATTTGCCTCCATTCCTCAGCCAATTCACATGCTCTCTCCGGCTCTGCATCTAGCATTTCTTCGATATCCTTCCAACGCCACCATATCAGCAGCTGCATTCTCAGATTCTCCTGTCGACGTTCCATCCGGTACATGAGCCACACCAGCGCGTGCTGGTCAATTGCTCCTCCCAGCGCCCTTCTCCTGGCTTCCTCAGTCACTCCCGGTGCCGCCGTCGCGTTCCGGAGATAGCCCATAGCCCGCTTTCTCTCCACTGCCAGTGGTTCCTCCCACTCGCCTGTCGCCACCACCTCCACCATGCCTGGTCCTGGCTGGTCCCCCTTCATACTGAAGGCGTAGCTGCCTGCGCTTGCCGTAATCGTGGGCCAAGCTTGCCTAGGTGCGCCCACCTCATTGCACGGATATTGCGCTTTGAAGTCTGGGACTGTCACTGGGGCTGGCCTGCGCCCTGGTTCTTGGATGTCCTGCACCAATCGTGACATGGGGCGTTGCATGCGGGCCAGTTGCTCCCGCACTTCTGGCTCCAGCAGTTGCTCCCGCACTTCTGGCTCTGGAATCACGTTCTGCCAGTAGCGGCGCACCCGGTGGGCTCGTGCCCCCATCGTTGCTGCGTCCCAGGCCACTCCGTGGCCCAGCTCACTGGTCACTGCCCGATGAGCCTCCTTCACTAGCGCCCGTTCGTCATCCGCCACGTCAAGATTCTCTACAATGTAAGAGAACGGCCCTTGCTTCCTCTTGACCAGTTTCATCACCCTTATTAATTCTTGGAAAAGTCCCGTCCGGTTATCTGTCATCCCTCTCCCTCTGCCCGCTCTCGAGAGCCCTTGACACTCCCATCCGGCTACCAGCAGATCCACATGCCCCCAGCTGCTTACATCCGCTTCCTTGAGGTCCTTGACGTCATGTGCTCGTTCCGCCTCTGCTTCGGTTTGCTCGATCACCGTCATGGGGAGCCTGTCAGGATGCAGCTGTTATAGTAGCCGTGCATGGTGAAACGCCATGAGCCGCACCTCTTCCTCTTTCTCCACATACACCCATCTTCGTATCTTCAGGCCGGTCCTTACACAGGCTGCCAGCCCCGGTCCCACTCCTCCGAAGATCTCTACCAGCGTCATCGGGTGGTTAAAGGTTTCTATATCGTATGTCGGCTCCTGCAGTCCCCTTGTCTCTCTCACCACTTCCACTTGGTTTCCTGCCGCCTCTTCCCACTTCCTCCTTTCCGCGGCCCGCTCCAGGTACACGCCAAAGTCCTCCAACTTCTTTTCTGGTACCAAGTCGTGGGCCGGTTCCCTGTACTCAGGCCTACTCCTGAGGAACCTCGCCAGTAGCACAGCGGCACAATACTCCTCCCGACGCAGATCAGCATCCCAGTACCGTGGCTGATAGGTCACTTGTTCTGTCCATGTGTCCACTGCTGCCCCCACCTTGTAGAGTAATTCCATCCCTGGGAGTAAGTCGTAATCGTCTGAGTCGGAAATTAGGCAGTGTACCCGAATGCGCGCCTCGTCCTCGGATCCTGGCGCCAGCACGATCTCCTGTGGTCGTCTCGTCTTGGGTAACCATTTGCCTACTCCTCCCTCCGCAGTCTGGATGCGCACTCCTTCTCTTGTCACCATGTCCTCCTGATGCAGTCCTAGCCTCTCCGCCAGTCTTCGCCCAATCAGGACCTGTGATGCTCCGGTGTCGATAATAGTTGCCCCTGGGTACTTGCCCTCCATTGCTACCATGCCCTCCTTCGCCTCCACCACACAGGGCCTTGCCGACATCCTCTCGTGTGGGTGCCTCAACGGTCCTGTCCTCTCACGTACCCTTGCCTCGGCCTCCTGTACGGCTTCCGCTGCTCGGTCTGTCGCTTGCGTCACGCGTTCCCGCGGCCCCCTTCGTGCGGGCGAGGTGTCTCGGCGGCCGTCTACCCCAGCGCTGCGCAAACCCAGGTCCTCCCGTCCTCTCTCTCTCTCATATGCCATGAAGAAGGGCTCCTCCGTCTCAGCTTCCTTCTCCTCTCCGGCCATCAGGGCCGCCTCTTCCTCTTCTTCCCCTGTCTGGTCCTCCTCGGCCTTCAACCTTCAACCTACGGCCTTCCCCAGGTCGTATGTCCGGTCTCTCGCCGTGCGGGCCAGCTCGCCCGAGAGTCCCGCCAGGAATTTCATCACCAAAATTCTCTGCTCGCTGCAGGCGATGTCGTCCGCCAGCTGCTGGACTCTTCGATAGTATGCCAGGAGCGACTCCTTAGGTCCTCTCCTCACTTGCTCGAACTCTCGAAGTCGAGCTGGAGTCTGCGTGGGGAATTGCTCTCGCAATTCCTCCAGAAATCTTTCTGTTGGATCTGCCAGCCTGACTGGTTTCCCCTCATCGTCCTTCTGAATTCTTCCATTGGCGTCCCTTTCCTCTGATCTCCCAGAAGAACGCCTCGGCCTTCCCCGCCAGAGTGTTGCCCAAGGATCGGAAGAAGTGACGAAGGTCTAATCCGTCTTGTTCCCAGCAGAATTTCTCCGAACGGATGTGCATGGCATATGCCTTGAAGCGAGGGCCGGATTCTTGATCTCCCGTAAACCGGACTGGCACCTCCACTTTTGGCAGTCCCGTGTAGCGGTATCGATGGGTTTCTTCCCACAGAGATCTGCGCGTGTGATCCGCCGAGAAGAAGCCTCCTCGTGGACCCTCCCTCACTGCCGATCTTTGATCATCTTCCGCTCTGCCCGTGGGGCCTGCTGTCTCTTCATCCGCAAATCTCGGAGGGTCCTCTGGACCCGACGGCGGTCGTGCCTCGCCCGTCTGTCGCTCCACTCGCATCGCGAAGCCTTCCGATCCGCGACGATGCCCCCCCCCCCCCCGATCGCCCCGCGGAGGCTCCCGTTCGCGCCTCTCCCGTGCACTGGGCTACTCGTCCCGGTCATCCTCAGAACCCAACCCCTTCTTCAGATCGCTCTGCGCTCCCGCCGAGATCCCCTCCTCGGACAGGGCGGGTTCCTCCCTACCCAGCAGATGCGCCCCGCTTCGAAGCGACATCGCGGTCATGACTCTTGTTTGTAGAAAAGATCCTAGAATCAGCTAGTCTAGCCTCTCACAAACACGCCTCGTGGTTGGCCTCTCACTCTATGGTTCTGTGTTTTGCTCTGGGAGAATTCCACTAAGCAAGATTACACACATCCCATAATATCGAGAGAACAAACAAGAGTGGGTAGTCTCCCTCCCCACTGCTAGTTTAGTTCGATCTTTCTAGCGCCCTTCCTACCAGAGCACCCACCCCCAAACCCGACGGTTTACTCCTTCCTCTGTTTCGAGAATGCACTTCCACCTGGATGTTTCCCAAATCCCATCATACCCCTCCTGCATGTCACTGTAGCTTGTCCCTCCTGCGAATCGCCTTTGTCAAAGTGGGCCCAATTCCACGTCACTGTGGCTTCATTCCGCTCGCTCACCCAATCCGACAACCTCAACCTCCGCCCCTCCCTGTACCCCTCGCAATTCCAGTACACTACCCCTTTCATACCGATATCGCTAAACACCTTAAGCAGTTGTCCCGATAATCTCCGCAAATTCGTATTGAAGGAGATTACCGCGACACAATCAACCATTCACCCACCACTCACCACCCACTCACGCCCCCAGCCCTTCTCCCACCCCCCCAGGCGCTGATGGACCTGGGCTCCCTCGTGTGCTCGCCCTCCTCCCCCTCCTGCTCCGCCTGCCCCCTCTCCCCCCACTGCCGCGCCCTCGCACTGCAGCAGCAGGGGGCACGCAGGGGGGAAGAGGGGGAGGGTGGAGAGGGCGGAGAGGGCGAGGGGGCAGTGCGGGTGACGGACTTCCCTGTGCGCAAGGCCAAGGCCGCACCCAGGGAGGAGTGGGTGGCCGTGTGTGTCGTGGAGAGGAGAGGTGCGGCGGTGTCAGCGCTGGCATCAGAGGCATCAGCAGGTGTTCCTGCCAAGAAAGGCAGACGCGCACAGGGCAGCCCCAGCGGCAATCAATCTAGTAGTGAGGAACCTTCTCAGTACCTTCTGGTGCAGCGCCCACCAACAGGATTGCTGGCAGGGCTGTGGGAGTTCCCCTCCCTGGTTGTGACCTCAGGCACAGGCAGGCCAGCAGAGGCGCAACAGAGGCAGGCTGTGAGGCAGCTGCTGGGGCAGATGCTTCCCTGTGTGACTATAGAGGGGTCTGGACAGCTTAGCTTGGATGGGAGAATGCTGCAGGAGGGGGAGAATAAGGTGGAGGGGAGCAAGTGGCGTGTGATCGAGAAGCATGATGTGGGAGATACGTTGCATATCTTCTCCCACATACACCAGCATATGCTAGTCGAGAGAATTGTGATTGTAGGAGAGGAGGCAGGAGATCCGGTTATCTGGGAGTGCAACACAGAAAACGCAGTGGCCAGATCGAAAGGGAAGCAAGCTGGTTGCCAGGAGAATTATGAAGATGCTTGCTTACTACCAGTCCATCAGCGATGGTGCTGGCATAGTGAGACGGAAATCGAGAATTTGGGTCTCTCGAGTGGTGTCAGAAAGGTGAGTATGTCATCTTCACTTGTTCACCGTTTTCCCTTTATCTGGTTACAAAAGTCCCAACTTTTCCCATGTTATTTTCTCTTTTGTGAAGGTGTGGGATATGCTTCAAGCTTATACACTGTGAGCCCACCCTTTTCGTCTTCTAACGCGGCTGCTTAGAACGAAGCTTCCAATAAACGGGCTTCATCATTTCGGGCAGTTTCGAGTGGTTGTGGTTGTGGTCCACGTGTGTGATTGATAACAACCATGGAATTCAGCAGGTTGTGGATATTTTTATTAATGAGCTGCAACTCACACGATTCGTTTCATCCAATCACGGAAGAACGGGAAATCTTCTCGACAACCGTGGATGATAGCAAAATTGTCTCTTTGTCGTGTGGTACAGATGCGAAAGCTGCCAGCTGGCGAGCAGTTTGGATAGAGTCCCTTTCGGCCAAAACACCCTTGCTCTGTGGGTGAAACAAAAAATTGTTGAGCCAAACATGATCAGGGACATGATCACACTGGGCAACAAATTCTGTTTGACAGAGCTACCTCCTGCGGATGAAAATTTGTTTGAAAGATTTGTCCATGGGTGCTGGTTCAAAAGAATGGCTGTGGTCTGTTTTGTTTCCGCTGTACTGTACCCTTCTCACGGGAGGTGTGATTTGGTGGAAGAAAAATGTGGTGATGGAGCAAAGCAGATATTCATCCATCGTACAGTAGTACATTTTCAAGGCCTGCCTGCCGCACTGCTACGTTGCATGCCATTCCTGCCAGTCCCCCCCCTAGCCGCATCCCCGCCATTCATCGTATGCACGCCTTCATCCCCCCATCCCCTTCACACAAATCCGCCATCCAGTTGTGAGTGAGGGTGAAAGGATGGAGTGCTTGGTTGGCTGTCCAGCTGCCCTTTCCGTTTTTCTCTACCACCGTACCCCACCGCTTCTCATCCTTCTGCAGATCTATCCAATCTCTGTCGTGACGTGAAGCATCCGCACCGCATCACAGCCTCACTCACGGTCTTCCTCCAGCCAATCCTGTTCAGTATACAAACCCCCCCTCCGCCATTAGCAGGTTACTTTTCTTCCTCGCCACTATCCTCTCCATCCGATCTCTTCATCCCCTCGATGTGTTCCCAGCACACCAAGGATCAGTGTCACTGACTCCTGCCCAGCCGAGTCCTCTCCTTTCCACTCGCATCAGCTGCCCGTGCCGATTACCAGTCATTCGCCGTTATACGCGCAATCCGCCATGGCGCCCAGTTTCGGCCGTCCCTGGTTCGCCATTTTCAACACAAATCCCGTGCAGGCCAAGGAAGAGAAAGCCCCCATGCCGCCGTCGATCGACTTTCAGCCTTCGATTCGCGTAAGCCAGTTCGGCGGAAAGAGCCAGCGGCAACTCGCAGGCGTCTCCAGCAGCCCGCTCGTGCAGGACCACGTCGCCGCCGTCGCAATGCGCGCCCGCCTCGAGATGCGCAAGGGATTGCCGCAGAGCACCGTGCGCCTTCTCGATCCACCGTCGCTGTCAAGCGCCGCCCCCCGAACCAGTCTTCCGCCGGCGGCTTCCGCCACACTAACCCCCCCGCTCAGCGCCAACACTGAAGCCGCTTCCGGAAGGTCGAGCGCCACCAGTCAAAATTCTTCCGCCATTTCACCGGAACCTGCTGGGATGAGAAAACATCCTTCCGCCAACCCTCCGCCGCTAACAATCCCCCCGCTCGCGCCAAGCCCCTCCGCACCCATCACCCCCCACGGCACGTCCGCCATGCAGCCGCCCCACACGCCGGGCTCGACGGCAGCAGCTCGGGCAACCGCAATCGCGCCAATGACGGCGGAATCGGATCTGGTGGCGGCGCCGCTCAAAGTGGCGGCGCAGTGGAGCCGAGAGGAGTGGCTGCTCGTGGTGCGCGCCGTGGAAGCCGGCGCGACAAGGTGCTTGAAATGCCCAAAGCAGTCCGAGTCCATGGCCGCCGCAACACACGGCGCCATCCACCTCATCCAAAGCCTTAAAACGACGACTGCCGCTTCGACGCCAGGGGTGAACCCGACCTCGAATCCAGGCTCGGCGAAAGGCTCGGGATCCGGCCCGGAGCAGTTTTCAAGCCCTGCCGCTCCCGCCGCAGGCATGCCGAAAGTGGAAATTCCTGCGTCACCGTCGCGGCGCAATCTGTTTTACACCACGTCATCAGGGTCATCTGATGACACCACATTCGTCGATGATTCCGCCACGCTGGCGAGCCGCACCTCGACCGGTTCCGCGTCGACTTCCGACGACGACTACACCGTCAGCGCCGCGACGCGATACGGCAGCTACAGCAGTTTCAACAACAGCAGCAACAAGGGCGCTGCGGCCGCTCAGGCGCCATCCACGTTCATGCTTCCAAGCCCTTCCGGCTGTCCCCGCACGCCCTTCTCGCATCACATGCCACCGACGCCGGCGAATCAGCAAGCCGCCTCTTCCCGCGGCTTGCCGGCCGGCAGCATGATCTTGCCCAGCCGAGCCGACGCGTCGGAAGAGCTCCCCGCGTGTCCGTTCCTCGGCCACTCCGCGCGCTACAGCAGCTACGAGACAAAAGACGCCGGCCGCTCGGCCGAGCCTCCCTCTCCGGGACTCCCGCGAACGATGCTGTTCAGCGGCATGACGACACGCCGCAGCGCCGACGGGTCTCTCCCAGTGCGATCCGCGACGGCGGGCTCGGCAAGCGCAGCCGGGGCGAGCGGGAGCCGGAGCATGGGGATGAGCGCGAGCGGCGTGCAGGTGGACGCGATGAACCGCAAGCTGCTGACGGTGATCACCAAGACGCACGAGATCTTCTCGCGCGACCTCACTCCCAACGGCTCGCAGGTCGCCGATTACCTGCTCTCGCAGCTGCTCGATCTCACGCAGTCCGAGTCGGGCTTCATCGCCAGCGCGCTGAAGCGCGCCGATGGGTCGCTGTACCTCAAGACGCACTCAATTACGAACCTGGCGTGGAACCGCGACCTGCGCGCGTGGTATACGGAGAACGCGCCCAAGGGGCTCGTGTTCGGCAATCTCAAGACCATCTTCGGCCGCGTCGTGACGTCCGCTGACGTCGTCATCAGCAACGACGTGCCCAACGATCCGCGCGCGTCAGGACAAGGCGTGCCTCCCGGGCATCCGGTGATGCGGAGCTTCCTGGGCGTTCCCTTGTTTTCCGGGCCGGATCTGGTGGGGATCTATGCGGTGTCGAACCGCGAGGGGGGCTATAACGAGGGGCTGCTGATGAGCATCCAGCCCGTGACTAAAACGGTGGCGCAGGTGGTGGTGGGCGTGCAGCAGCGGCGCAAGAAGTGGGAGGCGGAGGAGCGACTCAACGACATGCTTGAGGTGCGTGGTGGAAAGGCGGAGGGAGGATGATGGGTGCGAGGTGGATTAGCTGCTTGGATGTTTCCACCTTGTTTCCAGCCACGGCTCTCTCACGCAATCACCCTCAGCCACTGTGCTCAAATTCCTTCCTTTTCCCCTTGTCCACCCCTGCGCGTGCAATTACCTACCAGGCGACACAGCATGCCATGGTGGCGGTGTCAGCGGACGGCAAGCTCACGTGCGCCAACCGGGCGGCGCGCGCGCTCTTTGCGCTGGAGAGCAGCACGGAGGGCGACGGCGATGCGACAGGTGGCAAGCTGCCATTGGGGCTGAAGCTGGCGGACGTGCTGGTCTGCATCGATGGCGATGAGAACTTCATGCAGCGAGGTGAGCCCACACAGGCCTGTTGCCCTTCCGCCTGCACACCAGCCTTCTTGCCCACACACTGTGTGCTCCTAATGCCCTCCCACAGTGTTCGCCCTGTGTGTGGGATCGTGTTTACTAACGGTGCTGCACCACATTACATCCTGCCCCTTTCTCTCAACCACAGGCCTGGATGCCTTTGCTGAGGAGTCGCTTTATGAGTGGTCAGCCGAGGGACGGCAGCACCGGCTGCACGGTGAAGGGGAGGAAGGAGCAGCAGAAGCAGCAGACAGCATGGCCTTGAGAATCACCGTGGCGCGGGGCTCCTCCAGTGACGTGAAATTTGTGGTCACTGCTAGGGAGGCTGCTGCTGGGCGCGGGAGACACTCAGGGGAGGAGGTTGATGGTGATAGAAACGGGATGGAGCAGGGCCATGAGGGGCATGAGGTAGCGTATGCACATGGTGATGAGCAATGTGAGCTCGTGCTGTCAAACGAGGATGGCACTCTCACAATTCTGGCTTGAGCAAATATTCTAGAACGTTTTTGGCGTTTTGTGCCCACGTTTGTAGTTCAAATCAATAATATATAGGCTGGATTGGAGACACACTTGACGAACATGTATTGAAGACACTGGTGTGGATTATTAGGCAATGGCCATCACAGATTGATTTCACTAGTTGCATATTGTGAATGCAGGATTTTACGGATATATGACGGTAACGAACAACCAATTACCTACTGATACCGGGTATGAGTGTATCGGCGTATCATCCTTCCCTTGGCGCACTGTGACTGTATTGGTGTTGCTGTGACTTATGCCGCCGTTTCGAGGCTTGCTTTCAATAAAAGCTTACCGAAGCCTAATGCGAGCGTGATACTAAAGAAGATGACAAAGTACATGGGTCGATTCGCCCAGCCAGAGCTCAAACACGGGATCGCGCTTGGGGTTCCAATAGCGCGAGAAATGGAGGGGCTTGCGTAGCCAATGAGAACTCTCGAAGCCTTTCAAGATAGGGGCTCGCCTGCCCACCGACTTCACATGTCACCGAGGCGCAAATGCTCATTTGCCCACGGTGGCACTTTCACGAGCTGCCCAGTTGTGAGTCTATATCCTCGAGGCGCGAAAGGAAGACACAAGCAGCGAATCACAGGCAGTGATGCTGTCCACACCGAAGCGTCAGGGGCGCTATCCTGCTCCTTGGGCGCTGCTTGGCCCCTTTTCGTCCTGAATTCAACCCCTCCCTTCAACTTTCAAATTCACCTTTGGGTCTGCTGATTGCAACGCACATCAAGTTTCCCTGAGCCAAGCATCAGGAACCAGCAAGCTTGGTTGGAGCAATCAGTCTGTTTCCTGCGTCCCTCAACATTCATTGCCACTTTTATAAACTTCGCCAGCTCTTACTTTACTCTGAACGAACCATGTCGTATCCCATGGCTCGTTTATCTGTCGGTCTGTTTGTCGCCGCCATTCTCGCGTGTGCCTCCACGACAGTGAGCGGTGGCGAACGCGAAATTGAGACCCTCAACTCTGAAGTACGGCTTGCATCAGAGGCCCCACGGTATTACGAGGAGAGGCTTACCGTTGCATCTGTGGATCTGATCGCCCGTCGAAAGCTGAAGTGAGTTTCACTTGCTCATATTGGTTGTGGATTATTCCATCCCACCTCGTCATTGCTACTTCAGCTTACTTACTGTGACTCCTCGATTAAACTTGGCAGGTCGCACAAGAAGAGCAAGAAAGACAAGAGCAAGGACAAGAGCAGCAAGAGCGATAAGAGTAGCAAGAAGAGCAGCAAGAGCAGCAGCAAGAGCAGCAGCACGAGCGACAAGACCAGCAAGTCCAGCAAGAGCAGCGACAAGTCTAGCAGCGGGAGCGGAAAGGCCGTTAAAAACTGCAAGAAGTGCCGTTTGGGTATTGCGGAAGCACCGGGGTCGGGAAAGCGTGCGGCGGGCGTGTGGACGACGAACCCCGTGGACAATTGTTGGTGGTCCGCGGACTGGAAGACCAACCGCCAGGAGCTCGGCAACTGCGCTCCGGGATTCGCCAACGGCACGACGGGCGGAAAGGGCGGAAAGCTGTACGTTGTGACGACGGAGGCGGACGACCCCGTGAACCCGACGGAGGGCATGCTGCGATACGGCATCATCCAGGTGCGACGCAAAGCGACGACGTGCGACACTTTTCTCCCCTCTGATGCTTGGCCTCCAACAGTGCATAGACGATTGCGCGATTACCGTTGCCTTCCTCGACATTCTCACATCCCGTGCTTGTTTTTTTCTTTTCTCATCTCAATTTCCATTTCTTTTCTATTTTCTCTTCCCCTCACGCCTCCTTTACCCCGGTGCCGTGTCTCGCAGAAGGAGCCGCTGTGGATCGTTTTTGAGCGCGACATGGTGTTCGACAAGCTCAAGGCGGAGATGATGATCGCCAGCGACAAGACCATCGACGCGCGCGGCCGCGCCGTCGTCATTCAGAACGGCCCGTGCGCCCGCATCGAGCGATCTAGCAACGTCATCGTCGAGTCCGTCATCTTCCACAATTGCACCATGCGCAGGTACGCGCTCGCTCGTCTCCGTACGCGATAGCAGTTTACTCGCAGCAAGCAAATTACTTGAGTCTTTTTAAGACCGACGTGCCGCGTGCTCCCTTACGCTATGCTGCCAGCACTACCCACTTACCGTTCCGCACTTCCACGCACTCACCTCCCACCTCCCCACCCCTTTCCACTCGCGCTCCTGCAGCGGCACGATCAAGGTGCGGTCCGGGAGGGGCGTGGAGGTGAAAGACTGGCGCGACGGCAACGCGGTGGAGGTGTGGGGGTCGACCAACGTGTGGATCGACCACTGCGGCTTCGAGATGGCGCTCGACACGCAAGTCAACATCGTCGTGGGGTCGACGAACGTGGCGGTTACCAACAACTATTTCGTGAACCAGGACGAAGTGATGCTCATGGGCAACGACGACGCGGCGACGACAGACGACAACATGCGCGTCACGGTTGGGCTCAACGTGTTCGGCCCCAACTGCAACCAGCGCATGCCCCGGTTAGTGCCCTTCCACCTTTTGTTTTTTTCTAGTTGGCTTTAGCATTATCTGCCGACACGTCTAGATGTGGTGAGTGGCAACTTATTATTTTCCTTTCCTCCTGCCAACAGCGGCCGTCACGGGCAGTTCCACGTGGTGAACAACTACTATCCCAACGGCTGGGGCATCTACGCTATTGGCGGCTCCGCTAACGCGCGCTTCCGCAGCGAGGCGAATTACTTCGTGGCAGGGGACATTAAGGAGGTGACGAAGCGACAGGACACGCACGGGTGGGAGGCGAAGCAGATCAGCGACAAGACGTGGACCAAGATCCACGTGTCGAGCGTGGGCTGGCAGAACTGGCCGTGGCAGTCCATCGGCGACCACTTCGAGAACGGCGCTTTCTTTACCGAGTCGGGCAAAAATGTTTTCACGCCGCCCTACGAGTTTAACCCCGTCCCCGCTATGGAAGTCCCCGCCGCTACCAACAGGGCCGGGCCGTTGTTCCGTCGGTATCAGAAGCAGCTGTGACGTGGCGAGTTGCAGTTTCGCGTATGCGAACGTTCGGGGGACGGGGTCGGGGACACATTGGAATAAAGCGCTGTTGCTTAGTTGAGTTGCGACGTCAGGCGGGAGCCTCACTTTGGCTGTGGTGGAGTGACGAGCTCTGATACAGCTCCAGGGGAAAGCAGCCCACAAATACAGATGCTTCACTAGCGGCGCTATTACTCGTAGGAGTAGTTGATTGTCTAAATGGCTTGCTTGGGTCAAGTTAGGATCTTGGAGGCTTGGTCATGCCAGGCTCCATTGCGCGTTGTTACTTTGTGGAAGTTGGTAGCCGGTTTAGGAAGACATGGTGCAATCCTTCCATTTATTATGATAAATAATATGAATCTCTGCTTCTATTATGTTTTATTATATGAAATATTTGCATGCACATGAGCTTCTTTATTCCATGCTGATGTATGTGTCAGTAGATCTGCACTGTGGATGCCCGATTGATCATAGGAGGGGTTACAGGTGCGTTCGCCTGGGGGGTTATGGGCGCACAAACCCGCTACACAAACAAGCCCTTATGTCCAATGGTCTAAGTGGTTGGGATTCTGACAGTACGTAAATCTGACCACCTGAAGTCCATGTGGATACAGCTTCTCTGCAATGAGAAGCAACATTTGATAGGCCAACATTCCTGAGTTGTTTTCACATTACACTACGTTGTTGCACTTCTCATCAGAATCATTCGTTGCACTGTGTGCCTTTCACAGCTGCAGGCTCTGCAGTGCCACCTTAGCAGCCAGTGCCGCCCGGCTCTGCTCCGCATACTGCCGAGCCAGTGCCGCCCGCTTCATGGTGTCTGTCTCCTCCATGGCTGCCAGGCGCTTCTGCAGCAGCCCGTGCAGCTCCGCTGCTGACGCTCCTGCAGGGGGTTGGGGTTAGGGTTGGGGTTGGGGGGACAGGAGCGAGACTGGGAGATGAGGGCCACATGCAGAGAGATACAGCAAGTCATCACCAGTCGGGCAGACAGGCAGACCAGCAATGTTGGCATCAGAGGCCGGCATGAGGTGGAGTGTGGTCCGGCAGTGCCTGGCAAAGCACAGCAAGGCATGACATGGCATGGCATGGTGTGGCATGTCATGATATATCATGGCATCGCGAGGCATGGTGATGCAAGGCATGGCATGGCGATGCATGGCGTGACATGGCGTGGCCTGATGTGGCATGGCATGGCATGGCATGGCATGGGAGGCGAGTGTCACCTGCAACTGGTTGCAGGGCAGCAAAGGTCACAAGCTCGTCGTACGATGGCAGGTACTCGCGGTATGGAGGCACCTCGGGGGCTGTTACCGACCCACCACCTTCCAAAGCCCCCCTGCTCTCCCTGCCCTCAACGTCACCTGCCTTCTCACTCTCGCCCCCACCCTCACTCTCACTGCTGCTGCTGCTGCTGCTGCTGCTGCTGCTGCTGCTGCGAGCAGTCTTGCCAAAGTCAGGGTCAACAGTCACAGAGGCCGGATCGACAGCCACTGTGCTCTGGGTGGCCGGCGTCGGCAGCCCTTGGAAGCCCAGGAACCGGGCGGCAGACTCGAGCTGTTCGGGCGGCAGCTGGTCGGGCTCCACACCGTCATCATCGGGCAGAATGGACCACGATGATGGCGATGCCTCTGTGCTTCTGCTGCCGCTGCCGCTGCCGCTGCTGCTGCTCTTTGCATCGCCTGCAACTGCACCCACGCGTGTGCCTGCACCTGTGCGTGGTGCGTCACCAACTGTCTGGGGCGAGGCAGCAGCGGGCTGTTGGGCTACGGCAGTGGCAGACGTGGCAGGGGCGCCAGGTGCTGTGGGTGCTGGTGGTGGCGCAGCAGCAGAGGCGGCAGTGACGGTGTCCACCCAGCGCAGAGCCCTCTCCAGCGGCGTCTGTAGGGGCACGTCCGTGCTGGTCTGCACAAAGGGTGGAGGGGTGAAGGGTGGAGGGGTGGAGGGGTGGAGGGGTGGAAGGGTGGAAGGGTGGAGGGGTGGAGGGGTGGAGGGGTGGAGGGGTGGAAGGGTGGAAGGGAGAGATGGAAGTTATGCAGTGATTCATCACTGTGCATCCCGTGATTCATCACTGTGCATCCCTTGATTCATCACTGTGCATCCCTTGACCTTCAAGTTCCAGTCTACAAGTACTCGATCGTCCTCATGCATCCACCCTGCCATACGCCCTACCTTGATCTTGATCTGCAGCTCCTGCACGTCCCTCAGCACCGCTCTCAACTCCTCAACCGCCTTGTTCACCTCGCTGTCCGCGCCATCCGCCCCTGCCCCCTCCTCTGAGCGATCATCCGTGACGACAGCGACCTGGCCGCGCAGGAAGGGCTCCACCTGCGTGAGCTGCTGCAGGCGGATGCGCCCCACTCCCCTCACCGCCACCAGCGCTCCCACCTGCAGCTTGCGCACCTGCAGGGGGAAGGGTGAGGGGACAGGGTGGGGAAAGGCAGCATAGGGTGGAAGAAAGACTTTGTTAGAGGAGGGAGGTTGTGTGGGTCAACGAGCAGGAGGGAGCAGAGTAAGCGGAAGCAAGAGGCAGAGGAGGGAGGCAGGAGGTAGGAGGTGGGAAGCAGGAAGCGAGAGGCAGAGGAGGGAGGCAGGAGGGGAGAGCGCACGCTTTCAACGTAGGAGAGGCAGCCATAGGAGGCGACGAAGGTCATGCCCTGGCCGTCCTCCGATCGCATGGGCTCCAACACCACGTGCCCCAGCAGCCCTCTGCTGCGCGAGAGCACCTGTGGTTGCATGCATGGCGGACATTGGGTGCATGGGGTGCATGGGGTGCATGGGGTGCATGTTGCACAATGTGGTTCAGAAAAGGATGAGCACGATGATGCAATGCTCTAATATGTCTGGTACGGGGCCATGAAAAAGATGGGACGGTACAAGGAGCACTCCGGGATGGCACAATCACATGACTTTCCCATGGCTCCCCCCCATGCACACAGCGCAGAGTGCCGTTGTAGGTGCAACGCACCTCCTCGAGCAGGGCGAGGTAGCGCGCCTCGTAGAGATGCAGCGTCTTGGACGACCCGGGAAGGAACACCTGCCGCCATGATATGATAGCACACGCCGAGGGACACACACAGAGGAGAGACACGCGCAGGGGACACACGCGCAGGGGACACACGCGCAGGGGACACACGCGGAGGGGACACACGCGGAGGGGACACACAAGAAACGGACAATGTGGGTCACTGGTGGAGCTCTGCAGGGTCAAAAATGAAAGAGCCAGTTGCTATCGCCATTGTGCAATGTGCACGAGCTCTGCAATGTGACCTGTGCAATGTGACCTGTGCAATGTGACCTGTGCAATGTGACCTGTGCAAGAACCACATCCCCTTCACTTGCACAATGGCCCTCTTGAGTCCCCCGTTCAACCCTCTCGATCTCCTTTTGACCCCGCTGACTCGCCTGTTGACTTGCTTGACTCACCTCGGCGGGGTTGAAAGGCAAGCAAGGCAGCTCCATCACAATCCCCCCCTCGTTGCTGATGTCAGCACCGTCTCTGCTGCCTGCTTGTGCGCATGCGGCGACAAGGGCATAAATGCGTGATGTCAGAGCGATGCATTGATCGTGGCTGGCAGGAACGAGACATGTTAGGAGCGTGGCGACAGCCAGTACGGAGAGTAAGGAGGTTCGGGAGTGAGGGGAGCGGAGCGACGTCACGTGGAAGGAATGCCAGCAGGAAGCACCTTACTCGGCTTAACGGAGAAGTCGCTATCGCGTTGGTCGGCAGCCCTCACGGAGACTCGCCGGGCTCGTCGGAATCGACCTGGCTGCTGTTGGAGTGTCGACCGATGCATTGGCAATCGCGAAAGTGAGGAAAGACGAGCGCGGCATTGGAGCGATGCGCAGGGGGGAGGGAAGCGAGAGAACGCAGGTTGCGGCGACGGAATCTGGCATCTGCTGTGAAAGGGATCCGCGAGAGAGCCGCCAAGTTGCCGACTTTTAGGCACTGACGCGGCTGGCGACAGGCACGAGCGTGGAGTGTGGACGGTGTTGCAGCGAATGAGGTCCATGGTGATCGCGATCGCGACGGCCTTATCTTCCGCGTCCGCGTGCCACGCAGATGACGCTTCCAATAAGGATCAGCTAACGGACCAGCCACGGATGTCCGAAGAAATGATGCTACTGTGCTGCATGCACGCCTTCGAGAACTTCTGGAGGCTGAGAATAGCGAGGTGTGCAATCGAGAGGTGGAAAATGAAATTCAGAAGCACCTGGTGGTGAGGAAGGGCATGCCTGACTGACTGGACTTACCTGTAAATGCAGTTTTGGCGGGAAAGCTGAAGCTGCTCATGTGGCCGCTTCTCGATGTACATGCTTCACGGTGATTGGGTGCAAGAAGGAATAGCGTTCGTGTATCCCCGTCACGGTCAATGGACAAGGCAACTCGATTTGAATACAGAAATCCTAAACTTGTCAGTCCTAAACTTGCAAGTTGCATCTTGCAACCACTAATAATAAGACCTAAAAACAATTACAGCTCATCCTTCCTCTCATCCTCGTCCTCCTCGCCATCCTCAGCATTGGCAATCTCCTCCGCCTCGGCCAATTCCTCCACGGTCGGGGGAGAAGCAGCAGCCTTCTTGGCTCCCTTGTGTTTCCGGACAAAGGCGAGGAGACTGGCCTTGGAGTTGTCGCCAGCATAGGGCACGGCAACGCCAGCGGATGTGTAGAGGTAGATGGTTGGCAGTGCCGTCACGTCAAACTTATCCGATGGAATGTCGTTGGCAGAGAAATCCTGCAAGCATGGGGCATGCCGAATACCGTATGCAGAGACGACAGCGCGCTTAGGCATTGTGCCCCTTGGGATGCAGTGCCATGGCAATCCAGATGCTTGTATTCAACGGTGCATTGTGCACACATATGCATGCGTGCCAACACCCAATCACCATCGTGGCACCCTCGCTGCATGCAAGCACATCATGCGACGCCACTGACCATCTTGGCGACGACAACATCCCTCTGGCCGGAGAGAGACTCTGCCACGTCCTTGAGCACGGGATCCAGGTCAGCACAGGCTGTGCACCACGGGGCGTGGAACTCCACCAGCACTGGTGTTGGGGGGATGGGGGTGAGAGGAAGGGGATTAGGTGAAAGCACGAAGGTGAGGAGGAGAAGGGCTGCGCTGCAGAGTTCTTGAGCAGCAGGGGGGGGCTGATGAAAGCAGGGTGTGCATGCGTGTGGATGGACATCCATCAGCTCTGATGGTTGGCGTCCGCCAGAGCTGTTAAAGCACAGACAGTAGCAGTTGCGAGAGGAATTGTGAGGGAGACGATGCCGTCGGCGTCGGCCTCTAAATGTGACCGGACTGCAGGCAGAGAGGCAGAGTGGGAACAAGGGAGAGACCTGAAGCAAAACAGCACATGGACAACAGCATAGCAGCGAGAAAACGTGGGCAGCTGTGGCAGCGGGAGCACGCGGACAGCAGCATAGTAGCGAGAGCATGCGGATAAGAGCAGGGAGCAGTTTGTTCTCACCATTCTTGCGGGTAAGAGCAGGGAGCAGTTTGTTCTCACCATTCTTGCGGGTAAGGGCAGGGAGCAGTTTGTTCTCACCATTCTTGCGGGAATTGAGCACAAGGTCCTTGAAGCTGTTGGCCACGACCTTCTTCACCGCCCCTGAGTCCCCCTGTGGCACCGCCTCACTCTTCAACACCCTCTCCGCCCTCCCCGCCTGCTCCCAGGGGGTCGTGGGCATGGGAAGGGGAGGGAGGCCAGGGAGGGTGAAGGGAAGCGCCAGGATTAGGTGGGTTGGAGGAAGGTGGAGGCACAGATGGCATAGAACATACAGAGGGTGTGGTATAGGAAGGGACAAGGAGGCAGAAGTGGGGGAGGGCGGCCGTGTGAAAAGCGGGTTTGAAAGAGGGCAGACCCAATGGAGGTAGGAGCAGAGCGAGGGGGGCCTGAGGGAGGGCCATCTGGGGGAGGGCGGACCTGGAAGTCGGCGAGGAAGGGGGCGATGTCAGAAGGAGCAATGTGGGTGCGGATGAACTTGGCATCGTAGCGCGGGTCGTGAATCACCATGGCTGGCGTGTCGCTCACTGCCAGCCCAAAGTACTGCCGGGATGCACACGGGGCCAAGGGGTTTGGGGGCAGTGTACGGGAAGGGCTTCATTGGAAAGAGTTGTGGGGAATATTAACGGGGAGGTGAGAGTGTTGCTAGCTGCTAGCTGCGAGCTGAGAGTTGAGAGCTGAGAACTGAGAGAGAAAAAAAGGAGTTGAACATATACTTGTAGGAACCAGCCCGTGTGCTAGTGTGGGTGTAGTTTGAGTGAGTGAGGCCATGGCAATCCCTCCCTCGCTCCCACCTTGAGAGCATGCTCATTAGCAGCAGCCTCCCCGATGACGAGGCGGATGGAGTCGGGCTGCTCCTGTGCCGCCTCCACGTACCGGCTGCGAAACTCTGGTGCATCCGGCAGGCTGTAGGTCAGGAACAGCAGCGACTGCAGGGGGGAGGGGGGGGTAAGTTGGGATGGGGGGGGAGACGCGGAGTGTGAGGGAGGGCGAGAGAGGGAGGGAGTCGGGCTCCTCCTGGGCTGCCTCCACGTACCAGTTGCGGAACTCAGGTGCATCGGGCAGGCTGTATGTCAGGAACAGCAGCGACTGCAAGGGGGAGAGGGGGGGGTGGTGGCTTGGGAGACGCGGAGTGGGAGGGAGGGAAGCGGGAGAGGGAGAGGGAGAGAGAGGGGCTGACGCGCTGCCTGCAGGGTCACCCGCGGAGCTCAGGCGCATCCGGCAGGCTGTACGCCAGGAACAGCAGAGGCCGCAGGTGTGGGTGTTGGTAGAAGCGCAGAGAGATTCAGGCTTTCGTCGGGATGCATTACGAGAGGGTGAGCAGCAGAGTGGGAAGCACGGTAGGGAGAGTCCGACAGGCAGAAGCAGCAGCTAGAGAGAGGGGGCGAGGTAGAGGGGTGAGGTGAGGCACCTTGTTGGTGGGCGCCTGGAAGACGCGGGCGAGGTAGGGGCGGTCCTTGGGGTCCTGGCTGAACTCCACCACCCTCGGCACCGCGTGGCGCTCTATGAACGCCTTCAGTGCTGCCGCTGTGAACTCCTGCTCGCCAACGGGGAGGGCAGAGGGGCAGGAGGACAGGGGGGGACGGGGGCAGGGGGGCAGGGGGAGAGAGAGGAGGGGAGCGAGAATCAGGGGGACAGGGGCCAAGGGTCTTCATCCCCACGTCACGTGCGTGTAGGGTTACCCCTCCTCCACCACCTTGGGCAGGCGCACAGCCGAAAGGGAGGGGGAGGGAGGGGAGGAGGGCCACGAGGGGATCCAACGACTCACGTGGGTGGGCCAGTGGCGTGCAGGACAGCTGTGCTGCTGTGAATGCCCCACCCGCTGCAGCAGCGCCTCACCTTCGCATCTCACCTGTGAATGGTCGTTGCAGCAGCGGGATGTGGAGGGGCAGGGCTCACCTCTGTGTCGGAGTACCCCTCGTCGAACTGCTTCAGCAGGCGCACTGCAGGAGCCTCGAGCTGGGGCCCCTTGGCGGGCAGCAGCGCGGCGTCGGTGGTGTGCTTGAACACAAAGTCGGTGCGCAGCTCCCTCGCCACTGACAGGAACGACTCAAACTCAGGCGACGAGAGCGCTGAAAACAGCCCCACCTGGCGCGCAGGAGGGGGGGATAAGGGGTGGATGCAGATGGCATAGGAAAAATGAGGGGTTGGAAGGGGAGGAAGGGGTGGAGTGAAGGGCGGAGGATAAGGGCCAGGCCAGGGAGATGGTTGGCAGGGGAATAGCGGCATGGGGAGGTTAGGTTAAGCAGGGTGGAAACAAAAGGTGCAGGAACAAGCACGGGACGGGGAGAGAGAAGGGGGCACACAGATGCGCGGCAGTGACTCACCACAACAACTGCATCATCCTCCATGGCGCGCTTGAGGTCTGAGCCCGACCGCACCTTGGTGCTCGCCGGCCAGCCCCAAGAGGTGCACGGCACACACACGGCACGCAAAGAGAGAGGGGCAGAGATGGGCAGCAATGCCAGTGACTCACCACAACAACGGCTTCGTCCTCCATGGCGCGCTTGAGGTCGGAGCCCGACCGCACCTTGGTGCTGGCCGGCCCCGCCTGCTTCTTCAGATACGCCACCAGCCCCACTGCTTCCCGCGGGCCCTTGTACGTCAGCGGCGATGCGTAGTCCCTGGGGTGGGGGGGGGGAGGGGAGGGAGGGTGAGGGAGGGAGAGGTGGGATGGAGAGGGGTGGCGTGGATGGGAAGTTTTGAGACGCGTCAACATGGTAACCGGGGTGGGTGGGGTGGGTGAGACGGAGAGAGGGATGAAGAAGCGAGAGGGGGGAGTGTGGAATACGATGGACCTCACCTCACAGTCGTGCAGCTGCTGAAGCACTCATGAGAACAACCTTTGAACCAGAGCAGGCGCCAGGCGGCATGTCATGGCAGAGCAGGCGCCAGGCGGCATGTCATGGCAGAGCAGGCGCCGAGAGCAGGCAACTCACGTGCGGAAGATCTTGATGGTGGGGAAGCCCCCTACGCCGTACTTCCTGGCGATGGCCTTGTGCTTCTTCTCGTCGCCGTTGATGCGCGCCAGCACTATGTCCGACCCCTCCTCCACCAGCATCTCCGCTGCCTTGACATACTGCACAGCACAGCACATGGGGAATAACGAGCAGACATCTCAGTCGGACTCAAAAGGCGAGGGCTTTGTGCTTCTTCTGGTCGCCGTTGATGCGCGCCAGCACTATGTCCGACCCCTCCTCCGCTAGCATCTCCGCCGCCTTTACATACTGCACAGCACAGCACAGCACAGCACAGCACACCACAGCACAGCACAGCACAGCACGGCACACCACAGCACAGCACAGCACAGCACAGCACAGCACAGCACAGCACATAGGGATGACTTTAGAGGCGAATCAAAAGTCTCCTAGCGATGGCCTTGTGCTTCTTCTCATCGCCGTTGATGCGCGCCAGCACCATGCCTGACCCCTCCTCGACCAGAATCTCGGCTGCCTTGAAATACTGCATGGCAGAGCACATTGGGAAAGACGAGCACATGCCACGTGGCACAATGTGACGTGTGCAGGCGGCCAGTCATGTGCAATGCGGTGGAAGTATTGAGGCTTATGGTGTGTCAAGATGAATCACGGTGGAGCGCGGTATGCGTTGGAGCTAGCTGCACTGAACGCGGCAAGCTATCAAGCGCTATGGTCGTAGCACTGTTCTCGCCTTCCTTCACTCGCTCTCCTTCACTTCAATCTCTTTCTCTCTCCGTCATTGTCTCGCATCGCACCTCCCTCCTATCCCGTCTCCACATTTCCCTCGCGCGCTTACCTCTGGCTCTAGTCGTTTGCAGTGACCGCACCTGCCGACACAAGAAGGCGAGGCGGTGGGGAATGCGGGTAAGGATGAGGGAATGGGAGAGATGTTTAGCGAGTGGGGTCGAGGTCGATTCAACGGGAAGAAACGAAAGATGCGGTGGGGATGGACGAGCGCAGCGCAGCGAGGCGACGAAATTGCGACGAAATTCCGGAACTGGCAGAGTATGGCGAGTGCCATTACGGAATGCAATGCCGGAAAGATGTGCCACCGCATGGACAAGGAACGCGAGCGCGATCGAGCATCGGGAGAGAGGGAACGGGCGTACCAGGGAGCATAGAACATAACAGCGATAAAGTCGTGACTCTTAACCTCCGACTCGAAATTCGTGAAGTCGAGCGTCAGCACCTTGCCATCATCAGCCGCTGCAGCGCACGACAGGCTGACCACGGCTAGAACCGCGAGCAACGCCAGCGCAATGCGCGTGCCAGCCATGAGGAGAAATGCAGTTTACAACCTTGCCTAAGAGACAAATCTTAGTACCAGACGAGGAACCTAGGAATATTACCACGCCGAGACTAGCAAATTTGTGAAGTCTGGTCCAGACGGAATGGTATTTCCGATGAAGTGGTAATTTGGTCAAGGTGGGGTGGGAAAGATAACTCGATCATCCCAAGGTCGCTGGCGAGAGTCAGGTAGACAAAACAATTCTGACAACATGTTTGTACTGGCTAAGCTTACAATAAGGTGGCTACGTGGTTACTAGAAATAACCATTGTACAAATACACAACCACTACAATAACCTACAGCTAAAATGGATATGCTACAGCAGCCCCCTAAAGGAATCCTTAGGCCCAAATCTAAGCCAGGATGAAGGCAACTAGCTTCAACAGCCCTACACACACAACTTATTAATCAAATGACATAAAAATGTGTGATTGGTCCTTCTAAGTGGACTGAAGGGCTTGCTGCAAGACAGCTTGCTGCTCCGGGGGCAGAGCCCCCACTATCTCCGCTGGTAGGCTCCTCAGCAGCGTCACACCTCGCTTGCACGTCTCCTCTGTTGCCAAGTCCGTGCCAGCCTTGAGCACCTGGGGGAAACAAATCAAAGCCAAGCATAATTAATGGCCGCGTTCATTATCAGGCTTCCGGAGAGACCCTAAACCCTACCAGACCCCGGAGGCCTGATATGTGTGGCAAGAAAAAGGCTCGGCACAGCAGAGCAGCGAGAACATGGCAGCGAGTGCATAGGTAGGTGATGAGGAGTCAGGTTGTGCCTACACATACCTCTAGCAGCACTCCGACAATGTGGGGCAGGTTCTGGTTGTTGGGGCCCAGAATACGAGCGTCCGACCTGACCACCGTAGGGAACGGAGTGGAGGGGTAGAGTGTCAGACAAAGAAAGAAGGGGGGGAAACAGGAAAAGGAAAAAAAAGCTCGCAGTCTTTATCATGGATCGTGGGTGGCAGAGGGAGTCCAGGCAGGGGCAAGCAACGCACCTTTCCAGCAGGCCACAGAGCTGGGCGTGGGCGACCTTGGCCTCTGCACGGTCCTCCCGGATGGGCAGGTAGGCGAGCCACACGGACAGCACGTGCGCCGAGTCGAAGGGTGCGTGCGCCTGGTGCTCACACAGCCGCCCCAGCGCTGATATGGCGTTGTCTGTGGCTGACACACTCAGCTCGCTCTTGCTGTCCCCGCTGCTCACCACCTGGCCCAGCCGTGCCACCGTGTCTGCATTTGCATGGCGGACAGGGGAGGAGATGGGATGGAGTGCATGGCACACATGAGATGACACGTGATGGCGAGCACACCAAGAGGCAAGGAGAAGATGCTGGGTTGATGAGGGGGCTCCAATCAGCAGGAAATGCGGATGACTGGGGCAAGGGAGTTGAGGTGGAGGAATGGAGAGTAAGAAAGCGAGAAACAGAGAGCTGTGAGCAGGGAGGGGGAGGGAGCAGACCTGGCACGTATGGCGTGAAGGCAGCACCACCATGTTGTGCACAGATGCCAATGCCATATGCTGCTGACTGCACTCGCACACACGGGTGAAGCACAGCAGGAGGGAAAAGGAGGCAGCAGCGGTAGAAAATGTTGAGTGTCATCCAGCTGGGAGGGATTTAAAGACCGATTGAAGAAAGAGGCAGGGCAATCACAAACAGGGATGGGAATGGAAAATCACGTCAAGAGGCAGAGTGTGGTAGGCGTGGGTGGGAGCAGAGGGGCAGGCGGTAGCAGTGGCGTGAGGTACCTGTCGGATCTCGGGCAAGGGGTCGAGCACGGCTTCCAGGATGTGCGGCAGGAACGCCGGGAAGTAGCTGGTGGGGGGGAGGGGCGAGGGAGTCGGGAATGAACGATGGGGCGGTTGTGGCAGGGAAACGAAAGGGACGAGAAGGCTGGGAGCAGTGATAGACGTGAGTCGTAGGAAAGAGAGGTGAAGTACAGTCAAGATAAGGAGCACGAGCCCCAGGAGGAAGATAGCAGAGCATGGGGAGCAGAGAAGGCGAGCAGAGGAACACACCTGGCGGCAGCATCGCCCATGTTCTCCGCCAGGTCGTCAAAGATGCATATGCCCACCCTCCTCTCCGTGGACGGCCGACTCTTGTCCTGCACGCCAGGGGGAAGGGGGGAGGGAAAGGGCAGCGCAACCCGGAGTTACGTCCGCTTGGCTGTGAAGGGAGAATCTGAGGTAAGGGATAGGGGCATGAGAGTTACGTGAGAGCAGATTAGTGCTTGCAGAGTTTGCTCCAAGGGTTGGAGGGGCGGCACTGACCATCATTTGAAGCACGAAGGGGGCGAGATCATCGGCCAAGGGCTTGAAGCTGCCCTTGAACACCCGCACCAGCTCTCCTATGCAGTCGCCCACCTGCCACCACCGCACAGCACCGCACAGCAATGCATAAAGGGCTTAGGGTGTTGTCGTCTGCAGCACGAAGGGGGCAAGGTCGTGGGCCAAGGGCTTGAAGCTGCCCTTGAACACGCGCACCAGCTCTCCTATGCAGTCGCCCACCTATATAACCGTGCACCGCACAGCACCGTACAGCAATGCAAAAAGCAGCACACACGGATGTTGTAAGGTGCCCTGGATCTTGATTGATTCAAAACAGTCACTTTGGAATCAACATCAGCGCATCTCCTTCCACACCTTTGCTCCTTACTCCATCCTTAGCTAGTGGTCGCCCCTTAGTCCCCTGCTCTCCCCCATCCACCCACTGTACCCCTTACTACTTGAGCCTCACCTTAGCCCCTCTCCTTCCGCATTCCACCCAACCCATGCACCACTTCAACGCCCCTTCTGTTCTCCACGCCAAATCCCCATCTGCACGCCTCCAGTCCCTCCCTCTCTCCCCATGCCCCTCTCCCCACTGTAACCCTTCCCTCCCCCCCAGCGGCAACACAGCAGTACAGCTCTTACTTGCCCTCACTCCCCACCCACCCTACCACCAAACCCAGCAGCAGCAGCAGCAGCAGCGCATGACTGACCTGGTCGAGCACCTCGTCCTCCTGCTCGTTCTCCTCCTGCAGCAGCTCGCTCTCCTCCTCGTCAAAGTCCTCTGTCTGTGTGCGCTCCAGCCGCTCCTTACGCCGCCCCCGGCTGCCCTCCACCACCGCCTTCAGCTGCACCACCACCTGCGCCACCTGCTCCGCACTCAGCTCTGCTCCCCCCAGCTGCCGTTCAGAGGCGATGGAGGGGACACGGGGAGGAGAGGAGGACAAGGGAGGGGAGAGGAGATGAGGGGAAGCGAGACGAGGGAATTGACTTTGGTGGAGAATCACTTTTAGTCAGAACGGAGCAAAGGATGCAGTACACAGAACATTACTTGCAGTGGATGCTAGTGTTGGAAACACGTCGTAAAATTATGTTGGGAACTCCTAATCTCATGTAAAACAGATTGTATCTCATGCTGGAAACTCCTGGGCTCACCTGAATGCATTCTTGCAGCGACTCGAGCATGGCGACAATCATCTCCACCTCAGGCTCCTGGCAGGGGGAGAGGCACAGGAGCACGCAGCACGTAGAAACAAGCAAAGGGGGCGTCAAACACGTTTGAAGAAGGACGTCACAGAAGGCAAAAAGCGTGCTGGAATCAACCATGGTTGTGAGAACGAGAAACATCCTGCCTCAGCTGTGCTGAACCTGTTCAGACAGCACCTACCTTGGTGAGCACCTCCACGAGGGGTGGCACGAGGAAGTCGACCATCTGCTTGAGGTAGCGCTTCTCGCCCTCCGCTGTCGCTGTCACTGCCGGTGACCTTTGAGTCAACTCAGAAAGCACCCCCACCAGACAACACCCACCTTGGTGAGCACCTCCACAAGGGGCGGCACGAGGAAGTCGACCATCTGCTTGAGGTAGCGCTTCTCGCCCTCCGCTGTCGCTGTCACTGCCGGCGCCACGCCCTTCTCCACTGCCAGCTTCCCGTCCAGCAGCAGCTCCGGGATGGCTGTGGGGATGGGGAGAGGTGTGGGGAGAGATTCGGAGAGGTGGGGTGAGGTGTGCAGAGACGTTTGGAGAGGTAGTGAGAGGCTGGAGTGGAGCAGGTAGAAAGGGGCAACTGGGAATGCACCCGCGGGACCAAGGACGAAGGATGGAACGAAGGGCAGCACAGGGAGCGGGGCTTACATTGGGCGGCGGCCTTGCGGACCTCCTCGTGGAAGTAGAACTTGAGCAAGGGCACCATCAGCTGTGCAACCTGTGAGAGGGGATGCATGGCACAGGGCCGCAGGGGAATGACAGCACGGCACAGGGGCATAGCATGGGAGGATGGAAAGAGGTGAGTGAGCTGAGAGGCAGCCTTGCGGACCTCCTCGTGGACGTAGAACTTGAGTAGCGGCCCCATCAGCTGCTCCACCTGTGGGGAAGCACAGCACCGCATTGCACCGCACAGGGGCGACGACGCACATGAGCACGCGCACAGGCACACACACGCACACATGAGGGGGGAGGAGGGGGGGGGTTGTGAGCTTCACGTGACGCACGTGGTGGGCACACCCCGTGTAGGAGTCTGAGTAGGTTGAGTTCGTAGAAAATAGTGCTCGTGCACGGGAGTGAGACCATCCACTCATTTCATTGTTTCATCAACGAGCCTGCTACCCCTCCCCCCATTCCCCCACCCCCCCCCCCCCCCCACTCTGGCATGCATGGTGTCGTTTCCCCAAACACACCCCCTCCCCACCCGCCCGTGACCTTACCTGGTCGATCCAGGGGAAGAAGCCCTCTTTGAGCTCGTCAGCGTAGCAGCAGAGCATGTTGCACGCCGTCGCCTTCTCCTCCAGCATGCTTGTGCGGATGCCGATCTTCTTGTCGCCTATCGTTATCGTCTCCACACTGTGGCGAGGCGACACAGGGAGTGCATGTGCGGGTGAATGTGGGTGCCACGGGGAGGGGGGTGGGAGAGGTGGTGAGGCATGCTCGAGCGAATGCCGATCTTCTTGTCGCCTATCGTTATTGTCTCCACACTGTGGCAAGGCAGGGCGTGCAGGGGACATGCGGGCCCACGGGGGAGGGGGCAGTGGGGAGAGACCGTGAGTGGCATGCACACAGGATGCATGATGCGTTGAAGGCAGTGCACAACACACACCCAAGCAGTGATGGCGCACACATGGCTACAGTGGTGGCGACATTACCAGCCTGTGCAGGGACGCTTCAGTGAATGGCATGAGAGTCAGGACAGCAGGCATGGCGATTCAGGTGATACGCAGCATGGTTAGGAGAACATGTCACAGTCGCCTTCATGTCACAGTCGCCTTCATGTCACAGTCGCCTTCATGTCACAGTCGCCTTCATGTCACAGTCGCCTTCATGTCACAGTCGCCTTCATGTCACAGTCGCCTTCATGTCACAGTCGCCTTCATGTCACAGTCGCCTTCATGTCACAGTCGCCTTCATGTCACAGTCGCCTTCATGTCACAGTCGCCTTCATGTCACAGTCGCCTTCATGTCACAGTCGCCTTCATGTCACAGTCGCCTTCATGTCACAGTCGCCTTCATGTCACAGTCGCCTTCATGTCACAGTCGCCTTCATGTCACAGTCGCCTTCATGTCACAGTCGCCTTCATGTCACAGTCGCCTTCATGTCACAGTCGCCTTCATGTCACAGTCGCCTTCATGTCACAGTCGCCTTCATGTCACAGTCGCCTTCATGTCACAGTCGCCTTCATGTCACAGTCGCCTTCATGTCACAGTCGCCTTCATGTCACAGTCGCCTTCATGTCACAGTCGCCTTCATGTCACAGTCGCCTTCATGTCACAGTCGCCTTCATGTCACAGTCGCCTTCATGTCACAGTCGCCTTCATGTCACAGTCGCCTTCATGTCACAGTCGCCTTCATGTCACAGTCGCCTTCATGTCACAGTCGCCTTCATGTCACAGTCGCCTTCATGTCACAGTCGCCTTCATGTCACAGTCGCCTCCATGTTCTCCCTAACAATGATGCGCATCACCTGAGTCGTCATGCCTGCTATCTTGAATCCCACGCCATTCACTGAAACATCTCTGCACAGGCTAGTAATGTCGCCACCACTGTAGCCATGTGTGCACCTTGCCAACTGTCGATGAGCTGGCGAGGCGCACACATGGGCCACAAGTCAAAGCACATTGTCTCATCGCACCACATTTAACACTAAGAGTGTTGGCATTAACTCTTTGGCCGCACTTGATTCCTGACGTTGGGTTTGAGTGAGACAAGATGAAATTACTTGTGAGTTGACCCAAACGTTACCACACCAGCCAGCCAATCACCCACCTGTCATCATCGTCATCATCATTGGCGGTGTCGTCGTCAATATCGGAGATGGTGACGTCGGGCTTGAGCGAGGCGGAGTGCAGCAGCGGCGGCATCACCACATGCATGAACGGCAGGAACTCCGCTCCCAGACACTTGCACAGCCTCGCCCACGCCTTGCCGCACAAGCAGGGTGGAGGGGGTGGGAAGGAGGGAGGGGAAGGGGGAAAGGAGGGGGTAAGGGTGGATGGGGGAAAGCGTGAGAAAGGGGGAGGGAGCGGGTAGGAGGGAGAATGGGGGTTGGGGAGAAGTGAGGGGAAAGGGATTGGAGGGGGTGAGCGAGGCGGAGTCCAACAGCAGCGACATGACCACGTGAGACGTCTCCAAAGCATGTAGCTTACGTTGACGTCATACCTGCAGCATGTAGCTCATGGTGAGGTCGTCGTCGTCCATGGGCGCGGACTGCAGCGACACGAGCACCTGCATCACCTCCTTGGCGTCGGCTCGGAACTTGTCCTTGCCCACCGCCATGCCCACCAGGCTGATCGCCTCCATTGCTTTGGCGCGCAGCATGCGCTGCTCCTTGTCGCCCGCCTGGGTGAGGACAGTCTTGAGGTACGGCATCACCCCGTCGTAGTACTTTGAGAAGTGCTCCTGGGGGACGACGGAAAGGTGGGAAAGCGGGAGAGGGACAGCGGGAGCGGGGGCGGTAGGGTGGGGGGTGTTTGATGGAGGGGGATTCACACGAGGGTGGAAGGATGAGGAGGTAAAGATGCAGTAGGTCCGGCAACTGAGGTTACAGCAGCGAGGGAGAGAGGCAAAGAGCAACGCTAGTGAAGTTAGAGCAGCAATGGGTGCGTATTGACAAGACAGTCAAGTCAACGCGGTCAACGCGGTCAACGCACCTGAGAGCAGTCAGCGATGGCAGCAATGGCTGTGAGCGACCCCTCCTGCACCATGCGCTTGCCGAACTGCACGCACACGCCGAATCCACATGGAAGGACGCTCTTATCAGACGAGTCAACGCGCACCACGTGTCATGAGCAAGCACGAGCGGGGAGGTGCACGCACGCTCAAGTGCAGGCGTTCAATAAAGAGAAAATGCATGCCCAGGGGTGCGAATTCACTGCACATATGGTGATATCAAATTTATCTGAGTGGGCATTCATTAGTATGCTCCAATTGACATAGTTTTGTTTCGTTTTCGAGGAGGTGGAGGGGAAGAGTGGAGGGGCGGCTTTGGAGACCCTCCTTTTCCGGTTCCATATTACCCCAACCCATCAACCCGCCCAGTCTGCTCTGCTCCCACCAAAGCAATCATTTCCCACAGCAATTCCCCGACACCCCCTTCCCCCCCACCGGCCTCTCACCTGCAGCAGCTGCAGCAGCTTATTGAGCAGCTGGTCCAGGTACGGCGCCATGATCTCGGGCGTCGCGGCCTCGCTGAAGTTGAGGATGGCGGCGGTGGCGTGCGCCTGCACGCGCGGGTTGGCGCCGTCGTCCATGGCGGCGATGAGCGCGGGCAGCACGCGCGCGTGGTACTGCTGCTGCAGGTCCGGGCCCAGGTCCGTCGACAGCTGCCCCACCGCGTTGATCGCCGCCCACCTGCCAGCGAACAGAAAATTCAGCGCTCAAACTCCTTATCGCCATGTCATGATTGTTCAAGAATGTACGGGACGCTGTAGAGAAGACAAGAACGAGGGGAGTAGGGGCGGGTGCTGCGGTAGCGTGTGGGGATGGATGGGCGCGCACCTGACGCGCGGGTTGGGGTCGTTGAAGGCGGCGAGCACCATGGTCACCACCGACTCCAGACTCTTCGACATCACCTGCACGGGGAGAGAGGCGCGGGGCGGAGAGGGGTGCAGGGGAGAAGGGAAGGGTGCGGGGGAGAGGGGTGCGGGGAGAGGGGTTAAACAGGAACTGAGCGCTTGTAAGGGTATCGAGGAAGAATGTGGGAAGGGTCGTAGCCAGGGGGGAGTAATAGATCAGGTTCCTGATTTTCCGATTAAGCCGAATTCACGTGTCAAAAGAGCTTACCTTGGTGCAGCCCTCCGCAATTTGCGCAAGGCACACGAGCGCCGCGTGCCGCTTCTTCCAATCCGCGTCGGTCGAGTACGCGGGAAGCGCCTGCGACGCGACCGGGAGAACGGTGTTCCCGCCAACCGAGATCGCGAGCCTATCAAGGCACTCTTGTGCAACCTCGTAATTCGCCGATTCTCCCGAATCTTCCTCCTCGTCATTCGCGGCGTGCCACTCGGGCGTGTCCTCGATATCCAACAGCATCGCCATCAGCACTGCGAACAGCCGGCCCACCAAATGAGGCACCTTGCGCATCATCCCCGGCGCGCGTTCGCGGGCCTCTGACAGCGTGATCAGGAACTCAATGGCGAGGTGACGCGTGGCGTCCTCGAGCTGCGTGGATTCCGCGATCTGCAGCATTGCGGCGATGACGTCAGTCAGCTGCTTGCGCATGTACCGCGGCTCGATGCCGGCAACCTCGATGAGCATTTCGAGCGCCTCTTGCGCGCTGGCCTCGTCTTTGCTCTGCAGGCACAGATTCAGCGTCTGCATCATGCCGGGCAGCAAATCCTGGAATTGCGTCAGCTCCTCGGGAGTTTCAAGCGCCTCGACGAAATTCGCAGCTGCCTTTAGAGCGGCGATCCGCACATCGGGATTGGCTGACTGGGAGAGGCACTGAAGAAGCACATTGTGTAGAGTGGGCAAGTGAGGCTTGAGCTGCGACTGGAAGAAATGCACTAGCTGCGCGAAGATCAGCAGCGATGCTTCCTTGAGTCGATCGTCCGCCGACGACACGCATTGGAACATGAACGGAAGCAGCTCCGGCCATGTCCCCGACTCCACGATCCCCGCCGCGAGCTCCGCGATCGTGTCGCACAGCTTCTTCCAGATCGCCTTAGTAGGCTCTCTTTGCACGCTAGCGAGCAATTCAGTCTTGACGGTCGCCTGCGTCGCGGGACTCAGTTGCGGCCATAGCGACACGCTGTCCTTCGTAATCACTCGTCTAAGGAGCACCGCGCCGATCGTACGCACGTCCGCTCCTGCGGCAGAGGACTGCAGCGCTGCGACGAGGCGGAGAACGAGAGCGTCAGGCTGCTGCTTGCAGAGATTGAATATGCGCTCGGCCTCGCCTCTGTCGTCGTTTGACGGGGAAAGGAGTCGCTGCAGCAGCTGCTCAAATGGCGCGGGATCCTGGCCCAACACGATCGCCACAGCTGGATCCATGGCCTACAGCCTATCAGAAGCAGACTCGAAAGAAAGACACTAGAGACGTAACGCGGAAAAAAGGCGGAGGATTTGTTGCAGTCCCTGCGCGATGGCAATGGACTCAAATAAGAGACTTTGAAAGTGGTGTGAGCAATGATCATTTCAAGTGCCCATGGCCATGGATGATGGCAGAAATGAGAGAAAGAATGGAAACCATGAACAGTGTTGATGTGCGTGTCACCCTCGATGGCTGGCGCCGTGAAGTCCTGGGCATTGCCTGTGATTGGTCGGAAGGTTGAGTCCAAGTGGCTGTGAAGCAAATTCTGGAGAGCTGCGTGCCTCCTCCCACAATCTGGGGAATCGACCCTCATCAGCCTCTAACCTTGAAAGCGAATATGTGGGGCCGATCCTGGAGAATGTCAACAAGCGTGTGCTGTACCTCAACTCGAGGTCATGACATGATTTGAAGTGGCTAACCACCACCATGAAGTTAGGCTCGAAAAGGGCTCTCCACTTACAATATAAAAGTATGTGATCACTCAACTACATGCAACAAGATGCCCATGGACGAACATATAGCAAGAGGCTGATAAATAACATATCTTAATTAGATGTGTTATCTTAGTTGCAGAACGGATTCTTCCAAATCTGAGGCTCTATAGGATACAAGGGAATAGATCAGTACATATACCGCAATAAATAAATAATAGGGCCCAATTGGAACCCATATCCATACATCCACAGTTGTACAGAACAAAAATATATGATAGTAACAGATACAATAACGTTGTCCATTTTATCTACCGCTCGTTCCTAGCACACTACCCAGAAGCGAGGAAAAGCTCCACATGCTTGCTCTCGATTGGTTGTAATCATCCCTGCGCGGCTGGAATGGAGAACTAGCGAATATGGAAACGTCTTCACACACGGAATCCCCACTTCCCATGCGGTTTTTCAGATTGCTGACCGCGAGTCCACTGAGCAGGGTACAATTCCTATGCAGAATGGACTTGCGACAAGGAAAGCCACGAGAGAACAAAATACAGCCGCTCTACAGTTTTTCGCTCACGATTCACAAACATGGTCCCTGCGTGTCCACAAAAAATGTTTCCAAACCTTTTGTGGACAGTCTGTCCGCGCCTGTGGAGCAATCAACACATCACGGAGTGACATGGCGAGGTCGGCGTTGCTCTCCAATCGCATTGAAGCCTCACATACGGTTCCCGAAAACGTTGGAGAGTGGAATGCGTTGCGTGCGTCATCCATGTCATCAATGAGTCAGAGGATAAGGCTCACCTGCTTTAGCTGCGGTGTTGGAAGGTAAATGACCGTAGGGGCGACGCCGCGAATCGGGAGCCTCAATGGTGAGCCTCCTTTATGAGTAAGTGAAAGACCTGTTCTACGTGGAAATGTGTTGGGCTGACGTTTCTGTTCCTCACTTAGGAAGATACTTCATGAGTCAGATGTGCTCATCAATGGTGCTCACTGCTCAGCTTCGGCATGGATTTCACAATTGGTGCACAGCAAATATCTTATCCAAGCTGCCAGGGCAAAAGCAGCGACGAACTTTACCAGCTTAGCCGAACCAGCAACAGGCTTCAGCAGAGCCTCTGCCACGTCTGCGCGGACCTTCCTAACCTGGTCTGATCAGCTTTAGGGACGGCGTCATTTCATCGACGGATTGTTCATTAGCGTTCCTGGGAGATCTACAAAAGTGACGCGGCTCGGCTTGGCTGAAAACAGGCAGGCAGCGACCCCGAGCGAGACGAGAGATCTGCTCTCTTAGTGATCGCTGTGTCCCCCACCAGTGAGGTTGTTGCTGCTTCGTGTGCTCCTCCTACACTTTATCTGGTCCACTCCTCATCCTCCTCCCGCCCGCGCTTATTTACATGAGAACCCGTGACTACAGAGCGACTCCACCATAATGACTAAGTTCCTCTGACGTCCAGAAGGGATAAAGCAGATGTTTGAGCCAGTTCCTAGTGCACTTTGTTAGTTGGCGCACCAGAGATTGCTGTGAGAACGAAGGTGTCCCATTTATTAGATCAAAATCTAATTTTGTATATATCACTCCACAGCTATCGCCATGAGCTGCAACGGCTGTCGCGTGTTACGAAAAGGATGCAGCGAGAGCTGCGTGATCCGCCACTGCCTCGCCGGGATCGACGGCGCGGAGGCGCAGGGCCACGCGACGCTCTTCCTCGCCAAGTTCTACGGCCGCGCGGGCCTCATGGGGTTCATCTCGGGAGTCGAGGAGATCCAACGGCCCGCGCTCTTCCAGTCGCTTCTCTTCGAGGCGTGCGGCCGCACCATCAATCCCGTTTACGGCGCTTCGGGACTGCTCTGGACAGGCCAGTGGCATTTCTGCGAGGCCGCGGTCGACGCCGTGCTTCGCGGAGGGTCGATAAAGCCGATATCCGACACTTCCTCTCCGGCCGTCACTCTCTCGACCAATCCTCCGGCTCCCCAGTTCCCCACTCCCACTGTCCGGCCGATCGTAGCGGCTTCTGCTCTCCCTACTCCCACCATGGTGACGTCAGCAGGGCCTGTCATGATGGTCGGAAACTCCGCTGCACCTTCCGCGTTCCCGCCGCCCGTGTTTCCCGGCGGCGCGCCGTTCTTTCCTGGGGCAATGGGCGTCCTGAGGCCACGTGGCGGACTGCCCGCGACCGCGTCCGCGCTCCCCGCCTTACCTGGCGCTGCAGGGGGTGTGAGTGGGTTGCTCATGGGCGGGTCTGCGGGGAGCTACCTTTCACAGCAACTGATGCAACAGCAGCAGCAGCAGCAGCAGCAGCAGCAGTACGTGCAGCTTCAGCAACAACAGCAGCAGCAACAGCAGATGACGCATCTACACAACATGTATACTGCACACGGCATTTACCAACCCAGTGCCGCCGTCTCCGTCCCGGCCGCTGGCGCAACCGTCATGTCTGCCAGCCAGCCGATGGTCGCGCATGGTCAGATGATCTCCTATTGGCCGGCTGCCCACGGGACTACCGCCCCCGCGACCACCTTTCCTAGCGCGGCGCCTGGCGGAGTGATGATGATCGCAACGCCGCCACCGCCAGCTCAGATTCCCGGGTTCCCCATGACTGGCTTCCAACCAATGACGTTCGGACACGTGGCAGCCGTGCAAAGCCAGCAAGTGCAGAGTAATTCCGGACAGGCAGCAACTGGCGGTGCTGCTTATCTACCCCCAACACACCAACAGCAGCAGCCGAGTGCTGCACCGCCGCAGCTGCAGCAGCAGCAAGCGCAACAGCAGCAGCTACAGCAGCAGCAGCAACAGCAAGCAGAGAGCGAGAAGCAGCAACGTCTACGGCCGTGCACGCCACCTGCTGTTCCGTCAGCAATGGAGAACCACAAAACCCCAGCCGCCCCGGCAGCGGCAGCGGGCGGCGCGCGGGCGGCTCCAGAGCGCACGGAGAGTCCTGCCAGCTGTCTGTCCCCCATGGCCAGTGGCGTCAGTGGGACCAGACCGAGTGGCTTGAGCGGGTCCAAGAGCAGCAGAGGCCCCGAGGAGAGCAGCGCGCTGCTGCTGGCGCCAGTGGCCAGACGCCCCAAGCTCATGCATGCCCCCACCTCAGGCTCGCCGCAATTCGTCTCGCCGAACCTGCATCTCCGGCCAGACCTCGCCATGGGAGGCAGCAGCATTGCAGGAGCGAGGGCAGGATCGGAATCACTAGACTCGCACGCAACTGTAGAGGTGCCAGATTTCTACCCACCAGCCTCGTTTCCCGCACCAGGTGTTGCAGGCAACCCGTGGCGGTCCCTGTGCAGATCTGGCATAGAGGAGGGGATGCATCAGCAGCACAGCAGCACTTTCCTTTCTGCGCATGAAAATGTTCACGGGAAGCAGAGCTCTCCTGGTGAGCTGCTCCAGCTGCTCTCATGACATCAGTGCAAGCACAATGCGGCCCAGGCTAAGGGGTCACATGCAATAGGATATAGAAGCTGACAAGGCTGGAGCTGCCCTGCTAGCATGGTTGATCATCCAGTATAGAGCAGAGCTAACAAGTGGTTTGGTTATTGGCTGAAGCGCCATCAGCTACCCGTACATTCGTGTGCTTAAACTAAAGTAACCTGTTGTTGTAGTCCAACTTCTGTAACTACTGATGCATGTTTTCCATGTGGTGATATGTCTTCTGCGACTGGGAGCATGGCATCATGGTATGTCGTTCCATCTGTGTAGAAACTGAGGGCCAAATCTGCTTGTACCGGTACATGTCAGGGCAATTACGGTACTACGTGGGTGCGCAAAGCTGCAAGTGTGGTGCAGAAGAGAAAAGGGGTGGGTACAGAAACTCACCACAAGAAAAAGCCTCAAAGCGCGTGCTATTCTTGTGCACCCAATGCTGGGGTGGAGCGGTAGGCTCCCCGGTGCAGCAGGGGTGGAGCGGGAGGCTCCCCGGTGCAGCAGGGGTGGAGCGGGAGGCTCCCCGGTGCAGCAGGGGTGGAGCGCGGGGCTCCCCGGTGCAGCAGGGTGGAGCGCGAGGCTCCCCGATGCAGCAGGGGTGGAGCGCGAGGCTCCACGGTGAAGCAGGGGAGGAGCGGGAGGCTCCCCGGTGCAGCAGGGGTGGAGCGCGAGGCTCCCCGGTGCAGCAGGGGAGGAGTGGGACGCTCCCCGGTGCAGCAGGGGTGGAGCGGGAGGCTCCCCGGTGCAGCAGGGGTGGAGCGCGGGGCTCCCCGGTGCAGCAGGGTGGAGCGCGAGGCTCCCCGATGCAGCAGGGGTGGAGCGCGAGGCTCCACGGTGAAGCAGGGGAGGAGCGGGAGGCTCCCCGGTGCACCAGGGGTGGAGCGCGAGGCTCCCCAGTGCAGCAGGGGAGGAGTGGGACGCTCCCCGGTGCAGCAGGGGTGGAGCGCGAGGCTCCCCGGTGCAGCAGGGGTGGAGCGCGAGGCTCCCCGGTGCAGCACGGGTGGAGCGCGAGGCTCCCCGGTGCAGCACGGGTGGAGCGCGAGGCTCCCCGGTGCAGCACGGGTGGAGCGTGGGGCTCCCCGGTGCAGCACGAGTGGAGCGCGAGGCTCCCCGGTGCAGCAGGGGTGGAGCGCGAGGCTCCACGGTGCAGCAGGGGTGGAGCGCGAGGCTCCCCGGTGCAGCAGGAGGGGAGCGCGAGGCTCCCCGGTGCAGCAGGGGTGGAGCGGGAGGCTTCCCGGTGCAGCAGGCGTGGAGCGCGAGGCTCCCCGGTGCAGCAGGGGTGGAGCGCGAGGCTCCCCGGTGCAGCAGGGGTGGAGCGGGAGGCTCACCGGTGCAGCAGGGTGGAGCGCGAGGCTCCCCGGTGCAGCAGGGGTGGAGCGGGAGGCTCCCCGGTGCAGCAGGGGAGGAGCGGGAGGCTCCCTGGTGCAGCAGGGGTGGAGCGCGAGGCTCCCCGGTGCAGCAGGGGTGGAGAGCGAGGCTCCCCGGTGCAGCAGGGGTGGAGTGCGAGGCTCCCCGGTGCAGCAGGGTGGGAGCACGAGCGGTGCAGCAGGGGTGGAGCGCGAGGCTCCCCGGTGCAGCAGGGGCGGAGCCGGAGGCTCCCCAGTGCAGCAGGGGCAGAGCGCGAGGCTCCCCGGTGCAGCAGGGGTGGAGCGCGAGGCTCCCCGGTGCAGCAGGGGTGGAGCGCGAGGCTCCCCGGTGCAGCAGGGGTGGAGCGGGAGGCTCCCCGGTGCAACAGGGGAGGAGCGGGAGGCTCCCTGGTGCAGCAGGGGTGGAGCGCGAGGCTCCCCGGTGCAGCAGGGGTGGAGCGCGAGGCTCCCCGGTGCAGCAGGGGTGGAGAGCGAGGCTCCCAGGTGCAGCAGGGGTGGAGCGCGAGGCTCCCCGGTGCAGCAGGGTGGGAGCGCGAGCGGTGCAGCAGGGGTGGAGCGCGAGGCTCCCCGGTGCAGCAGGGGCGGAGCCGGAGGCTCCCCAGTGCAGCAGGGGCAGAGCGGGAGGCTCCCCGGTGCAGCAGGGGTGGAGCGCGAGGCTACCCGGTGCAGAAGGGGTGGAGCGGGAGGCTCCCCGGTGCAGCAGGGGTGGAGCGCGAGGCTCCCTGGTGCAGCAGGGGTGGAGCACGAGGCTCCCCGGTGCAGCAGGGGTGGAGCGCGAGGCTCCCTGGTGCAGCAGGGGTGTGCAGCAGGGGTGGAGCGCGAGGCTCCCCGGTGCAGCAGGGGTGGAGCGCGAGGCTCCCCGGTGCAGAAGGGATGGAGCGCGAGGCTCCCCGGTGCAGCAGGGGTGGCTGGCCGGCCGGCTGGCTTGCTGGCTGGTTGGCTGGCTGGCTGGCTGGGAGAAAAGACACAAATGTATCAAGCAGAGAGGTGATTATATCTGGCAGCGAGAGGTGTTTCAAAACAGCAGAGGTGGAAGAATGAATGGCAGCGAGAGGCATCCACGCAGAGGCATAGATCCAATCCAGAAAAGGCAGAGATCCAATCCAAAAAGCATAGATCCAGAAGGCATAGGCACACAGTGAGGCAAAGATCCAATCCAGAAGGATGCAGAGATCCATGTTGAATAACAGTTGCAAGTTATAAATGAGAAAGAGAGGTTTGGACTAGCAAGCAGTTGAGTACATATAGCAAACCCTAAGTTGGGTTGTACTCACTATTGAGTACCCCACTGCAGGCTAGACAAATATAACATTCTGACAATCCAATCCAGAAGGATGCATAGGCATCTTACAAGAGTGTAGGCGCGGTCAGGGCAGTGCTCCTCTCTCCCGTCTCCCTTTCCCTCCCTCCATCTGGGAATTTGGGTAGTTGCGGATTTGGGGATTTGCATGCACTCCCTTCACCCTGGGGCAAAGTACTGGGTCTGGGAGAGAAGGCACCTAAAGGGAGGCGATGCAAGAAATGAGCATAGAACGAGGACCGAGACCATAGCAAGTGACAGACATAGAATGTCGCAAGGAGGAAAGTCAGTCATGGAAATGGAAAGCAAAAAGGATGTGAAGACAAGCGTATGTGGAACAAGTGGAGAAGGGGGAGGGTCAAAATCTTGAGCGACATGGATAACGAGGAAAAGAAGCGACGAGAAGCAAGCAGGGAGACTTACGTTGCCCTGGCCTGTAGTCCCCCCTCTTGCCTCTTCTCAGTCAATGCTAACGTTGAACTGACAATCATTCCAAGGTGTCATGCCGCTACTGTAAGAGGAGCTGAAGAGAAGAGGGCAGCAGAAGTGAGAAAGGGAGCAGAAGAGAAGAGCGCAGCAGAAGAGAGGACGGCAGCAGAACATGAGAAAGGATTGAAGTTGTTCATTCGGATTAATGGAAGCAGAAGAATGTGTGAAAGGAGAGACGAGTAATCACAGCAGGAAGAGGAAGTGGGACGAAAGGGCAAGAGTTGAAGACGGGGAGTGCAGGAGAAGGGGGCATGAAGAATGTCACCGTGAGAAAAAGAGGGGTCAATCGCTCTGTCAATTCCTTATATTTCCCTTGAACGCTGAGCATGCGTATGAATGCATTCTAGTATGAGCTCAAGCCGCCCCAATGCCATGCGCTACCATCGCCAAACGCCGCTCATCTCTCACTCAACTTTTGATCGCTCCCATTCGAAAATGGGCTCATTTGTTTCGAGCACGCGGTGACGGAAGAATGCGGTACAAAAGTGGGCAATGATAAACACGAAGCAGAAGCGGTAAGGATGGCAAGGGCGAAGGGAGAGGGAACTTAGCCGTATGGGGGTGCTTGCAGGACAGTGGCGTCAGGCTTCCAGGAGGCTCGCACACCGCTGTGACTGCCTGCTGTGCGTCATCCCACCGCCCTCCCTCCCCGCACCACGCTGCCATATCACCAGAGGAGATGGGAAGGAGAGCAAGAAAACAGAGCAGGGGAAAGGAACCCAAGTCGTCAGTAGAAGCACGAAAGTAGTGAAATGCATGCAAGGAGGCAGAGATAACAAGAACGATGAGAGAGGAAACGAAAGCCGAAGATAAAAAGCAAATGGCACTATGACGCTGTGAAAGGGAAGGTGATGGTAGCACACAGCACTAGGGCGCCGAGCTAGCAGGCAAATAAGGAAGGGACGCAGCATGATTATGGATGCATTCTATTCTACCCCCCTACGACTCTAGTATGAGCTCAAGCCGCCCCAGTGCCATGCGCTACCATCGCCAAACGGCGCTCATCTCTCTCTCGACATTTGATCGCTCGCATTCGAAAGTGACCTCTTTTGTTTCGAGCACGCGGTGACGAAAGAATGCGGTACAACCGTGGGCAATCATAAAGACGAAGCAGAAGCGGTAAGGATGGCAAGGGCTAAGGGAGAGGGAACTTAGCCGTATGGGTTGCTTGCAGGACAGTGGCGTCAGGCTTCCAGGAGGCTCGCACACCGCTGTGACTGCCTGCCATGCGTCATCCCACCGCCCTCCCTCCCCGCACCACGCTGCCATAGAAACGACGAGAGGGGTGGAGCAAAGGAGAGCAAGTGGATCGAGCGGCGGGAAAGGAACTCAAGTAGTCAGTCGAAGCAAGATAGATAGCAAGAGGCAGAGATATGCATGTAAGGAGGCAGAGATAACAAGAACGAATGAGTAACGCAAACAAAAGTTGAAGATAAAATGCACATAGCACTGTGACACTGTGAAAGGGAGGCGATGGTAGCACACAGCACTAGGGCCGCGAGCTAGCAGGCAAGGGGGACGAGGTAAGGAAGGGACGCGGGCATGAGTATGGATGAATTCTACTCTACCCACCTAGGACTCTAGTATGAGCTCAAGCCTTCCAAGTGCCATGAGCTACCATCGCCAAACGCCATTTAAGAACGACTCTTTGTTTTTCGAGCACGCATCGAGGAATTAGCGCGGTACAAAAGTGAGCAATGATAAACACGGACCAGAAGCGGTGAAGATGAGAAGGGGAAAGTGTGAGGGGACTTAACCGTATGAGGAGTGCTTCCACGCGACAGAAGCAGCGAAGCGAGGCAGCAGTCGTCCCAGCAGGATCCACTCAGCTGGCCACTTTGCAGCTCCGAATGAGCGTCACTCGTTGCTGTTAATGTGATTCCGACCGGCCCTCTCATTCGCTTCGATCGTCGCTTCAGGAGAAGGGTCAATTCGGTCACCGTGAGAAGCCCCATTCTTGATCGTCACCGTCAGAAGTCATCATCTCGGTCGTCACCATCAGAAAGCGTCGCTTTGATCGTCACCGTAAGAATTCGCAATCCTTATCGTCGTCGCCGGTAAACGTCACTCCAATCGCCACCGTCGGGAAGCGTCGATTTGATAATCACCTGAGAAATCGCAATCCTGGTCGTCACCTTCGGAAAGAGTCGCATTAAACGTCACCGTGGGAAATCGCAGTCCTCTTCACCGTCAAAAAGTGTCACTTCAATCGTCACCACTAGAAGTCATCATGTCGATCGTCACGGTCAGTGTTATGTCATGCTATCATTTGCATTCACGTCTGTCTGCCTCCCATCATATGTTCGTGTGTTGCATGCGTGGTTTGAGCGTGTGCAAGAATTTGTGTTTGGTGTTGTTTGGATTTTCTGAGTTTGTGTGAATGTTATTTGGCTTGAGCAGATATCTGAAGTGACTCCTCTGCTCAAGAGCTTCCCGACGAACCGAGAATCGCTGCGATCGAAGCAAGAACGAGAAAGATATGACCGTTCCAAGTTTTGATTGAGATGCGACGACTATAGGAATTTGCGAGTTGACTCAATATGGGGTACAGACTTTTGGGGGTTGGGAAATTCTTCACCATCACTGTAGATGATGCCAAGTGGTTGGGAGAAGCCAAACCAAGTTGGTAAGTGTGGCCAAGTTGGGTGAGGTGGATGGCATGAGTTGGGAAAGTGACAAATGTCAAAGTTGGGGTGCCTATAGAGAGGGGAATTGTGTGGAATGGGGTTTCCTTGGTTGGGGACTCCCTTCGGACCTTCCCTCTCGTCCTTCTCATCCCCTCCTACCTGGTTCTATTGCTACTCTAACTTTCTTGTGTGAACTTGTGAGATAATTATGATTGAGTTACGTTTTTTATGGCAGCATACCCCCTAGTGCGCCGAAGTTCATAACTCGAGTTATACTCCATATTTTGATACTATTCAAAATTTAGAAAGATAGCCACAGTCGAGGGCTACAACATACTCGAGTTTGAGAGGATTCTAAATGTGCGTTAATCGTCGACGACGTTTCTTGTGTCGACGACTTTTCTGTCCAGAATTGTAGTTGACGATTTTGAGATATTTCAGCCCCTAATCTTCATAGACCCCGTCCTTAGTCTCTAACAGTCAGAAATCGTCGGTTCGATCGTCAGCGTCAGTGGTTATTGTCAGGAAACACCCTCTCAATCACCGCCGCTAGATGACGAAGTCTCGCTACTCGCAGTCAAAGATACTCGGCCTCAGTCATCACCAAATCGAAACGTTCTCGCTGCTGGAGAGCGGCGTGGCCTCGGTATTCGAAGGAGCGTATGGAGATCGAAAGAAGACTCATGTGGCATCTCGGCAAACCCCCTCTGTTCCGCGCTCATCAGATGTCTAGAATACTTAAAAAACTAAGTTGTTCTGAATACTGAAGTAGAAATTAGAAATGCAGTCAAGAGAGTAATTGCTGGATGACGGAAATGTAATTGCTCCGAATGACTGAAACATCTAAGCTTCGAATACCGTATCTCTGTCCGATAGATCAGACGTAAAGCTTTGTTTACTTCTTCACGATGACTACGACTAAGGTTAAAAGGTTGGTTCGCGTCAGGAGACACAGCCATGGATTGCAACGATTAGTGATTTCCGTCTTGTCGACCTCGAGACAAACATATCTGAAGATTAGGAAGACAGACTAAGACTATGATTGAAAAGCGTTAATGGTAGATAACAAATAGCGGCAGCCATGGACTTCGGCTTCGTGAGCGAACTGCTGTGAACATGATGAGAAGGAATGGCATTCAGGGAAGCTGGGGAAAGGATTTCAGGAAGAGAGAAAGGCAACCATCAGTGAAAAAACAGTTGGGTTCAGTGGTGAAATCCAGGGTCTAGACGGATTCAGAGTGGTGAAAGAGTTCACAGAGGCGAGGAGGATCCATTTCCCCTGATCAGGTGGAGGCCGCCGCACCGTCGGTGGATGTACATTTTCGTGAGAGCGGTGTCGACGGGGGTACGCTTTGTTTGGACAACATACGACTCGCGAAAATTTGAGTTGAGTTTTGCGAGGATATCCTCGGAATCTCATGGCGGTTCCGCAGCTCCGCCGTTTGCGCGGGAATCGGCTGTCAGAAGCGCAAGGTTCTGACACAACGCCATGATGTCATGTAATGCTTCATGTCTCGTAACGCAATATGAGTTTGAGGGACACAATTTTTTTTGCCGAAACATGTCTGTACCGGAACAATGGCAGCCGATACACCATTATCCATCATTCACCTACACCTGATCAATCCCATTTTCTGTTTACCCAGACGGAAGGGGGGAGGGGCCTGCTCTGCAGGGGGATATGGAAAGCTACTTTACGGTAGCAACACTAAGAAGCCTCATACAGTATATACATGCAACTTTTATCCATCTTATGTCTAGCAGGACGTTAGTACCAGTATACAAAGGCTGTCAACCAGTAGCAACTCAAGGGTCACATAATTTGCCTAGCAAAAGCAAGGTAGAAAGGAACAAATAAGGATGTTATGAAATGCTAGATGTTATTTTGCTACACGGCCACGGAGCGACCGCGGAGTGGAGCTATGAGAGCAACTCGTGCAAGCACAACACAAGTCAGGCACACCAGTGCACTGGTGGCAGGGTGTGAGCGAGTGAAGAACAGGTAGAAAATAGGAAGGACTGGGGAGGGGATGAGTGCAGAAGATAGTTGGTAAAAGGGAGAGGATCTAACAGAACAGGGATGAAATGGCGGGTATGGGGAGGTATGGAGAGACGGGTGGTACGGCGTGCGGCAAAGCACATGAGCACAGGAGCACACACTCCAAGGCAGCATGCTGCCGACCGTGTGCTGCTGTTACCGCAACCAGCACAGAGCTACTCGTTCCCTCCCTCCTCCTCTTCCTCCTCATCCTCCTCCTCTTCCTCGTCCTCCTCCTCGCTCTCCTGCTGCCCGCCATGCCCTTTCCCCGCCGTTTTCTTCCGCACAAACTGCCCCTTAACTCGCGGTCGCATCTCTGCAAGTCTCTTTCGGCTCACGTACCGAATCTTCTTCTCAAAGCACCGCTCCTTGCGCTTCTGCCTGAACTTGTTCAGTGCTGCCTCCCGACGCTGGTATCCCTCCACCCGCCTCTCCATCAACCTATCCCCACCTGCACTTGCCCCTCCTCCTCCCACTGCACCCACCACCCCTCCCCCCATTCCTCCCATTCCCCCCATGCCCCCCATACCTCCCATACCTCCCATTCCTCCCATTCCTCCCATTCCGCCTATTCCTCCCATCCCTCCTGTTCCTCCCATTCCGCCCATTCCTCCTGCTACCCCCCCAGAAGCAGCGTCAGTAGTTGGGTTGAAAAGCATGGCAGAGGTAGAGGGGTCGGGCCATGAGGGGAAAGGCATGGCCGGGTTAAATGCACCCATGCTCCCCCCCGCCGCCGCTGCCGCCGCGGCTGCAGCTGCAGCGGCTGCTGCTCCCGGCGCTAGAAACTGCGCTGCTGCTGTCATTCCGGGGAACGGCAGGGACGGGGATATGGCTGGAGCGGCAGCAAGGGACGAGAGGAAGGAGAAGGGGTTAGCAGGTGGGAGGGAGGAAGGGAGAGGGAGGGAGGCGTGTGCGTGGTTGGATGATGCAGCAGCAGCAGCTGCTGCTGCAAGGGCTTCGGGAGGGAGGCGAGAGAAGGCTGCGACGGCGGCTGCTGCTGCATCTGGGGGGAGATGGGCGAACGTAGCTGCTGCTGCAGCCAGAGCATGCGAATGGTGAGACGGGCGGTACTGCTGCTGCTGCTGCAGCTGCTGCTGCTGCTGCAGCTGCTGCTGCTGTTGCTGCATTTGCTGCATGGCATTGCCAGCGGCCGCGGCTGCTAGTGATTGCACGATGGGATGCTGTGGTGGCAGGCCCGACGCAGCAGCGGCAGCGGCAGCAGCAGCTGCAGCTACTGCGAGGTTGGAGTGAAGAGAGAGAGCAGGCACGGAGGGAGGCGAGTTAAAATCAGGCTGCTGCTGCTGCTGCTGCTGCTGTTGTTGGTGTTGTTGCTGCTGCTGCTGTTGCTGTTGCTGCAGCACGTGTTGGGTGGAGAAGCAGCGGTCAGGAGTGGTGTGGGTGGGTGGAGCGTGCTGTGCAGAAAAGAGGTCAGAGGAGGAGTGCGTGTGGGCGTGGTGAGCAGAGGAGAACGGAGAGCGATCTCGCAGCGGCGCCGGTGGGAGCACGGTGGGACGCGGGAAGGCAGGTACTGCCTGGCGTTGCGCTGTAGCAATAGCACCCGCTGCTGCCGCGGCAGTAGCCGCAGTGGCGGCAGCGGCACTGGAAGCAGCAGATGGAGCACAGGGAGCAGAAGCAGCAGATGGCGTAGCAGCAGGAGAGGGAGCAGGGGAGGGCGACTTGGCACCCAGTCCAGACCCATGTCCAGACCCATGTCCGGACCCATGCTCCACACGTGCTGCCCCTGATAGTTGCCTCTTATAACCCGCCAAGCTGCCCACGCCGCCACGCAGACTCGGCGCTCCATTGGGCAGGTTCGGCGATCCGGCGCGCAGGTTCGGAGCAGGAGCAGGCATGGCGGGCGGGGAGTGGGGCAGGGAGTGGGGCAGCGAGTGGGGCAGGTACCCCCTAAGGCCGCTGCGGTCGATCATGTGGTTCCAGAAGGCTGCACTGTGCCCGGCTACAAGGCTGCCACTGCTGACGCCACTCACATTCGTCTCTGCCCCCTCACCATACCTAGCCGCGCCCTGTGCCAAGCCTTGTCCTGTGCCTTGTGCCATGCTCTGCGCCATGCCGTGAGCCCCGTGCGTCCCGTCTCTGCCTGCTTTGCCTTCCCCTCCCACTAAAACCCCCGCACCTTCCGCGACCCCTCCCCTCCCTCCACCACACAGCCCGCCAGCAGCACGTTGCTGCGCCGCCCCCAGGCGCGACTGCAGTCCCCCAGGGCTTGCAGGCGCGCGCGCTGCTGCGCGTGAGGCCGTCCGCGGAGGTGTGGCGCTGGCGGAGGGGGAAGGGGGACTGCCCCGGTTCCGACCCGCGATTGCAGGACTCCTCCTCCCTGCTACCTCGCTGCCCTGCTGCTGCTGCTGTTGTCTCTTCGCGTCACTTCCAGCCACCCTTCCCCGTCCTGCCATCGCCTCACCACCTCCCCGTTTCAACGCAGGAGCAGACACAGGAGGGGAAGCAGAAGCGGAAGCAGAAGCGGGGGCAGCAGCAACTGCACCCGCCCTCGAGACCAGCCGTGCAGGCGACCTCCGTCGCCCGGCGAAAGGCAATCCCGTCGTGGGCGCGGGTTCCGCGCCCTTGGCGCCCGCGCCCTGCGCCTCGCTCCTCTCCGCGGCCTGCTCCGCGCTCGCTGAGCGACTCAGAGCAGCGCGCCCGGCGGTATGTGAGGCGCGCGCAGCAGCGGAAGCTGGCGCGGGCGGGCTGGGCGCGGGCGCGGGTGCAGGCGCGGGCGGGCTATAGGATAGGCGGAGTTCGGGAGGGCTGGCGGCGGACGCCGAGGGGAGGATGGGCTGGCTGATGGTGCGCGTGGGGAACGCGTGGTGCGCGCGCGGGGAGTGAAGCGAGGGCGCAGACGGCGCAGACGGCGCAGAGGGGGGCGAGGGCGCGAGGCGGAAGGGCAGAAGGGGACTCGAGGCGGGGAGAAGAGTGGCAGCGGCTGCGGAGCCGGGAGGGTGCGGGGAGGCGCGCGTGGGGAGGGCGCGGGACGCGTGGAGGGGCGGGGATGGGGAAGGGCGGGCGACGGGGAAGAGAGGCGCGGAGGTGGGTTCGTGGGAGACTGCTCGGCGCAGCAGCATGTGGTGTGGCGGAGGGAGCAGGGGGTGCGCGGTGGGAGGGAAGGCGGGCAACAAGGAGAGGTCTGCTGCCACTGCACTCGCGGCACCAGCATCACCTGCTGCTGCGCCTGCCACACCACGGGCACTGGCACCAGCAGCATCATCGGCTGATGTAGCTGCAGTTGTAGCAGCAGCGGCAGCTGTCGCGGCCATGTGTGTGGTGCGCGGTGGCGCGGATGTTAAGGCGCCCACGGCGGAGGTGCAGAGCGCGAGGAGAGTGGCGGCCGTAGCGGGGGGGATGGCGGGGCGTGGGGTCTCGAGCGCGGCTCGGTCGGGCGGCAGACGGCGTTCGGACGCAAATGGCACGTCCAACGGCAGCGCGACATGTGGCAGCATGAGCGAGAGCTCGAGCGCAGGCATTGGCTGTTGGAGTGGGTGCGGAAACGACAAAGAGAGAGAAGGGAAGGATGAGAATGAGGGGAAGAGACAAGGGCGGGAAGAGGAGCGGAGATGTATAGCAGGAAAGACGAAACGAGCAGCGGAGATGGCGGAGAGAAGGGGGAGGGGAGCGGAGGGAGGGGCGGGTTGGGACGATATAAGGAATTCAAGAGGTCGAGGAAAACGGAGGGAAAGACCCTCCTATAAAAGGATGAGGTGAAAGGCGGAAAGAGACCGATGCACGCGTACCTGCGGCTGGCCCTCAACCTCCTCCTGCTCCGCCCTGTCCTGCGCGCCGAGCTTGCTCCTCCTCTCGTGCGCTCCACCGTGCGCCACTCCGCCACCTCCCCCCGCCGTCCCCCCCTCTCGCTGCGCCGCCACGTGCCGCTGCTTCAACGGCTGCTCATCCGCGTCGCTCTCTTCCCTCTCTTCCACTCCCGCTCCTTTCCCCCCGGGCGCGTCTCGCGTCTCGAGCAGCATGAGCTCACACCGCTGCTGCCCGCCCTCCTTCGCCTCCGCCTGCTCTCGCTCCTGCCGCTCTAATATCATCTCCACTTCCTCCCCCTCCCCCTCCCCTTCCGCCATCTCTTCTTCCGCATATATCTCTTTCCCCTCTTCCCCCTGCTCCGCCACTCCCCGCGCAGCTCTGTTCCGCCACACGTCGTCCCTTCCCACTCCCCACGTGTCCTTTGCTTGTCTCTCCGCTTCCTTCCTCTTGTTTTGCCCCGCCTCCTTCCTCTCCTCTCCATCCGACTCCGTCACCTCCTCCCTTTCCTTCCGCACTAGCACTTGCTGCTGCTTCTGCTGCTGCTGCTCCTGCAGCACAAGCTGCTGCCGCCTCTGCGCCTGCACCTGCTCCTGCTGCTGCTCCAGCTCATGCAACTGCTGCTGCTGCTCCTGCTGCTCCTGAAGCTGCTGCTGCAGGTGCTGTTGCTGCACGCTGCTGCGGCGCTTATCGTCCGTCTCTTCGGAGAAGAGGTCCGTGCTGCCGGTGCCCGTGTTCGACTCGCTCGTATCCACGAACACCAGGTCGTGCGCCACCTCGCTTGCGCTCACTGCCATCATGTTCCGCGGAGCCTCCCCCAACCCCACCTGCGCGGACGAAGGGGAGCGTGGTGGCGGGGTGGAGCAGAGACGAGTACTGGGTCTTAGGGACTCGCGAGGGGCGGGGAACAACAAATCGACGACGCGAGTCGGCACGAAGTCAACGGCGCGAGTCAATAACGAGTCAACGGGGAGAGTCAACAACAAGTCAACGGTCCGCGTCAAAAACAAGTCAGCGGCACGAGTCAGCAACAAGTCAACGGCGCGAGTCAATAAAAAGCGACGTAAGGTCGCAAGGCAAAGCGGGTCGACGGAGGAGCGCGGAGAGGGCAGAGATGGCGGAGGGGCGGAGAAGGCGGAGAGGGCGGAGAGTGCTCACGGATCGGCGGCGGCGCCACATGTGCGTCCAGAGGTTGAGCAGCTCGTTGGTGCGCAGCGGCTTCACGAGAAAGTCCGCCGCGCCGAGGCGCAGACACTTGACCACGATCGCCATCTCGTCGCGCGTCGACATCACTGCGCGCCGTGCACGGAGACGGGCCACGAGAGAGAAGGGAAGGGCGGGAGGGGAGAGGAGAGGAAAGAGAGAGAGAGAGGGGGGGGGGGAAGAGGGAGGGAGAGAGAAAAACAAGATGCGTATGAGAAATGTCCGGTCAGAAGCAGAACGCGTCGGAGAATCGAGCCGGAGAGAAGATTCAGAAGACAATGTTTCGGAACAGGTCCATGCTAAGCGGTGGGGGGCTGCTGCTGGTGGGTGACTGTATGCAACGGTGCGAGCCGGCAGCAACGATGGCAGCCGGCAGCGACGATGACAGGCGGCAGCGACGGTGAGGAGTAGTAAAAGAACGAGTTAACTAGGAAGTTAAGGCAGCGAGAGGCGGATGCCAGGCGAAAACTCAGCTGAATGACGTTAACGGATTGACGTTAGCCGACTGTCGTTAGCCGAAACGGACTGACGATTGCCGACCAGTTAACCGACTGACGCTAGCCGACTGACGTTAAACGACAGACACGACCGATGTGCTACTAGCTGGGAGAGTGTATCCGTGAGCGCGGGGAAGCAGAGCACGTACTGACGATGGGGATGTTTTTGAGGCGCTCCTCGCGCATGATGATCTTGAGCATCTTGTACCCCTTGCCGTTCGGCAGCTCCACCTCCGCCAGAATCAAATCTATCGTGTCGCTCGACGACCGCAGCAGTTGCAACGCCAGTCGTGCATTCTCGACGGCCGTCACTGGAGAAGGAAGGAAGTTCAGGCGGGCAGCGATGTAGGAACGAGAGACGTTACAATAAAATAATACGGAATCGGTTAATCGAAGCAGGCACAGAACTTGGTACATGGGATGTCGTGAATCTAGGGAAAGCAACTCAAGGTGACGAAATTAGACGTATTACACGTGAAAACGCCTGAGAAAGAAACCCTGTATGAGAAAATTGATCTAGTTAATCTGTCGCAAGGCAGAAGCGGCAGCGCTCACGCACCTCGGTACGAACAGCGGCGAAGCAGTTCGAGAACATTTTGGCGTGACTCCGTGTCCTTATCCGACAGCAGGATGTGCACGTTGCTCCTCTGAAACGTCGCTACATCGCATGGCCGGCGCTGCTCCTGGCCGGCCGATGGCACAATGGCTCCTGACATGAGTCCGGTATGTTCTAATAAATACTATTTTACTAGTTCTATCACGCGTTATGACGGACAGTTTGTGGCAAAAATTAACCGTACCATTCTACACCGCCTTGATAATAAAAACGCTTGGTGCAGGCTAGCAGATACGGCAGAGCTTACAATCAACAAGAACGCAGAGCTGTGAATGGAACGCTGGCTAGTGTGAGAGTGATCGTCTGAAGCTAAGAGTAGAGCAGATCAGAGGGAATGTGGGGGAGGGAGGCTGAGTGGAGAATGAGGAAAGAAAACGGGCAGGGAGAAGGAGATGGAAGATCGAATACGCACGGGAGAGTGGTTCACCAGAAGGCAGACCTCTCGTGTGAGGGAGTCTGACAGCAACGCGACAGAGAAACCCTCGGGTTCCGGTGGCTGCCCCCCTACAAAAGAAATATCTGAACCCGCGGAGTTGTATCTCCTGGACGTTGGAAAAAGTGAGAGCTTTTTTTGTTCGGGGAGGTTGTCTTTCGCTGACACGTGGCGCGAAGCAGTGGACGCAATGCGGACAACTGGGCCTAGCCATTCTCTGGGCTGCGTGTGACGTGGAGGCTAATGTTCCCTGCCTTACCCCCAACCTCCACCGAACCGAGGAAATTTGTGGTCAGTCCAACAACCTTTTGATTCAATGGACTAAGATATTATATATCCAGCATTTACTTTATTGTATGCCTCTACACTGTTATATAGACGTGGAAATGTGGCTATGAAGCCTGAAGTACGGTTAGAAAAACGCTTATCATCACACGCTTGCCAATTGAGCTGTCAAACCCACACAAATCGACTGTTGCGTGACACGTGGTTGGAATGCATGTCCTGAAGTGGACCTAAAATATCTAACAAGTTTGTGTGCCCCAAACCCCAAGAAGTATCTTTATCTGTCTATCTTGCGGTCAGACAGATTGCCTCTCCACCACAATTAGGATATTTAAAACGCGTCTGGATCGTTTTGTGGCTTGAAGGAGTTCTTCAATCATCACCAGCCACGAATGCCAAACGGCTGAATTTTGCTCTTGGCTGCGGTAAGTTGTTCAAGTCTTGCACGCGGAAAAGCTGGGCAAGGCCAGTCAGCCTGTGCTACTACAGAGCGGTGCTGCTAAAGGAGTTGCATGTGCAATTAGAATGAAGGGAGCAGCCGACAGGAGACAAATATCTGCACTTTTTTGAAAAATATCTGGGACTTTTCGAGTGCTGTTGGTGGTTGTAGAGCTGCAAATAAAATATCTGAAGGGATAACGGGCAGCTGTATGTCATGGTTTATGTGTCTGTGGCATTCGAAATGAATGGCCGAGATGCTTCCGTTAGCGGCTGGACACCGCTGTTCTGCACCAAGAAGCGTGGGCAACGGGGAAACATCTGTCAGAGGCTGACGTGACGGAAATGCTGGTTCAGGAGTGGACAAGGCTAGGGTTTCATCCATCCAGCCTGCGGAAACCACACCAGCTCGCCATCACCATTCTGCTTCCCTTCCCTTCTCGTCTCTTCCCTTCTAGAGAGTTCATCATCGGCATTTCCTGTGAACAGTGACTTGCTCTCATCAGCAGTTTTCTAAGGAATGCTTCCTTATCACCGAGTTCCTAGAACAACCCTCATCTGTAGTCTCGTGTTTCTAGTTCTTGTCAATTAGCTATTGGTTCCAGTAATTTCATAACTCCTTCCCACCAACTCATGATTATATCCGTGAGAATAATCGGCGATATTCTTGCAGGCGTGTGCCCTATCGCTAGCAGGTCCTCATCGTTTATCCGTATATGCCGCACTTAGGCTCCATGGTTGGCCACCGCCTACTTAGATTCAAGCTTAAGTTGTTCTGGGCCGAGATTTTACGCCATTTCGATCCAGGTCGGCTCGATTCATCGTAGCTGAAGCTTCCAACGGTAGTAGCTGTACCTTCAGCAAGTTGAAATCGGTTGCACTTTATCGGTATTGTGAAAACTCCACCTCTCAGCAATCAGCGACAGATACATCTACCCATCAGGGTCCTAAGTAGTGGTAAGAATCTGTCAGCCATTTACACGCAGCATTTTTTTAAGCGTGGTCGAAAGCGGGTAGTTGTCCTCACTTTAGTGTTATCGACTCACGGCAATGGAGTGGTCGAGCGATTCAGACGACGAGTCCGGGATGAGCGGCTTCGGACCTATCGGAATTGGGGGTGCTGGCAGCAGCATTAGCAAGGACGGTGTAGCAGCAACCGGGGACGTCAACAGTGACTTAGACGTAGTGAGATTGTTGCCGTCATTCCTGCGAGGAGTTAGCGACGAGAGTAGACGGACGATTGAGGGGCTTATGGCGACGAAGCCGTGCGGGCTGATAGTGTCAGACGCTTTAGAACCTGATCATCCTATCATCTATGTGAATAGTGTGTTCGAGCGCTTGACGGGTTACACGGCGGAAGATATTCTTGGACGGAATTGGTACGCGCCTGCTTACTTCTTCTGGCATGCTCAAACGTCTCGTTCATCGCGGTGTCGCTTTTTGTCCTTCCGTCTCTCGTTTTTCCCTTCGTCACCACTAATCCACGTTCTTGATAAAATCATTTTTTGGTTCGTCTGTCTCGCAGTCGGTTCCTTCAGTATCGCGGGGCATTCGCGCAGCGACCGCACTCTCTCGTGAATCCCGCCACCGTCGCGCGGTTACGCCAGTGCATCGCAGAAGGCCGCGAGTTCTGCGGGGAAATCCTCAATTTCCGGAAGGACGGCAGTGCCATCATGAATAACCTCTGCATCGCGCCGATTCGCGGAAGCGACACTAGCACAGTTACCCATTTCGTCGGGGTGCAGTCTTTCGCAGAAACCAACGTCGAGCTCGGCCCGCTGCCAGGCCCGCCGCACAAGGAGCCGCAGCATCTGCCTATGTCGGGGGCGGCAGCCTCAGCCGCCGCCGCCGCAGCAGCCGCCGTGGTTGCCTCTCGTTGGCCACCCTCTAGACAGCCCGGACCGCTCTCCGACCGGTTGCCAGTCGGTTCAGTTGTCGGCTCGTGCAGCCGTGCGGATCCCACTGACGCCTCACCCGTCCCCGTGCCCAGCACGAGCGCAGCTGCCGCTGGCTGCAGCAGCGGCAGCGCGTGGCCCGCTTGCTGCCTCCACGACCATGAGCCGTTCCCAGGGTTCGGGCGGAAATGCGCGCGGGAGGGGGAGGGCGGCGGGGGATGTATAGGGCCCGGGCGGAGTTACCCCAGCAGCAGCGACTGCGGTAGAAGCCGGGGCAGCGGCAGCGGGAGCGGGAGCGGGAGGTGTAGCGGTCTGCTGCAAGTAAGTGACGAGGTGCTGGTGCAGCAAGTGATGTGCCATCTGGGCCCCAGAGACATCGCGTCCCTCGCCATGTCGTGTCGGCGGTTCCGCCAGCTCGCGGTCAGCCAGGACGTGTGGCAGCGCGCGTGCCAGCACGTGTGGGGCGTGGAGGCGACCGCCGCCGTGCAGGCGCAGGCGACGGTGGGGTGGAAGACGGAGGAGGAGGAGGCGGCGGAGGAGGTGGTGCGGCGAGGGCGATACGCGTGGCACGGGAAGAGTAAGGTCGTATTCGAGGGGGCGGTTGGGAGGGAAGGAGGAGTAGAGGGGTCGGGTGGGAAGCGGTTGAGTACGGTTGGGGGGCAGCAACAGCAGCAGCAGCGGCAGCTGATAGAGAACCACCAGAAGTCACAGTGGCTGCAGCGGGTCAAGTGGTCGCAGATTGCGCGCGAAATGACGACGCTGGAAGCCGCCACGTGGCGCAAGGTCACAGTAAAAGGGTCCGTGGAGCCATCCCGGTGCAACTTCAGCGCGTGCGCGGTGGGCAGCAAGGTGGTGCTATTCGGCGGTGAGGGTGCCAACATGCAGCCCCTTAACGACACATTCGTTCTAGACCTTGCCTCCGACATGCCCGAGTGGCGGCACGTCCCCGTCGCGGGTTCCGCGCCCCCCGGCCGCTGGGGGCACACACTGTCGTGCGTGAACGGGTCGGGGCTGGTGGTGTTCGGCGGGTGCGGGCGGGAGGGCCTGCTGAACGACGCGTTTCTCTTGGACCTGGACGACAAGCAGCCCAAGTGGCGTGAGGTTGTGGTGGGGGAGGATGCCGGGAGCAGCAGCGGTGCCGGCGCTGGGGACGGGGGGACTGGCGGGGATGGCACGACTGGCAGGGGGGACGCCGGGGGGAATGGTGACCTGGGGGATGGATTGGTTCTGAGGGGCGATGGGGAGGCGCGGACAGCCACGCAAGCATCAGGGGATGGAGAGGGAGTTGTGAGACGGGAACAGGGAGAGGCGGCGACCCAACCGTTGGATACGAGACAAGACGACCAGCAGCAGGACAGCAGACAGCAGCAGCACCAACAGCAACAACAACAACAGCAGCAGGAGCCGCACCAGCGCCGGCAGCACCAGCTGCAGGCAGTCGCGCCAGCAGCGCCCGCAGCGCCCGCGCCCCCGCAGCGGCCGCACCCGCGGTCGTGGCACAGCTCCTGCACCGTCGAGGGCTCCAAGCTCGTCGTCTCCGGCGGCTGTACCGCCTCCGGCCGCCTTCTCTCCGACACGTTCCTTCTCGACCTAGCGCACAACCCGCCGTCGTGGAAGGAGATCCGCGTGGCGTGGGCGCCGCCCGCGCGCCTGGGGCACACGCTCTCCGCGCTGGGCGGGCGCAAGGTGCTCATGTTCGGGGGGCTGGCGACGAGCGGCGCGCTGCGCCTGCGGTCGAACGACGCGTTCACCATCGATCTTGCCGACGAGCATCCCAACTGGCAGACCGTTTCCCCCGACGCGCCTCTCCCGGGGGGAGGGGGCGGCGCGAACGGCAGCGGGGCAGGGGGCGGGGGGGGAACCGGCGGAACGCCAGGGGGAGCGTCGCCTCCGCCGAGACTGGACCATGTGGCGTTTGCGCTGCCTGGGGGGCGGGTGTTGGTGTTCGGGGGGTCAATCGCGGGGGTGAGCCCTACCCCCTCGCAGGTATACCTGCTGGACCCGGGAGAGGAGAAGCCACGGTGGCGGGAACTGGCGTTTCCTGGGCAGCAGCCGCGGATAGCGTGGGGGCACAGCACGTGCGTGGTGGGGGGGACTAAGGCCGTGGTGCTGGGCGGGCAGACGGGCAAGGAGTGGGTGCTGAACGAATTGCACGAGCTCTCGCTTCTGAGCGCCGCTGCTATGACCCCCCCTGCGCGCGCTGTGCGGGACGAGCATGGAGGGGAGGCTGACGGAGATGCGCGGCAAGAGGGGAATGCGGAGGGTGGTGGTGATGGGGAGGTGCGGAGACTGGATGGTAGCAGCGGGGAGGGGAGGGCAGGGGAAGGGGCGCGTGTGGAGGACGGGGCAGGGGAGGAGGGTGTGGTGGTGGCTCAGGGTCATGTGGCATCGGCGTCTAATCCAGGATAGCTCTGCACTGTTTAGCATGGCGTCTCGCCTGGTGCACGTGCAGCTGACTGGCAGCACATTGGCAACTCCAATGGTGGTTTCGGAGCCGAACTTGTAGCGCCCAGCAGTAGGAGCAGAAGCAGCAGCAGCAGGTGAAGCAGCAGGAGAGTAAGAGCTTAGGGTGATGCGGTAGGAAGCTGATTGGTCACAGGCATAGTGCAGCATGCTTGAGGGGTCATGGAGGATGGTGGGTCGGTCACCGCAGCCAAGCTGATGGGATGCAGTTTTGTCACTTGCGTGCAGCCAAGACATGACCAGCAGGCAGCAGACAGGCAGGCATACAGGCAGGCAGTCAGGCAGAAGAACCCAGGCTTTGTGGCATGGCATCTGATGGGCCTCAGTGGAACTTTCTAGTTATGATTTTTGCTGGGATATGAACCGATGGCTCTCTGGTGGCACCAGTTTCAGACACGTTGATGCACAGCTGTCCATTCCCCTTTCACTGTGTCAATAACAGTGACCCTTATAGTATCCGTGCTGCTCTTATATGGTAGTGAATCGACTGCTTTGCTCAGGTGAATATTGATTATGGAATACACTCCTTTTATTATACACATAAGGACATCTACGATGCATACCGTCATCGCCCGGATATAAGACATATATGTCTTATCTCGTACACGGGCAAAAATGCTTGAGTTATCTTGTAAACGGGATGGTTTAGGGTGTCTTATAAGTCTTATAAATGGAAACTTTTTAAACTACTTAGAAATATTTTCCGTACTTCTTGAAAAAGAGTTTCTCATAATGAGTGTGGATGTTGCGAAGGTGCCACTTCGACAACCTCTGCCCGGGACGCCACGTTATGGAGAACACCTGCAGGGGCAAATTTGGTAGGTCCTGGGTCAGCGCGTGGAAGAATTCGTGCTTCGCAAGGGTAAAAATGTACGCGGTATTTCAACTTTCGCTATAATTTATTGAAGTTTCGATTATAAGACATATATGTCTTATCTCGTACACACAAATAGGTGTTTTATAATGAGGCTAGCCTGTTTATAAGAGACACCCGTATAGTAGACAACCCCTGTCTACTATTCAACACTGTCTTATATCCGGGTGATGACGGTACTGATACTAGCCTGTGTTATGTCAGGTGGAGGCTGTGTAAAAAAGAGACAGCATTCTATACATCTCCTTCACATCTAACCAGCATTGGGCGGCCTAACCTTGGATGTATGCACCACAAGAGGATTCTTCTCCAACTCCTCCGCCATTGACCGAAACACGCCTCTCAGAAACACATTGAATTCGGCTCGTTCCACCGACCCCGAACGGTCCAGGTCTGCCTTGAGAAAGAATTTATCGTAGACCTCCTCGGCGTTGCGTGCGTTGTGGGGAGGCAGCCCCCACACCATGCCCGACCGCGCCAGCCCTGCACTGATGTCCGCACGCGACAGGCAGCGCTTTCTTGACACGTCCCAGGAGGTGAAGGTGTCCTCGCAGATCTTCTGGAAGAGCCGCCGGTCCCCCAGGATCTGTAGGGGGGAGAGGTGGGAGGGAAGGGCAGCGGTGAGTGCAAGGGGTGGGGAGTGGGTAAGAGGTGGCGCTTCCGGGACACGTCCCAGGAGATGAAGGTTCCTTCACAGATCTTCTGGAAGAGCCACCGGTCTCCCAGGATCTGAGGGTGAAGAGGGGGGGAGAGGGGATAGGAACAAGGGGGGGAAGGGTGAAAGGGAGAGGGGAGAAGGGGGAAAGGGAGAAGGGAGAAGGGGGAAAGGGAGAGGGGAGAAGGGGGAAAGGGAGAGGGGAGAAGCGCTGGTAGAGAGGGTGAGGGGAGCGGGGGGGTGTTGTGGGGGTGAGGAGCAGAGCAATGGGTATTGCTGGAAGATTGCAGGAAAGGGGAGTGGAAGTTTGTCTGTACTGTGGGCGCTCGTTCTAGCAGCATGCAACCCTGTACAGCCCTCCCCATGCTCTCGCTTCTCCCCTCTCCTCCCCTCTCACCCATCGCACCTGGCGCAGCTTCCTGCCATGCAGCACCTGCCCTTCCTCCTCCTCGCATCCTGCACATCACCTGTTCGTCCGTGCCAGTACCCTGCCCCACCTCACCCCCCTCCCCTCCCCTCCCCTCCCCATTCCCCTCCCCTTTCTCCACCACACCTGGCGCAGTTTACTGCCGTCCAACACCTGCCCTTCCTCCTCCTCCTCCGGCTTCGCTGCCAGCCTGCCCGCCAGATCAGACACCGTGGCCTGCAGGGGGTGAAAGGGTGAAGGGGGAGGAGGACACAGGAGGCTTGTGAGTCGACTAGAAAATCACCTCAATCACCGGCTTGACTGGCTTGACTGCCAGCCTGCCCGCCAGGTCACACACCGTGGCCTGCAGGGGGGTGAGGGGCGAGAGGGACAAAGGAGACCAAATGGGTCAACTAAAGAATCATTTCAGTCACCTGCTTGACTGGCTTGGCTGCTAGTCTTCCCGCCAGTGGCCTGCAGAGGGTGCAAGGGAGGGGGATCAAGGAGGGGATGCAGTGAGTGGGGGAGCGGAGGGCAATGGAGGAGGGTGGAAAGAGGTGTCTGGGAGGGGAGGAGGGGCATGGTTACGCCAAGATGGGGTGGAGATACAGGGGATGTGGAATATCTCAGTATAAAACCCTCCTCCACACAGCCCTACCTACCCCACACAAACCTCCCTGAGACAAGCCTCCCCCACTACAAGCACGCACGCGCATGAAGGCAGTGAACTGGTCTCGTGAGAGGTCCATACGGCCCAGCCTTCCCCACACAAGCCCCCCTCATACAAGCCTTCCCCATATACGCCCTCCCCCCAAGCAAGCACGCACGCACGCGCATGAAGGAGGTGAACTGGTCTCGTGAGAGGTCCAGGCGCCCCTTGCCGTGCGTCATCACCAGCTGCGCCACCACACTCTCCGTTGACGCGCTCCCTGCACCGCGGAAAGAGAACAAGAGACAGAGAAGGAGTGGTGATGTGCGGTGGAGAGGGGTGCAGTGGAGAGGGAAAGGTCCAGACGACCCTTGTCGTGCGTCATCACCAGCTGTGCCACCACACTCTCTGTTGACGCGCTCCCTGCCCAGCATAGAGAGAACGAGAGATAGAGAGAGAGGAGGGGTGATGCGCGGTGGTGAGGGGTGGGGTGGGAGGCAGAGAGGAGGAGGTCTACCAGTGAAACTGCAATGCACTCACGGAAAGGAGGAGGAGGAGGGTGTGCAGGCCCATGGTCTGCACCATGGTGGAGAGGGCTGGTTTGAGCTTCCTAGCAACCACTACAAGCAACCAATCCCATGACACGTGGAGTGAAACTGCAATGCACTCACAGCAGAGGGTGTGCAGCCCCATGGTCTGCACCGTGGTGGAAAGGGTTGATTTGAGCTTCCTAGTAACCACTACACCCAATAGCACGTGTCACGAGGAGCGGGACTGCGGTTTACTCATGGCAGAGGGTGTGCAGCCCCATGGTCTGCACCGTGGTGGAGAGCTCTGCTTTCATCTCACTACCCGCCGCTACCCACCCGCCACTAATGCGCACACACACTGAGAGACGGCACTCATGGCAGAGGGTGTGCAGCCCCATGTTTTGAACCATGGTGGAGAGCGCTGGTTTGAGCTCAGTACCAGCCACTACGACAGAGGGTAACGCGCACACACACTGAGAGATGGCACTCACGGCAGAACGTGTGCAGCCCCATGTTCTGCACCATGGTGGAGAGGGCTGGCTTGAGCTCGCAGGAGGAGATGGTGCCGCTGCCATCGGTGTCCAGGCTGCTAAAGAGGATGTCGATGAGTGTTGCTAGCTCGCCCTCCTCCTCCATCAGCCGCTGCATCTTCGCCCCGTCCGCAATGAATTGCAGAATAGGGTCGTCTGGAGTGCATGCAATGCCAAGGGATATGGTAGGGAAATGGGGCAGGCAGGGAAGGAGCACATGTGAAGGAAGGCCACCCATCCATCCACCCTCCCGCCCGCCAGCTCGCCCTCCTCCTCCATCAGCCGCTGCATCTTGCCTCCATCCGCCATAAACTGCAAAATGGGGTCGTCTCGAGTGCAGAGGTGAAGGTGGTGGGGGCACATGGGAAGGGACAGTGGGGAGTGGGCACACGGGAAGGGGTGGTAGGGAATGTAAAGGGGACGCAAGAGCAGCAGCTGCATCTTCATCCCGTCCGCTGTGAACTGCGGTATGGGATCGTCTGGGGGAGCATGGGAAGGGGCGGCGGGGAATGGGTGAACGAAACTGAATCCGTGACTGTAATAAATAACAAGGATGCACACATGTGAGCACAATGGACTCACCAAGGGTGTGGTCCCCACAGAATTACTAAACCCTAATCACAATGTTGAGGGTGACCCATATTATTGGTTGGGACCCTGATAATGGCCTTCCTACTAATTGGGTCAAGGAGGGATGGGTGGCAACTTCAACAGATTGTGGGTGCCAAAACCAAAGTGTACACCCAACATTTGGGTGTAACACTTAGGATACTCGCACTGTACAGTACATGCTATATTTTTGACAATGGGCGCAAGGGAAGCGTGCGGCTGGCCAGGCACCCACCCGCCATTCCCACCCATCCGCCCGCACACCCAACCACCCGCACGCACCCACCCATGCGCCCACCCGTGCACGCACCATGCACGGCGTCCCCCATGCGTTGCAGCACGCGCATCATCGCATCCACGAACTCCTCGCATGCCACCTCCTGCTCCGCGCTCTCCCAACCATCACTCCCACCATCCCCCCCACCATCGCCAGCAGACTCTGTATCCCCTCGTCTGCGCGCTGATTCTAACACCGCCTGAAATTGCCCTTCCCCTCGCCTCTTCCCCTCCCCTCGTCTCTCCCCCACCCCCCGTCTCCCCTCCAACCCCGGGCTCCCCGCCGAGAACGTCCGCCTCGGAAACGGCAGCGCGCTCGTCTGCTCCACGTGCGCCACCACCGCGCACACCGCCTTGCGCGGAACCCTCCCCCTTCCACCCTTATCCATCTCGCGAAACCTCTCCTCCAGAAATTTCCTTACACGCTGCCCGCCGCCCTCCTCCCGCAGCAGCGCGAGCAGCTTCGGCCCGTCGAAAACGGTTTCCGTGCCGCCGGATCCGGATTCCCCCTTGGGTTCCACGGACGATTCGAGCACGAGGGGCGTCTCTTCCAGCTGCAACTGCATGCCGATAAACAGCGAGCGCAGCAGCGTGCGAAACTCCCCCTTGTCCACAAACCCGTCCAGATTCACGTCCGCGGAGAGGAAGAGCGACGTGTAGACCTTGTCTGCTTCCGCGGCGTCGGGCGGAGGGAGGCCGTACGCGAGGCCGAGCTTGCGGAAGCCCGCCATGGCGTCGGTGCACACGAGGAAGCCCTTCTCCGCCACATCCCAGTCGTTGAACATGGCGTCTGCCAGTGCTGTGAAGAACTCATCGTCGCTTAGAATCTGCATGCAGGGATGGGGGGCAGGGCAGGGGGAAGGACAGGAGGAAGGGGGTTGACCTGACAGTGGGGGGGGGAGACAAGAAGCCCCTGCGGGAGACGTCCCACTTGTTGAACATGGCGTCTGACACTGCCGTGAAGAACTCGTCGTCGCTCAGAATCTGCATGGGGGGATGCAGAGAGGGGCAGCACATGGGGGGAGGATGGCGGGGGGGAAGGGGGGGGTAAGGGGGGTTGACGTCCTAGTCGTTGAACATGGCATCTGATACTGCCGTCAAGAAATCGTCGTCGCTCAGAATCTGGATGTAGAGAGCGAGGGAGGGAGGGGGTAGCAAGCGCAACTGAGCACGGCTTTTTATATCACTCTAAACCGCCTCTAAACTCCGCACAGCAGGCGCGGTACAGGCCAGCGCAATAGTCTCATCACCTGAAGCGCACTGCACGCGGTTCGCACCTTTTATATGTAAGCGCCGTTGAGCACGGTGGCGCGGTGCGGTGCAATGCGGTGCAGTGCAGTGCGCGGTTCACACCTTTTTTATGTACGCGCCGTTGAGCACTGTGGCGCGCTGCGGCAGGTACAGCGGCGCGGCCTCGAGCTCGGAGGAGAGGTCTTTAAAGACGTCGAGCAGCAGCGCGGAGAACTCCTCGCGGCACAGCTCCCCGTCGCCATCCAGACAGTAGCGGTCGATGATGCGCTCTAGCACCTGCTCCTGGTGCTCGCGCGCTGATGGGGGGAGGGGGGAGGAGGGCGATGGGGAGCGGAAGAGGAGGGGCGATGGGGGGCGTGATCTCAGGGGATGCGCGCTCTAACACCTGGTCCGTGTGCTCGCGCGCATATGTGTGGGGAACGAAAATGGCTAGGATCGAACCAAACTTATGCCCTTGGCTTCTTTTTCCTGCTTCTTCTTTTGCGAATTCTTTCGCTGTGTAGCTCTCATGGAGAATGCGGCTAAGGAGAATTGAAGAGGTTCCCCCGCTTATTGATTCCCGCAACGTCCCGCAAAGCCCCTCCCGAATCCTTTCCGCGCAGCCGCCCCGCACCAGCCCCCATCGCACATGCCCCTCGATCCAGAATTTAGGGAGCTCAGCACGAACGGCAGGGACGGCACGAGCGGCACGAGCAGGTCTCACCTTCGGCCGTCGTGTTGTCGCCCTTGTGAAGCCCCAACCGCACGAGCGCGGGGCGCAGCTCGCTCTTGCTGATGCACCCGCTGCCGTCCGCGTCCAGCTCCGCGAACAGCGCCGAAATCAGCGCCTCCGCCTCCTCCGCGCTGCCGAGTATTCTCCGCAACGCGCCCCCGTCGTAGACCAGCGTGGATAGCGGGTCCTCTGGGGGAGCGGAGAGGGGAAGGAGGGAGGAATGATGGGGAGAGGGGAAGGAGGGGGAGAGGGGAAGGAGGGGGAGGGGGAAAGAATGCAGGGAGGTGGGGGAAAGAATGAGGGGGATGGGGAAAGAATGAGGCGGAGGGGGAAAGAATGAGGGGGAGGGGGAAAGAATGAGGGGGAGGGGGAAACAATGAGGGGGAGGGGGAATCAATGAGAGGGAGAGGGAAAGAATGAGGGAGAGGGGGAAAGAATGTGGGGGATCTGAATTCCGAGTAGCGCGTCGCACGTAGGTTATTTACTTGCACGTACCTTCTAACGCGTGGCTCGCGCCGCTAAGAATATCCTTGCAAACCCGGACAAACGAATCCCGCCCAATCTCCTCCGTGAGATCCGGCGACATGAACGACGCGAAAAGCCCCTCCACCAGCTCGTCAACCTCGCGTGCCGTCCCGGCCGGCGGCATTCCTAATAGCTCCCCGAGCCGCAGTAGCGCCGGCTTTAACTCGCCCAGCGAGAGCGCGCCGTTACCGTCGGCGTCGAGGCGGTCGAACTCGTGCGAGAGGAACGCCGAGAATGCCGCGTCGTCGTGCATCCGCCGTCGGATTTGCTTCCCGTCGAAGATCGTAAGGCGAGGAGGGGCAGAGTCGGATGAGGAAGATCCTCCGTTGCGCGGGGACGATGGGCGCCGCGGCTTGACCGTTAGATCGCAAGAGGTCTGGGAAGACGGTGCCTTTGCCGATGAATGCGGCGGGGAAACCGCGGCCATGGTTGCGGAAGTTTATTTCGCACCAATTTCTCGTGTTCTTGTCCACTGGACCGGCGAGATTGCTAGAAGCGCGGCGCGAACGTGACGGAAACCTACTTTTACTCGAAACTTTGACAAGGACGTCCGACCCGAATCCAACTTTCACTCAGGAAGACTTTGAGTCGAAGTCCGTCGAACCGTCGTGGGTATGGGGTGGGGGGTAAGGAAGCTCTAAAGCTACCAGCGGCGTGTGTTGAAATCAGGACCCTTCTGAGGACCAGTCCGGCTGAGCGTGAAGGTACGTAACAACAAGCCTCGCCTACGGAGTTACTGGTCTGGCCCAATGCTGCCCAATTCTTCAACGCAGCTACAGTTATGTACGTCCACCTCGCTCATGTGCGCCAACCCCTCAAGAATCAGCAGCACCCACTCGCCGAAAAGGTGGAGAGAGGGTGGGGGGTTGCGGTTGGGTTGGGGGGGTCAAACTATTCTGGGGTGCTCCTGGAAGCCAATCGGCGGGCTAGGGGTAGTGGTGGTGCGAGTAACCAGGATAGGTAACCATAATTCACGAAGTTTGCGAATTTCCTGTGTCGCAAACCATCAGTGGTGGTGATGTGGGATTTTGGCATTTCCTTCCGAGTTTGTCGACAACGTTGCATGCATGCTGCCAAAACAAGCCACATTACGTATGGACACGAAGTGCACACGTTAAGACACTGTGTGTCTCGAATGCCCAACAGTGTAATCGTGACTCCAGTGTGTATTTTTGGCTGTTCCGTGATGTACACCCAAGCAGTTCCACAAAAATATTGGTCTCCCCCCCCACCCCCCCACCCCCTCTCCTCCTCTGTTCGCTTCACATTCCCGTCGTTCCATCCCACACCCAAGAACTATCTCATTTGCAATCGGATTTTCACTACCCTAAACCCAACGAAGTCATGAAACTTGCACACCACACTACCATGTCGTTAATCAAGGAAATGAATCTCTGCGCTGAATGTCAAAATCCTGAAGCACAGGAGGAGGTCATCGCGGATCTAGTTTTGCTAGCCCTGGGTTTCTGAGGAAATCAGAAAGGATAATTTAATTGTCCAGGGAATTGAATTGCTAACCTCACACCTGCATAAAGAGGGAGGGGGAACAACAATTGTCTGGCACATCTCTGGAGGATATTAAACCAACCACAGTCACCGCTTGTCGGTACATGAGGTGGTTTCGTGCGATCCAATCGATTCCAGGTTCGTTCATTGTTTGGCGGCAACTTTCGCCATGTTCGTTCAATCTGTTGCACACTGTTTTGCGTTGCGAATGCCAATTTGCCATGCTGCCATCAAATGCGTTTTGGTTCTGCAGTCTGCCGCACATATCATACCTAGCATATAAACCATTCCTAGTGTTATCTATGCATAGAAACCATTCCTATTTATTGTGCCAAGAGCTTACAACGATGGTTTGATCATCCTCCGGAGGGAAAGGCTGGTACTGGTGCATAGCATTGATTCCTAACGGTCACAGTCTTCATTATCCTAGGAAGCCCTGGGCTTCAAGGGAGTTTGAAGCAATAAATGCATATTTCAAGTTCTGAAAACACTTTGAGGTAATGAGGACGGATTTATGACTCCATGTTATTCTTCGTACACTCCCCCACCTCCACCCCCTCACCACATCCCCCTGAGCGAGGACCCGTTCCTTCTGCAGTCTCATTCACACCCTCCATTTTGCATGGCATATTAAACCTCAGCACCCAGCCCGGAGTATAACCAAGCATTTGTTTGAAGCTTCCTCATCTTGCATCACCCTATCACACTATTGTCGATGGTGCTGCAGCTAGCGACCTCCATTTCTTATCGGGCACCGACAGCAGCGCCCACAGCACTGGCAGTACTCCCCTCCTCCACAACCTCTCCCTCCCCCACTCCCTGTATCTACTCCCCTGCCTGCACGCTGCGGCTTGGGCGGCAACAGAGCAGACGCCTTGCCCTTGCCCCGCTCCCTGAACCCCTCTTCAATCCCACTGTCTCTCGTGTCAAGAGAAGGCCCTCCATACCTGTTGCCTTGCCTCGGGCCGAGCCTGCTGCGGTGCATGCAGCCACAGGGCCTTGCTTCGGCTGCTCTGCCATTCCTACCACTGGCTGTAGCATCACCATCAGCAGCATCATCATTCAAATCATCGTGTGTGGCTGATAGAGCATACTGCGAATCAAAACAAAACGAAAAGGGTAACTGCATGCCTGAGAGGTTTCCCTCTCGTCTCCCTGCTGCTGCACCTGTTGCCGCCCATTCCCCACCACAAACACTGTTCACTGACGCTACAGTGACTGCTGCTGCTGTAGCAAACCACTGGGGGGAGCAAATAGATGACAATGCAGACAAACCAAGCCACCCATCTAAACTCAATGACCCAACATTGCTGCTCACACTAGCACCCACCCCACTAGCCCTATTATTCCCAGTTCCCCTTCCGCCACAGCTGCTACAGAAACTACTCATGCGTGCTGCTGCAGCCGCTACAGCCGACGGCCTGCCATGGCCACACACGCTACAGCCGTGGTACCCCCCCTGCAGCAACATGGGTTCGTCCGCGTCTAGCAGTCGATCGCCGCGCCACCTGCACCTGCTGCCTCCTCCCCGGCCCGGAATCCGCGCACTGCTGCTGCTGCTTCCGCCTGCGTTCCCGGACCTGTCCCGCAGCTTCGGAATCCGAAGCTCATCGCCGCCTCCACCGACCAGCGGGACAGCCTCGGAGAGCGAGTCAGAGCTACCGCCAGTCCTGTCATTCTCGTACTCGTCAGAGTCACTCTCGGTACTGTCTCTCGCACTATTATTGTCCCCCCTACGTTCCCCTTCCTGAGCATCACCCTCGCTTGAAGCAGCTCCGTTAGAAGAACTAGCACCAGGCCTGGCAACATCCCCATCAGCGACCTCCTCCGCCTTCCCCTTTCCCTTGTCCTCCGCCCCGCCCCCCTCCTCTCCTTTCCCCTCCATCCCCTCCAGCCCCTCCACAGCCCACGCCTTGCCTTCGGGCTGCCCGAGAAACTTCAGAAACCATCCGAACGGGCGCTCCTCCTCCCCGCGCCACAGCCTCCCCGCGCCCACCTGGCGGAACTTCTTCTCCAGCTCCGCGTGCAGCACCTCTAGAATCGCCACCTTTTCCGACACGACCATCTGCGCCTCGACAAGCTTTAAATGCACGTTGTGCTCCCTCCAGTTGTCCGCGCGCGCGAGTTGCGCGCGCTCCAGCGTGATATCCTCCAGCAGCTGCCTCCGCGCGAGCTCCGCGGCCACAGCTAACCGCTCCGCCAGCTCGCGCCGTTCGCGCTCGTCCGCGGTCTCGCGGCGCGAGGAGAGCAAAGCGTTGTTGAGTTTCGCGCAGGCCTGCCCGAGGCGCTCTTTCTCCATGCGCTCGCGCACGAAATCCAGCCCCGCCTTCGCCAGTACCGCCTGCATCTCCGCCACTTCCCCCTTGGCGTCCGCCAGCTCCCCGCGCAGCTCCGACAGCTCCGCCGACTGCTTCGCCAGCTGCTGCAGCAGCTTCGCGAACTTCTGCGAAGCCGTAAGCGAAGCCATGTTCACGACAGCGGACGACGGCGGGCGCGGGTGGGGAATCGGGTGGGCAGTTTGGGGCGGGGCGAAGGAGAAAGGGGGGAACGCGGAGTGCGCGGAGGGGGAGGTGGGCGGGGAGACGGCGGAGCGGGAGGAGGCGGCGGCGGCGGAGGAGAGCGTGGGGCTGGTTCCGCCCGAAAAGGTGGTGGCGGTGGTGCTGGTGATAGAAGAGGCGGAGGGGAAGGGCGCGTGGGAGAGCGCGAGCAGCGCGAGGGGATTGAGGTTCGGGGGAGGGGAAGGTGAAGGGGCTCTCTGGGGGGCAGACGACGACTCACTCCCAGTATCGTCCTCCTCCCCCTCGTCACCCCCCTCGCTCTCCTCGCTCTCCTCACTCTCCTCGCTATCGTCGCTCTCTCCATCATCTATCGAGTTTCCTTCTACCGAGTTATTAATCTCATCCTCCCCTGCACACGTCTCCTCGTCATACTCCCGCCCTTGCCCTTGCCCCTCTCGCCCTTCGTGCCGATCGTGCTGCGCGCTGCCATGCCCCACGTCCTCCGCTGTACAATTCTCCTGGCCAACCCCTTCATCTTCACAAGCAAAAGATTCATCTACACTTCGGCCAAATCTCCCTTCTCCGAATCTCCCTTCTCCACTACTACCTTCACTGAATGTACCCTCCCTACTATCTGCTTCACTACTTCTACCTCCCCCGGTTCGGCTTTCCCCGAATCTCTCGCAGTTTTCGCTTTCGCCAAACCTTTCGCGATCTTCGCGTTCACCGCACCTACCTCCACCACTCGATTCCGCTTCCACGACCGCAGCGCCCGTTAATCTGCTTCTCTCGCATCCAGCCTCCCCCGGGCTCGACCTCCCCGTTACGATCGAAAGCGATAACTCACAGTCCCCTGCGACATCGCTTCTGTCGCTTCTGTCGTTACTGTCGCACGCAGTAATCGCACAGGAATTCCCCAAAAAGCTCGTCAAGGGGGTCGGAGGTGTCGCAGGGCGAGCGTCCTCCTCTCCTCGCGACGCGGCGGCTGTTCCGGCGGTAAATATCGGCGCATCGGAGTCTGCTTGAAATAGCGGGCGGCCTAGCGATGGGAAAACTGCGCCGTGGGGCGGCGCGAATGGATTGGCTGTTGCTGAGCTACTATCGGCGGTGATACTTTCGAAAGTGATTACGGGTGCGACTTTCCGAGATGCTACCGTGTTGCTGAAAATATTAAAGCGGCTTGGCGTGAATAATTGCGACTGCGAGGATTCTGCGGCGGCGGCGGCGGCGGCGGCGGCGAACGGGGAAGCGTTTGCGTCTGTTTCTTGTGCGGGTTGCGCGGAAATCTTACCCCGCTGCTGCTCCTGCTGATGCTGGCGCTGTTTATCAGCGGGGCGGATGCGGCGGAGGTAGCGGCGGGCTGCTGGGAGCCGCGCAACGGGGAGAGGCGCGGAAGAGCCGGGGGAATCTGACGTGTCCATGAGATAAACTGCGGACGATAAGGCTTCTGCCACCTGATGGGAAAATTGGGGCCGGACCAGCCGACCCTAAATCCACCGGACACGCAGAAGCGGGACGCGAGGAAGTCGTGAACCTGAGCGAGTATCGCACATCGAACCCTAAATTGCTTATGCACATGTCTTCGCACAACTAACCATGAGGCGAGGGGGAAGAAAGATGAGCGAGCGTGCAATGTCCGAGAGGAGGAATGAATCACAAAATTGCAACAAGGTGACGTGAGGTACACAGCTGGCAACTTTGCTGTTCGATGCGAAGCACGCGGCAATTGGGAAGGGGGAGGTAGGGAGGGAGGGCTAATTTTTCGTTTTTGAAGATCCGGATGCCTCCGGGGCTCCCACGTAAACGTACGTAAAAATCCAGATCCGTAGATATACTACCCTTTCTGATCCGGATTCCATCAAGGGGAACCCTGAGTCAGTGTGTTTCTAAAAACCACCCTGTGGCCCATCGAGCCGAGACTGCAGCAAAGTACAAGTGAAGAACAGAAGTATAGAAGTACTCGAGAAAAGCACTTCCATCCATTCAAGGGCCAATTCATGACTCGAGTTCCTGAAAGAACCCAACACTCTAACAGGCCTAAACACCCATAATACTGAGACTGAGTGCGAAGAACACAAGTATGTGTTAAGTTGCATAACATCTGTTTCGCATCGCGATGTTACTCTCTCAGGGACGCGACCACTCAATTCCGGCACGAAGGTTTCTTACAAAAACCCTTAAGCGTCTGGACTTTTATTGGAAATACCATTTATGTGTCCGTATGATTTGGAAGTAAACCCCCTCAAAAGCCAGATCTCAGACGAAAACATCCGGAATGTTGAAGAAATTCTGGATGTGCACCCTGCTACCGTGAGCCCTGGAGGGGGAACCAGTGGAGGGAGGGGGTGGGTGGCGTTACAGTAGCTCACCAGCCTAACGTGACAAGATGCTTTCTGCGCTCACAAGAACTGGTCTCTGCCACAGTGTCGTGTCGTGTCTGGTCGAGTCGTGGTCGTCACCGCCGTGTTGTGATTCGTGAACTGTGCAGCTGTGTTGAATGCGAAGGTGGCGCGGCGGAATGCTTGCAAGCAAACTTTTGACTCAGTTTCTGTCACTTGAAGCACAGCTGCACAATTCCCTACAGTACACCTAGTATACAGTGCACAGCGCGTTCCATCTCATTCAAACTTCGCGGGCATGGGGAGGGGAAATCATCATAAACCTGGCAAAATTCTTCAACATCTGAAAGGGCGACAAAACGTCCACCCTCATTGGTTTGCAGACAAAATGCGTTAGCACATAAGAACAAGACTTACAAGCCCCCCGTTGATCATTCTTCCCCACCAGCCACCTAGCAAGCGCCATATCAGACACGGCAATTTCTGACGTTTTCGTGGCGGCCCAAAGCCACCTGGGTTGGCGAGGAGAACGTTGGGATGTCATTCTCTGAAAGGAAATAATACGACAAAACGAAAGATTGTGATGAAGGTTCCTAAGCGACAAGGCAGCGATGGGTGCTGCTGTGCGATTGAGCTTGAGCACTGCTCACCACTATCACACGCAACTGTTGAAATTATAGGAATCTCTTCATTTTAATAGGTGCAGTAAGATAAACCTTTGCTTAATGTTTACGGCCTTTTCCTTGTTCTGGCAGAACACCAGAAGGCAGTAAAACCAGCAGTCACAGTTTTTTACGCTACGTGTATATGCAGGCAAAAGATAGCATCACCTACCGTAAGCCTCACCCTAGCAAAGAACACCACTGTATATTGACATGATACTGGTTAAAGCACTACCCCATAAAACCGGCACCAGATGTGGGCTGCTTCATAGGGCGCACTGTCTGCCCCTTGGCCTCTGCCTCCACCTGCTGTCGCTTCTCCCTCTGCCCCATGCCATGCACCCCCAGCAGAGACACGTGGAGAAAGGGAGATGCAGAGTTAGAAGGCTAGGACAGGCACACATGTATGGCAACGTGCAAGGGAAAGAAGGTGCAGAGAGGAACAGAGAGCGGCAAAGGCTGGTGCCAAAAGCTCAACTGCACTCCAATCACCACTCAAATCTCACTGGCATCAGCACCCACCTCCTGCCGCCGTGCCTCCACGGTTGACTTAACAAGCATGTTATCCAGGTAGCTGGCATAGTTCTTGGGGCAGCGCCTTCGGAACTCCTTGAAGTGCGCGTCAGCCTGCTTGCTGTCCCCCATGAGTGAGAACACGAGCCCCTTGCACAGATACGGCCGGAAGTCACTCGGATCACTGGCACTGATGGCGTCGTACTGTGCTATCGCCGCCTCCACGTTTCCCTGAGTGAGGGGGTGAATGGAGAGCAAGAAGGAAAATGCACAGGGAGCAGATGGCACGCGGATTCTTGGCAATAGCTCGGGTTGCTCGCGCTGATAGCGCCGTACTGTGCTATCGCCGCCTCTCACGTTGTCCTGCATGGGAGGAGAGGGGGGCTCGTACTGAGCTACTGCCCCCCCCCTCTCCTCCGAATCCTCCCACCCCCACCTTACCTGCAGCGCTTGTACCAGCCTCAGCAGCATCTTCAGGTTCGTCGCATCCTGCTGCTTGCCAATGGCTTAAAGCCCCAACCCTGACCCCCATCCCCTCCCTCCTTTCCTCCCTCCCATCCCCACCCCTCTCTCCCCTACCTCCCACCACCACACACACGCACCTGCAGCGCGTGCAGCCGCCCCAACAGCATCTCAGGTTCGTGGCCTCCTGCTGCATGCCAGACCCTAACACCCCACCCCCAAACATTGTGCCCCTATCCCGAGCCCCATAGCACCCCACCCAGCCTCCCCCACTCCCCCAACCCCTCTACCCACCTGCAGCGCGTGCAGCTGTCCCAGCAGCATCTTGAGGTTGGTGGCCTCCTGCTGCTTGCCCAACCACTCAAAAACCCCACCCCCCAACCCTGCGCCGCTATCCCCGCACCCTCTAATATCCCACTCAATATCAAACCCCCTCTTGTCACGCGCACCTGCAGCGCGTGCAGCTGCCCCAGCAGCATCTTGAGGTTGGTGGCCTCCTGCTGCTTGCAAGACTTATAACCCCCAACCCTGCGCCCCTATACCCGTACCTCCCCACCCTGCACCCCTGCACCCTCTCCCCACCTGCAGAGCGTGCAGCTGCCCCAGCAGCATTTTGAGGTTGGTGGCCTCCTGCTGCTTGCCCGCCTGCCCCGCCTTCCCCACCGCCTCCTCCACCATCCCCAGCACCAGGCTGTCCTCCCCGCTGCGCCGCATCACTGTTGCTAAGCCCTGTGTGTGGGGGAAGGGGGGAAGGGGGAAGCGGGCAAGCAGGGAAAGGATTGCAAGTGCTGCTCTTCCCCTCCGCCTCTTCCGCCATCCCCAACACCAGGCTGTCCTCGCCGCTGCGCCGCATCACCGTTGCTAAGCCCTGTGTGGGAGGGAGAGGGAGGAGGAGGAGAAGAGAGGGGCATGGTGGGGAGGGAGGGGTGTGTGGGGAACGATGGGGCCTGGGGAGGCCATTAAAAAAGGCTGGCGGAGGGGGGCGACGGGAACGAGAGAAGAAGAAACATATTTTAAACTACAAAAAAAAAAAAAAAAAACAGAACAAAATAAACGAGCAGCAAGGGTGCACCTGGAGCGCGCGCGCGGAGAAGGGGTCGGCTTTGAGGATGTCCTGAAAGCCCTTGCGCGCCGCCTTCAGGTCCCCCACGAACTCCTGTGCCTGCGCGCGGATGTACTTCCACTCCATGTCGTCCGGCTCTATCTGCTCCGCGCGCCAGAGTCGGGGAAGAGAGAGGGGGTTGGGGGGGAAAGAGGAAGGGCAGCAGCACGGGAAATTGACAAGTCGAGTCGCACAATCGCCTGCGCGCGGATGTACTTCCACTCCAGGCTCGATCTGTCGACGCCAAGTGAGAGGGTGGGAGGCAGGTGAGGGGGAAGCAACAAGCAGGTGGAATTCCTAATACACCAACAAAACGACTTCCTTCGCCCGTGCGCGGATGTACTTCCACTCCACATCGACATTAGTTGCTCTTGAGAATTCTAACGAAGAAATCTCATCCCTGGAGAACGAGGGAGGGGGTGATCCAATAGAAACGTAACTGCATCTACGGGAGGCACGTGCTGCTCGCCATTCCCGTCGGTCCATTAAGATTCAGCATCGATCATCATGCGTTCACGTAAATTCAACCTTGTTCATTTTAAGTGCCTATTTATTCAGGTTGTTACACTATTGGTTGGTGTGCGTGTGTGTCTGTGTGTCTGTGTGAGTGTGCGAGCGTGCGCGTGTGTGAGCGTGAGAGCGCGCGGGCTGACCTCCACGAGCTGGTCGAGGATTTTGATGCCCCCCGCGAAGTCCGCGCACTTCATGCGCACGCGAAGCAGCATGCGCAGAGCGGTTACGTCGCGCGGGTGCTTCGCCAGAAAGTCCTCCAGCATCTTCACCGCGCGCTCCTGCTCCTCCGCTTGCGCGCGCGCGCTTTCCGCCGCCTCCTTTCCCCCCCCCTCCGCCTTTCCCCCCGCCTTCTCCCCGTCGAGGGTCTGCCGCCCCACGATCGGCGTGGGCGGCGGGGCGAGCGGCTTGTCGGACTTGGCTTGCGCCGCGCGCGGCAAGCCGAAGGCTAGGCTGAGTGCGACACACGTGCCGACGAGGAACGACGGGCCGTATCGTCGCACGCGTGCGACGAGCTGATCGGAAACGAGACGTTGGAAGTTGTCGTCATCGTCGCACGGAATGGAGTCAGCGCGCTCGGCGACGGCTTCTGCGGCATGCGACGTCGCAGCTGATTTGGAACCATCTGATTGGCTGGAAGAGCTGAAAAGAGGATATACTACGTTGTTCAACGACCGCGCACGTTCCTGAAAAGCAGGAAACGTGGCCTCGTTTGTTGAACCGCTACTGGCTGACGTGGACGAATGCGATTCGCACGTGCAGCAGAGTCGCACAGATCCACCACAGATCGCGGCGGGAGCGGCGGTCACGGTGACGGATGGCCGAAGGCGGAGCTGCGAATCTCTCGCGACTAGAGACACTCGCGACGCGGTCCCTGCCGGGGAAGGCGGAGCAAGGAACGCCATCATGGGTTGGCGAGACGGAAAGGAACCGTTGAGGCCGACAAATATATCCTACCCCTCACGAATGCGCGAGAAAAGTACTTCCTTTTGAGCACTGTTCGTCCCTAACGAAGGCACAGAAAGGAAGGGGTGGTGAATGCATGGCAGGATGATAGGTAAAGGGGCGAGGTTGTGGGTGTGGGGATAAGCATGCTGAGATGGCGGGAAATGTTCCCTAGATGACTAGTCATCTGCCAGCTCTGACAGCTCCATAAAGCGAAGTCAAAACAGGAGAATAGTGTTCGAATGCTGATTGACCAAATCAATCATACGCACTACACAGATGTAAAACAATAATATTTAAAATACTGCTGTCGAGCCTGACTGTAACGCAGAGTCAAGATGAACAAGAGCGGGATGTGGCTGGCGCCCACAACAACCAATCAGGCAAAGTCGAAGCGCTTTGTCAGACCAATCTCAGCTCTGCAGCTCTGCTAAGACAAGGTCAAGACCGTCAGATGCGGAAACTCCACAAAAGATGCGGAAAAGAACGCAAATCGCTCGCAGAAATCCTGCGACAGACGCCAGTCGCGCACACGGTTGAGGAACGGTTGCACTCAGGGTAACGAAGCGCACACCTGACAGTCAAACGAATGTCGTCACAACTCGTTACGTGGGCTACCAGTTTCGTGCAATTCCGAGCCCTATTCCAGTTTTCGCAGCCAGGAAATCATAAATCTGGTCTGGGGAGCTCTTGTTCAGGCAGAAATGGAATGCCATGAGAACCAATGTGTTTGTTATTATCTGCTCTGCACCCAATCAAGCAGCCATTATTGTTTGCGCGAGTTTGGCCTGTTTCTCTACCTTCGCCATTGCGCGACACCACGGGAACTGCTCGCTTGGAGGTAAACGCATCTGAAGAAGTAACTGAATTTAAAAATCGCTCACCTTTTCAGCTCTTCACTAACGATGGAAACTCCTCGGGGCAGCAACTTCGCTGATTCTGATAAATTCGAGGGAACAAGTCTAATCATGGACGGCGAAAATGGGTGCACACCCGCCAACCCCAAATGCTTCAAAATAGCTGCAGATTACGATGTCGTGACTTCTAAAGCGTGTGACGGAGCGGACGCTGCGTCCGCGCACGGCGCTGCTGTCTCCGCCGCGTGTGGCGCGGAGCCGGCAGCGAACGGCGCCCAGCCCCGGCAACCTGCGCTGTCCGCCCTGTCGCTCGCGCCGGTTACCCCAGGCGAAGACGAGGTTTCGACAAAGCACCGCTTGCGCTTGACTGAAAGCGACTGTTCTCCTGAGCCCACCATTGATAAAAACCGAAATTCTCCGCCTGAGGACGACGCGGAAAAGGGGGAAACTTGCGCCAACGCGGAAGCGCAAGCGGAGAGGTCGAACTCAACGCCGAAGACTGCGGAGAGGCGGAGAAGCTGCGGGGACGGCGGGGAGACGGAGGAGCGAATGCGCGCGCAACTGGCGGACGCGCGGAAGATGGTGCGCGCGCTGGTGGGGGAGCTGGCGGCGAGAGACGTTGAGGGGTACGATGACGTGGCATCGGGGGACGATGACGAGGACGTGCAGGAAGATGACGAAGATGGGAGAGACCAAGGAGACGAATTCGATTTGACCAAGGTAGGATACCACCAAGGAAGACGATCCGTCATGCACCCCCCCCTCTCCCTCTCCACCCCTCCCTCTTCCTCCCCCCCCTTCTCGCCCACTTTCCCTCCACCCCTGCTCCCTCCGCGCACTCACGCCCCCCGCATGGGCCTATTGTAGAGCCTCCATCCCGATCCCCGTCCCGCGCCTCACAATTCTTCCGCCGTTTCCCCGCCCGCACCCGCCATCCCCAGGCGCTGCGGCAGGAGCGGCGGGTGGTGCGGCTGAAGCAGCAGCTGGTGCGCGCACGGGCGGAACGGGACTCCCTTGAGGCGGAGATGCGCGCGGAAAGGGCGGAATGGCGCGCGCTGGAGGCGGAAGCCCGCAGGGGGAGGGAGGCCGCAGCTAGAAGTGTTGCTCCCGAGGCTGCACGGCCGAAGGCTGCGCAGCGGGTGGGAGGTTGTGTGGAGGCCGACGCTAGAAACGAGAAGCAGATGATTATAGGAAGCGAGCAGGCGGGCAGCGGTGGCGGCTGCTGCTGCTGCGGGGGGAGTGAGGCGTTGGAAGAGCTACAGGCGCAGGCGATGATGGCACAGGGGGAGGTGTATCTGGTGCAGGCGCAGCTGGAACGGACGGAGGCGCAGCTGGTGCGCGTGCAGGAGGAGAGGCGGAAGGAGAGGGAGAGGCACCGGGGTGCTCTGAAACAGTTCGTGCGATTTGCGATGGAGGATAGGGAGAGGGAGAAGGGAAGAGCTGAGGAGGAGATGGGGAGGGAGAGGAGGGAGATGGAGGAGAGGCGGAGGAAGGAGATGGGGGGACTGGAGGAAGAGGTGGAGAGGTTGAGGAGGGAGGTGGAGAAGGGAAGGGAGAGGGGGAGAGAGAGGGTGCAGGAGGCGTGGGAGAGAGGACGGAAGGAGGGGGCGGGTGAGGCGGAATTCATGCGGAAGGTGATTGGGGAGGGGGAGAGGCGAGTGGGGGAGCTAAGGGCGCGAGTTAGACAGCTAGAGCAGGAGAAAGGGGAGGTTGAGAGGGAGAGGAGCGAGTGGGACGCGGAGAGGAGGGAGTGGGAGGCAGAAAGGAGGAAGATGGAGGGGGAGGTGAAGGGGGAACAGGCGAGGAGGAGAGCAGTGGAAGCGGCATTGAGAAGGGTAGAGAGAGAGGTGGTAGAGCTGAGGAGGGCAAGGGGTGCTGTGGAGGGGGAGAGGAGGGCGGTGGTGAGAGAGGTGCAGAAAGAGGTGATGCGGGAGAGAGAGAGGGTGGAGAAATTGGAGTGGGGGGTGGAGGGGTTGACAGGCGAGGTGGGGGAGTTGAAGGGCGATGTGGAGGGATTGAAAAGTGGGGAGGCACAGCGGGCTGCAGAGGCAGCGTGTTATGAGAATGCTCACAAGCCCACGTCTGTGTATGTCTGCCATGTTGCGTCGCTGCCAGAAACCATGCCTTCTTCTGCCATTGGCACAGGTGCCTCCACTGCTGCTGCCTCTGCTCATGCGTGTGCTCGTGCTGCTGCTGCTGAGTGCGCCTCCTCTCCTGCTGCCGCTGCTGCTGCTGCTGCTGCAACCACCAGGCACAGCAACCATCGCGCAATTTCCGTGCCCTTGTACACAAAACAGTGCTGCTTGCACCACGCACATGCCTTTCACACATCGCAGCACCAGGCGCGTGCTGCAATTCCAGGTGTGGCCAAATCAGGTGTGCCTGTTGAGTCAACTCAAAGGCACCAGGCATGCACACCGGGCAGCACCTGTCTGTATGGAGCCGAAGCAGGTCCCTCCCAGGCCAGCAGCAGCCAAGGGTCGGAGGGAGGAGATGGAGGGGCAGCAGTGGGTTGCTGCTCCTGCTGCCCTGGTGGCAATGGTGCAGTTGAGGGGACTCTCGTGCTGGGGGGACCTGGCCGACATACCAGCAGCAGCAGCAGCAGCAGCAGCATGGGCACGAGCACAAGCAGTGGGTGTTTGCCCCATCTCATTGCTTTGAATGGCAACAGGCGTGGCAGGAATGAGGGGAGAGGGTTGGGTGAGAGCGGTGCGAAGGGATGGAGCACAGTGCAAGCGTACAGGGGATGGGAGGAGGATAAGGCGCACCACAGGTGGTCAAAAGGCAGAAGCAGCCATGCAGGAGGAGGCGAGAAGCAGGGGCAGGAGCAGGAGTGGGAGGAGAGCAGGCATGAGTTTATCTCCCTCCTGGATGGACTACACCTGTCACTTGAAATCTGACCTGAGTCACAACTGACCTTGCTGATCCACCTGTACAGGGCAGGTGCCGGGGTACTTCGGGGATTAATCCAGTGCATTGTATGCTGTCCTCTGCAGGCTTTTTGCTTCAATGCGTGCTTTACTTACAGCTTCGTGCTTCAATGCGTTAGTTTTCATACTTGCCGTTTCCACAACTGATACGGTACAACATAGGGTCCACTCCACTTAAATCTAAAAATACACGTGCTCCCAGATAAACGTACTGGTAGCTGAGTCTGGCAGGCAGTGTTGCAGAGACAACAATATTACAGTGTTTCAACAATGTTGCAGGCAGCATTCACGTTACAGCACCGCCCCCATGTGAGAGAATGGGCAGATTGAACAGCATGCGCACCCATGTGTCTGCTGGGCCAGGCAGGTAGTGGTGCTTGCATCACAGAAGGTCAACTAGAACGTTGAACAGCATTCGCACCCACGAGTCAGCCGGCCCCGGCAGGCAGTAGTGCAGGCAATCCGCCCTCCCATCCGCCAGCATCACATGCCCATCCGGTCTCAACCCCGTGGCCGTATCCACATCCCAGTACACACCCCCATGCCTGTCTTTGAGGCGCTTCAAAAACAGACCCCTCATGTGCACACATGCACACATTAAAGTAAGTCAACTAGAATGTTGAAAAGCATGCGCACCCATGTGTCAGCAGGCCCTGGCAGGCAGTAGTGCAAGCAGTCCGCCCTGCCATCCTTGAGCATCACATGCCCATCCGGTCTCAGCCCCGTGGCCGTATCCACATCCCAGTATACACCCCCATGCCGCTCCACCACCCGCCTCGCCAGCTCGTTCTGCCGCCCGAAGTCCCCCCAGTGGTGTGGCAGCTGGGCGGCGTCTTGTCTGTATCTGAGCGGCTTGGAGTGGTGCTTGCAGTTTGCGTGGCCGGGGGGCGTGTTGCGGTATACGAGGAGCACGTGGGGTGCGATGGCACGGATGGCAGAGAGGGTGGTGTTGAGCTCTGATACCAGCTGCTCGTCCTCTGTATAGTGCGCCCCGCGATTCAGTACAATTGCCGCAACTCGTTTTTCCGAAGACGTGTCTTCGCCCTGTCCACCATTTCCCCCATCCTGCTCTCCCCCCTTGCTGGTCCCGTTCAGCACATGCAGCCACGGAAAGCCGATCAGCTTCGGCCAAGCCAGGGTGAGGTTCGGCGAGGGGTCCAGGGCGTCGCTCCTCACGAACGCCACGCTGGCATCCGCGCACGTGTCCTCCACGCACAGCGCGTGGTGCGCGCCTGCTGCTATCTCTCTCCCCCACTGCTCGCAGAACCCAGGCAGGCTGTCCGTAGGCACGCAGTTGGGAAGCAGGTTTCGTCGTTTCTGGCTGGACGTGCGGCTGAACCCCATGAACAGTGCGTTGCGCAGAGCAGCGAAGAGCATGCCATTGAGCGAGTCGCCCACAATCAGCAGCCGTCGCCCCGCCAGCTTCCTCACCAGCTCGCTGCTATCAAACTCCCGCCATGGCCCGCACTTGCTGCTAACGTTCCATCGGTATTTCAGACTCTCCCGCACTCTCCACCTCCCCGGATCCCCGTTTCGGCCCGCCGGGGCCTGAGTCATCCCCGTCCCGCTTTGCTCTAGCGCCCGTCGTTCCGCCTCCGCTGTCGCTCCGTCCGCCAGTGCGATTCCGTCCGCCTCGTCGAAAGCCACCCTTCCCCCGCCCTGTTCTACATGCTCCTCGTCGCACTGCCGCCCGCCGTCCCACTGTGTCGGCAGCGCCCACGGCAGGAAACGTGGCGTCGCGTCGTAACGCCAGCGGCCTTTAGCCGTCAGACAGCGGAGCCGCGAGCGAAAGGCTCTAATGGCTTCCCGTTTCAGAAGCGTAGAACCAGGAATTCTCTCTAAAAAGGCAAGCTCTTGACGATCCTGGCCTGAATTTCGAGTCTGATTCTCACTTGACTTCAAAGCCGTCACTCCAACTTGCCGCGCTGTCAGCTTGACATCCGAGATTTCTCCGCCGGCGAATGCGCGTCCCCCTGGCCTGCGATCAGCACGCGGCGGTCCCGAAATTCCTCGGTTGACCGCGTGAGTTGGCGGAATTTCATTCTGACGCAATCCTTGCTCCCGAGTCGATGTTTGATTGGCTGAATTTAGCGGATCAAGTGCAATTGCTCCAGAACTCGGATATTGTCGCCGCGAGGTTGATACGCGAGCTAGTTTGGGGCTCGTATTTGTCGGTGCTGCCAGTGTCGGGCCCGTGGGAGCAGCAACGACGACTGTTTGCTCTGGTCGGACGAGAAAGAGGCAGTCGAAGCGCTGTGGGATCGTATGATGGATGGCGATCAGGATAAATCCAATTGCTGACGCTAGCAGGAACGTGTGTAGTCCAGTGCTGGCGAGGTTCCACGCACGAGCGGCGTTAGAAGGAGGCGTAGACGGCGGAGAACCGGTCTCGGTTATGTCGTTGGTATCTGGATCTGAGGCTTCGCCGGGGAACAATCTCTCCTCGTCGTCCGGAACGACAGGCATCGCTGTGATGAAGGCTAAAACAAGGACTTATACGATTTGAATACAAGTACACGCTGAAGGTATGGAATACAATTATGCACTGAAGGTACAACAACGCAGAGACGGGGCCATTGCCGTGGCAACCCCGAGGATCCACTGTCAAGAGCGTGAGTGCGAGGTTGGATAGGTGAAAAGCAAGCGGCACTGGTGAGTGAGATTGCGGCGAGAGAGGGTGTCGAGTTCGAGATGAGCGAAGGCATTGAGGGTGGCGGATCGCTGTGGCTTAATTTGAACCGACGAATATATCTCTAACTGAGAATGACTTCCGTCGCGCGACGCAATGCTTCACAATGAAGCATGCCAGTTCACATGTGTCAGAACGGAGTTTACAGCACTGTACTGACGGAAGGCGCGGCGGGTGAAAAGTGGGGACCAGCTCCCGCGCTTTTTAGCTCGAGATGTGGTTGAGGTGCCGATTTGTAACTAATATTCGGAGATGCCGAATATGAAATACCTTAGATGTAAAACACTCCACGAAAAGGATAATTTAGTATGACCCCTACTATCTTTCATCAAATATATGTTTTTGTTTTCACCACCTTGAAAGGAAATATCATTTTCCTTACTTCGCGCCCCTGCCTACCGCGTACAAGACCATTCCCGCCATCGGCACCGAAACTGAAACATCACCCGCTCGCGACACTCGCCTCGACTACGACTCCCGACACTGTTCACGATGCGACCCAACCTCACGGCTCGGTTCGTAACCCACGCTCCGGACCTCCGCCTCAACATATCCCAACCTCGGCGCTAGGCCCGTAGCGCACCCCGATTTCTCGCGTTACCGTTACCACTCTAGTTCGCTATATATTCTTTGCGCATGCCTTCGCTCATTGGATTGTTTTTGCTTCGATAGTGCAATTCTCGCTCGCTCGCTCAATTGCACTCGTAACACTTGGTATCAGAACCTACGATCTCCTCTCGGACCGCACCCACACCTTCGCTTCCCCATTATATCATTTTTTGGGGGGGGTAGACGTCTCTTATCGAACAAGCACCACCGCTCGAAGTGCTCTCTCGTAAGCACGCACGGCCACGACAAAGGCTCTCGCAGAGCTTGCCCGACACCCCCGCCATGGCCGAAATTAATCTCGGGACATTGACGCAGGACCAGCTCGACCGTCTCGTGCGCCAACTCGAAGATTCGGCGCTCGAAATTGCGACACTCACGGCGGAACGCGACTCCGCTCGCCAGCAATCGACGGTGAATGCACCAGCACCAACACATGCACCGGCACAATCGGAGGAGCCGATCGTCATCTCATCAGGCACACCGACACAGAACGACAGCGTGGGACAACGCTCAGGCGCAGCCAATGATGGCGTCGCTCAATCTATGTCTGGCATGGGGAGGAGCAGGGCCGCACCAAGCACACAAGGGCCTCGCGAAGCCCGTCGGCACGTGGAGTTCGCCGCAACGAGTGGCAACAACGACACCATGGCGCCGATGCCACTCAAGCCGCAGCGCCCGCCCTGCTTCGATCCTAGCCAGCGTGGAGGTCCGATAGTTCAATCGTGGGTTTTCACGATGAACGTTTTCTTCGACGCGAATTACGTCGAGTCGGACGCAACCAAGATTCGCTACGCAGTTTCGCTGCTGAGGGGCCCCGCCATGGTCTGGTGGCGAGTCATCGTGACGTCGCCACGCACCTACGAGCCGCCGTCGCAAGAGGGAGGGCCCTCATGTCCAGCCGTCACATGGAGTTCTTTCTGCGAAACCGCCCAGTACAGCACGTGGGACGCGTGGTGGGCAGGGCTTCGGGCACGCTTCGGGCTGATCGCGGCTTCTATTTCAGCGCGTTAGAGACTGCGTACTTTGCGACAACTCGGGTCGGTCCAACACTACACGAGGAGTATTCTCTCATTATGCGAGCAAGTCGGCTACATGCACAAAGCGGAGCGGGTGGACCGTTACGTCGGAGGGCTGAAGTCGGACATCTCACACGAAATCATGCTACGCGGGCTCTCGAACTTCAACGAGATCCTCGCGCTCGCCGAGAAGATCGATATCCTATGCCGACCGAGACCGGGGTTCTACTACGGACAACGTTCTCGGGGACCGGCCGAGCACGCCACTGTACACGCCGTTGCAGCGAATGCAGCTGCCGCGCCATTTAAGGGGCGTTGCTTTGCTAATAATAGGCCGGGCCATCGCAAGAGCGAATGCCCAGAGGAGCTGAGGCGCCGCGGAGCAGAGCAGGGGAGGGAGTCTAATGTCAAACAAACGAACGAGAATGAATGAACTATGTTAGAGTTTGGTACAAGTACAAACCCTAATTGGGTTGTACCCCTTATGGGCTACCCCACTATAGCCTACACAAATGTAAGCACTAGAACATTCTGACACATCCCCATAGGCAAGGTGGGGGAGAACAAGTGGTCACAAGACTAGTCAAGAAAAGCAAAGCAAGCTCAAGGTGAAGCTGAGAGCGAGTGGCCGGTAGACAGAGGAATAGGCTGTGACGAGGAGAACTAGAAACCGAAGCGCTGAAGGACCTGGTGCACCATGTGTGACTGAGTCAGTGTGATGGTGCACCGTGCTCTGTCTCGGGTGATCTGCAAGCCAAGATAGCTACGCAGTTCACCCAGGTCAGTGTAGGTGTGTCTCTTCTGCAACTCAGACTTCATAAGGGTCAGTGCCTCAGTGTCAGCATTGGCAAAGACAAGGTCGTCGACGTACACGAGGACGTAGAACGGCGACAGCGATGTGTCGGTGCGTAGAAACAGCGACGGGTCAGCAATAGAAGGAGTAAACCCCAGAGCCGCAAGTGTAGTCCTCAGTGTGTCGTGCCACTCGCGAGGCGCCTGGCGGAGACCGTAGACTGGCCGCCGGAGGATCCACTGGGTACCTGCAGGAAATGACCCAGTGAAGCCAGGTGGGCGGCGCAGCCAGATCTCCTCGTGCAGGCTGCCCTGCAAGAAAGCTGGACTGAAGTCCAGAGAGTGCAACTCGTAGTCACGCTGAGCAGCGACGTGCAGCAACACCCGAAGAGTAGTCATCTTCGGGGTGGGGGAGAAGGTATGGAAGTAGTCAACCCCCTGTCGCTGATTGAAGCCTCGAGCAACGTAACGCGCCTTGAAGGCAGGCGGAGAACCCGGCGGCCGCTTCACCCTGAAGATCCACATGCCATAGACAATGTTCGCCCAAGGCGAGGGAACCTCGTCGACGTAGGTGCCTGTGGACTTCCAGGATGCCATCTCAGCACCCATGGTTGCCTGCCATTGAGAGGAGTAAGGACTCGTAATCGCCTCTGCGTAAGAGCGCGGGGTCGGGATGTCTGGTGCATCCGGGTCTCCCTCAAGGGCAAGTAGCATGGAAGCGAAACGAGGTATAGCAGCTGCAAAACACTCAAAGTCCTCCTGCCTGTCTTCAAGAACGTCCGTGCCAAGAGCACACTCACCCCCGACAGACGGAGGACTGGCAGACGCATACTCAGCAACAAGAGCAGTGGCGTAGTCTAGACGACAGGCACCAGCAAAGAGAGCAGACGCAGCAGCTGTCTCAAAAGAAGGGTCAGTGACAGCAGCGGCGAGGAGACGAGAGACAGTGGGACTGACAGCACGAGCGCGGTCAGACTCAGGGTCAGGGACCTCAGGAAGAGAGGACTCTGGAGGAGCAAGCAGAGGAACACGCAATGGAACAGAGGAAGGACGGAGTGCCATAGTGTGCGTGCCAGGGATAGGAGGAGGACGCGAACAAAGAACGCGACGAGCAGTGCGAACAGGCAAGACAGGACGAGACGCAGGCTCGCGACGCTCAGTAAGACTGCCGGACTGCTCAGTGTAAGGAGAAGGAGCAGGCAGTGGGGAGGCGGACAGTAACGGCGGCTGCGACTAGTCTGGCGGTGGACACAGGAGGGGAGGAGTAAGGCTAATAGAAGACGGGACACCAAGAACCTGCTGAAGCAGGGGAACGAAGTACGGTCGCGGCCGCACAGCGCCTCAAGCATCAGTACCACCAGCACCCCCAGCTCCAACACCTCCAACTCCAGGGTCAACAGCTCCAGCTCCTCCAGCTCCAGCGCCTCCCGCGCCAGGGCCTCCAGCTCCAC